AAGCTTGGTGCGTGACACGAGCGTATTGTAGCGACTCGCGGCACGAGTCATTACCAGCGACTTTGTACGTCGTCGCGTGAGCTTTCCAAGCCCTCGGTATCCATCGATGTCGATCAACATTTTAAGACCGAGAGCTGTCATTAAGCGTTGTGAACAGCCTTGATTTATGCTGAATGATCTCTAATAGTGAGCGCAGGCTTCCGGACTCAGATTGCCTACATATTCTACTCATACTTTAGGTACCTCATCAATTGATTACGTTATCGTTACAGTTGAGGAGCTGAGTCAATCTCTGAATGAGGTACAAAAACTACGTTCGGCCTGACTAATAGGAGTTTTGCGAGATGATTTGCCAGGAATTTCTTCCTACAACTATTAGTACTTTGTCGAGTCGAGTTCGAAATTCTAATAAATGAAGGTCTCGACACGAAGCCGCCTTTCCGAGAGACTCGCCTTGTGGCATGGGGACTATTTCCCGTCGTCTGATTGATCAAGACCCTTGTACGGTCGCTCAATACGGCACCCGCGGAGCTAACAACGATATGCTAGGCGTCTGACCGGCGTCTGACCACTACGGGCCATGTGGGATGCCAGAAGCCTCGAGCTGGGGCCCCGTGGCAACTGCTATGAGTGATCTGATACTATCATCTATTTGCCTTTGCCTTCGTTGAGGGACCTTGTTGACTTCAATTACAATTCAATGTTATTGAAGGAAGGAGTTGGCTGAGTGGGCGAAACTGAGAGATTGACTCGAACCTCTGCGGAAAGAACGAGAGATGGTGATGAGCGACATTACATGTCCACATGCAACTTAAATAGACACTCTCGCCCTCTGAAAATTGTAATGTCACCAGGCAGAAATACCACTTCGTTCTCATAGGCAAACACCAATCATCAAGCTACAATGGCCGCCGTTCTCAAGACTTTCGCCCTTGCTTTTCTGCTCATTCAAGGAGCTCAAAGGTAAGCATATCCTCTCTATGCTCGTTTTTTCTGTAAGAAGTGACGAGGGCTGATGATATCTACCAATAGCAAGGACCACAGCAGTCACAATTGCTGCCTTTTGACTCCAGAAGGATGGATCCCCAGAAACGATTGGACGAAGGCAGTCTGTGAGGACCGCTGGGGATCGGTGGTGAGTATTCCCAACAACTGAGTGTGATTTCAGATGCTGACTAAGCCAACAGGCTGACTTCGATGGTGTCAAGTGCATTCAGAGGCCTGGCAACGTCATCAGCGGTGACGACTTCTTCACTGCGTGTAAACTCTACGGGTACGTGAATGGCTACCAACAATGGCAGAGGGGTGCTGGATACCGCGGCACTTGCTCTTGATACATGTATAAGTTGGAGTTGCTATAGTAATATTGAAATTCTCGCCAAATGTTTTCCGCCAGAATCTGCGATAGGGAGACACAGTGAAAGTTTGGCGCGCGTGACTTCGCAAACCTTGGTATGGGCTCAAACAATGAACCACGCCATGCGATAAGCCTTCGCGAATTTCGGTGTTCCTTCAAGTAGTTACTACAAGGTCAGCTCTTGTACCTCGTGTCGAGCAAGACATATGATAGAGGATTGAGAATGTGTGATAAACTCTCCATCCTGCACCCCCGGCATGGGCGTTTTGATGTTGTTAGTGGAAAGTTGGATGTTGATCACCTGGCGCCAAGGGAGGCTTGTCTAGGAGGCTCAGAAAACTGGACGGAGTAGCGCGCACTCATCTGCTCGAGATGAATTTACTCAAGTGTGGAACCGACTTTTCGCTTCTTAGAATTAGAGTTTATTCAAATGAAACTGGTCATGACAAGACGGTTGAAAGTTGCTGGTGCCTTCTACCAAAAAAAGGACCATTGTTGTGGTAAAGGTTAGATAATCGAGCCTCACTTCTAGATAATCAAAGCCTAAGTATGGTAAGAGGTAACGTGCCTGATATCCCTATGATTTATTGTCTGTCTTGATTGAGTTCGAGTCAAAAAGAGGCCGGAAGACCAAGTTAGGGCATGTGCAGTGATTCAGCGAGGATAAGGTCAAGGGCACTGAAAGTCGCTGTCAACGTCTGCAATAAGGCACTGTCGTCAGTGCAATTTCTTATGCGTCTCAGCCATGGAGAAAGCTTAGTCCGAAGGCGGTGGGATACTTCTTATTGTAAATTATGCAATTGGATATTCGATGGATTTACACTTGATCACGGACAATCTTGCCAGTTGAACACGAATCAAGGACACTCGAGCTCTGAATGTATGGTAAGCATTGAAAGAAGAGTGGTTGGAACAACGATTCAGAGTAGTTCTTTCTCAATGATTCTTAACAAGGGGCTGCTTGCATGCTGGCCCCTGCTGTGCGAGTGCCGCAGGGAATATTTGAGGCGTAATCTTAAAGTCAAGTTAGCGGCGCCGCAATGCGCTTGCGCTCCCCTACAGCGTACGAGTACAGAAACTTAATTGGTATTGCTCAGGTCTTCGTACTCTGCCTTATAGGTAGTACACGAACCCTGCAACATGTGTATCCAGTCAACGATTTGGTGCGAGCAGAGAGACGATTACTGATTCGACAGCTGACATTTGTCGACGTATGGGTTCAAACCGCGGCGAATTCCCACCAGGGCGATCAGTTACGCGCCGGTCCCAATGATTCTGGTACGAAGGCGTTGAGCTCTAAGGCGAGAATTTCCTGTCGGGGTACCATGAGGCAATGCATTTGGATTGTGGAACCTAGAGGACACACAGACAGGTCTCTTCGCCCTTCCGCACGTCCACTTCTGAGAGTAGCGGAGGCGAGTCACTGCTTTCTGCTCATGAAGGACGGAAAAGGAGTGTACAGGTCGGTTTGAATAGCGCTTTGGAAGGTTGTGGTCTTCACAATGCAAATTAATGGGCCCTGGAAACCACTGGTAGTATCTGCAGTCGCAGAGGAACCTACAGAAGACTAGTAGCTGCAACCTCAAGCAATACGAAAGGAGCTGTCGGATCCGGCCCGGGGTTCGGGCTGGACCGACAGCCCGACCTTACGTGAGTCTGCTAGCTCTACTGGGAGCACAGAGATTCTAGGCACTTTGCGCAACAGGCAAGCTGTGAAGCGATGGGTTTCTGCCGAGTTTGTGCTCTTTCGGAGCTGTGTGGTGGGTTGACAACTAGCCTCTGATATGTTGATTTGAGTAACAAATAGGGTCAAAGGCAACATAGCACGGCTCTGACCATTCATAGGGAAGTATGCCGAGTGCCCGGCACGCCGACCCAACCCGGAGGAACCGCTGATTCAGCGGCGACCCACACCGGATTCTACAAATCGGCATCGTGACGAAAGGTCTGAGACACCGTGAATGGGTAGTCCGGCTCCCCGCTCACGCCCGCTAATCATTTCACCGCCGTCAACATTGGCCCCTGGCTGAATGAATGCTGGCGGAAGGCTTGATGCGGCTTGGCGTAGGCGAGATCCCGTGTGGATCGTCCCTTGCCCTACCGCACATGGGAGCGCTAGCGGACCGGATGTCATCCTGCATCGCATACCTAATTGTAACCGTGTACAGCTCTCTGAGCGAATCATCAGCACCGGATTACGGGAAATAAGTTCCGTGACAAGGAAGACGAGTTGTGACTGCCAAGCTTGGGTGACAGTGTCATAAAGCCCTCGCTAATGGAGTGTTCAGCACATCATTGTCCGAACTACGAGGTCTCCCACCATAAGTCTCACGTCTTCTGACGTCTCTGCAAAGCGGAAAGGATCTTCAAACAGCCGGGCGCCAATATTGAGACGATGGCTGGGAACACTTCATAGGAGACGAAAAATTCACTGTAGGGAGTATCTGTTAAGAGGCGGTAATGTAGTTGTCCAACCTGGTTGTGCTACTCTACCATAGCTGAGACAGTGTGCGAGGTATATGCTTCATCCTGTCAGTCATGGAAGGTGACCGATTTGTTTGCATCAAACACATGCCGCGCACCCCCGCAGCCCCAGATCTGTGGTGACCCTAGATTCAACACTTGCCTTGGGCCCACGTAGGACTACGGGAAGATGCCTATATCCCGCCCGAGCGGCGAGTGAGGGGGAATAAGTTTTCACCTCTTGTTGTTTCGCCATACTAGCTCCTCATTGACGTCAACTCAGGGTCGAATACCTGGTGACAACCATGCTGAAGCTCATATAAATACTAACCCATTACCTCCTCTCACACGCTTCTAATTCTCAACAGGATCGCAAGAAATCAGAGTCTGTTTCCAACCTTGAACCTTTATTTCTTCAAAACACAAACCGCTAGTCATGGACGGAGCTGGAGCTACAAGCCCCCTCTTGGGAGAAGCAAGATACACTCTCGATGGCTCGTCCAAGCCCCTGTCTTACTTCTTCACGACTATCCTACTCATCATATTTGTTTACTCCCTTCAGGGCACAAAGCTCAATACCCCATGTATCAACCAGAAGGGAAGATTCGAACTTACGGACAGCCGACCTAAAAGAAACTTCCTTCTCAACGCGAGGAGGTTGATGCAGCAATGGTTTACCGCGAATCCAAACAAGCCCATCCAGATGATCACCGACATGGGCAGTACGATTGTGCTGCCTCCCTCGATGGCAAATGAAATCCGCAACCATAGTGACTTGAGCTTCACCGCATTCTCCCAAGAGGTTAGAAGAGCCTTCCCTGAATGTGTATAATATTACAGAGGACGAAAAGATACTGACAGGTCACCATTTCAGTTCTTTCAAACGAAGTATCCCGGCTTCGATGCATTCGCAGAAGGGGGACATGACAGCATTACACTGGTCGTCATTAACAAAGACCTTACCAAGCAACTAGGTACGAACAATAATCTCGGATCATTCTAAGCTTCACCAAATTACGCGACGCTGACGATGCGATAACAGCAAAGGTCACTGAACCCTTAGCTGAAGAGGCCTCCCTGGCCCTCTTGAAGATATTTACGGCAGAGAAAGGTACAAGGAGCAAAATGCCCAACTAGAATGGCGATTCACTGACTTTGGCCAGAGTGGCACTCTATTCCCATGCGCGCAACCCTCCTCCACTTCATCGCCCGCATCTCTTCTCGCGTCTTCCTTGGCACCGAACTCTGCCGAAACGAAGCTTGGCTCGAAATCACCAAGAACTACACCCTCAATGGCTTTACTGCCGGTGACCGACTTCGCGAATATCCCCCATTCCTCCGGCCCATCGTCCACTGGTTTCTCCCAGGCTGCCAGGAAGCACGTAGACAGATCAAGGCGGCCACCAAAGTCATTCAGCCCATCATTGACGAGCGAAAGGTCCTCAAGGCCAAGGCGGTCGCCGAGGGTAGACCGGAGCCTGTGTACCAAGACGCTATTGAATGGTTCGAGCAGGCTTCCAAATCCAAGGGCACTGCGTATGACCCTGCTTTAAGTCAGCTATTCCTGTCGACGGTCGCCATTCACACAACTACCGATCTTTTGGGCCAGGTTTTGGTTGATCTGGCGAAGCATCCCGAGGTCATCGAGGAACTCCGCAAGGAGGTTCGAACTGTGCTTCAAGAGGGTGGTTGGAAGAAGACGTCTCTCTACAGCATGAAGTTGCTTGACAGCGTTGTCAAGGAAAGTCAGCGCATCAAGCCGCTGCAGCTCGGTAAGTGCATGCATCACAGCTCCGGCCTCTGTTGCTTTGATGCATGGTCTAACTCATACTGTCTTCACAGCTAGCATGCAGCGTATCGCCGTCAAGGACATGACTCTTTCCGATGGGACTTTCATCCCCAAGGGAGCGAACACGGCCGTGTCTTCCCACTCCCAGTGGAATGCCGCGGTGTACCCGGAGCCGGAAAAGTGGGACGCTTACCGTTTCCTCCGGATGCGAGAAAAGCCTGGCAAGGAAAACGTGTCGCAGCTAGTCAGCACTTTGCCGGAGCATCTCGGCTTTGGCCACGGCAAACACGCTTGTCCCGGTCGCTTCTTCGCCGCAAATGAGATCAAGATCGCTCTCGTGCATATCCTACTCCAGTACGAGTGGAGACTTCCTGCCGGGGCCGATACCTCGATCACGGACTACGGCATCACTCCGGTTTTGAACGCCGGCTTGGAATTGGAGATTCGGAGGCGGGTCGATGAGGTTGACTTGACGTTCTGAGCCACAGCATTTCCGGTATCGATCAATACCAGATGTGGTATTTGGAAGAACACTTCGAACTGCATGGGAAACGTAGAGGGCCTAGATCATATTACGGAGGGTGGCTTGCCATTGGTGTTCAATAATTAAGGGTCTCTTAGTCCTCCTGCGGCTCTCCAAATTCGCCAACGCTTCAAGATTGGCCTAACTAGTGGGTAGTTGCATGGACCTCAAAGGTTCTCGATATTTGGAAGACATATGTCCCGCTTAATTGGCTATGTGTTGAACAAAGACGTCATCTTGACTACTCGGCATCATTTGGAGGCACTTCTTGAGATGCGGGGTCGCGGCGAACTAGAAATTCAAGTCGGCTATATATCTCCGCACCTATATGTAGCCTGCATCAGACGCATCCCCATAGCTATTACGTAGAAATTTCATTTACATTGCACTGAAGTTACTGACCCAACTATTAACATTATGGCTCAAAATCTTCCTTTCAAGGTGTGTTATTTGGTTTTCATATCAGTTGCCTGCTCTGCTGATACCATTAGCTCGCCAATCCCGATCTACTCAAGACGGACGCCTACGTCCACGGCTCTTGGGTGACGGCATCCTCTAAAAAGAGATTCGAAGTTGAGGACCCAGGAACAGGCAAAGTCTTTGCTTCAAGTCCAGACTTTGACCGTTCCGATGTCGACGCAGTGGTGAAATCATCTCACGAAGCTTTCCAGACATTCCGCTACGAGAACCCGAGGTCTCGGGCCAAGAAGCTCTTAGAGTGGGACCATCTCATTCGCGAGAATCGCGATGACATCGCCCAAGTTCTCACTCACGAGTCTGGCAAGCCTCTAGCTGAATCGCAAGGCGAACTTGACTATGCCCTTGGTTTTACGTGGTGGTTCGCTGGAGAAGCCGAGCGCATCCGAGGAAACATCTCAACGCCATCTGCACCTAACCGGAGAGTTGTGGTCGTGAAGCAGCCAATTGGTGTAGCTGTCGCTCTGGTGCCCTGGAATTTCCCTATTGCGTAAGTATTTAATCTCAAACCACGGCTATTGACTTGCAGTCCTGACAACGGTTTAGCATGATTCTACGTAAGGCCGGCGCCGCATTGGCAGCAGGATGCACCATGATTGCGAAGCCATCGCCTGAGACACCACTGACGTGTCTCATTCTCGCCCACCTAGCCACAAAGGCAGGATTCGGGCCTGGTGTTTTCAACGTCATCACAACGTCCCTCGACAATACCCCCGAGGTGGCAGAAGCTCTGTGCAAACACCCTCTAACGAAGAAGGTCTCCTTCACGGGCTCGACCAACATCGGCAGCCTGATCGCCAAACATTGCGCCGAGGGCCTCAAGAAACTTACCCTGGAGCTTGGCGGAAACTGCCCCTTCATCATCTTCGACGACTGTAACCAAGACCAAGCTCTGGAACAATTGCTTGCACTCAAGTGGCGTCACGCAGGCCAGGCGTGCATCACGGCCAACCGTGTCTACATCCAAGACGGCATCTACGAAGAGTTCCTGGAGAAGCTAGTCGAGCGAACAAAGAAGATCAAGATGGGCCACGGAACCAAGTCGGACACGACCATGGGACCCCTGACGACGCCCCGCGCCATCCCGAAAGCCCAAGCTCACGTCAAAGATGCCGTAGAAGCCGGTGCAAAGGTCGTACACGGCGGCCGAAAGGGAACAGAAGTCGGTCTGGATGCTGGATACTTCCACGAGCCGACTATCCTGCGCGACATGAAGCAGTCTATGCTACTCAGTCGCGAGGAGACGTTTGCACCCGTCTTGGGCTTGTATAGATTCAAGACGGAAGACGAGGCGGTCCAATGGGCCAACGATACGAGCATGGGTCTGGCCAGCTACTTCTTCACCAAGAACATCGATCGCACGTGGCGGCTGATGGAGAACTTGGATGCTGGAATGATCGGGATGAACACTGGTAACTCGTCGGCGGCTGAGTCTCCATTTGGCGGTATGAAGCAATCTGGCTACGGAAAAGAGTCTGGAAAAGACGTGGCCATTGAGGAGTACCTCGTCTCAAAGACTGTGACTATGACTCTGGAGGATCATTACTGAGGCAGGAATATTGCAAATGTTGAAGGCAATTCTATGTAGCAGTCCCTATGCTTTCTGTGCAGTGTACCAGATATGTTCGGTGGGCAATGAATACAGTCAAAGTTTCCAAATTCCCCAAAAAGCCCAAAGAAGAATCAAGCTTGGCCGCCTGGTCAGACGAAGCCATCGTCATACCCGGGTTACTCCTCCGCATTGCAAATCGGCGCCTGGTACTACCTCGAAGCCAGTCGGGGCAACGAAGTTTCCGCACCTCCCATTGTCGCAAACGCCTTGTTTTACGGTATTACCGCATGCGCGTCCGTTGGCTGCGACCTGTTGGGGGGTGGGCTTGTTCCGTTTCGCAAAGTCGCTGAACTCGCGTGGGATCAATGTGATGGCGAGAGCTTCGCCTCGTTTGCCGCGTGGTCTCGGTGCTATTGTGATGCTTTAGCTTGGCCGCAGAGCATTGCATCTCTAGAACTGATGCTTACCCGCAAAGACGCCTTCTGAAAACAACAGCACTGCGAATAGAATGTCGCTAAAACGCATGATGCACTTGGGGGGAGGAGGTGGATCTGAGTAGGCCTGCGCAAGAAAGGCCTCAGAACAAGCAGAGTATATGCAGACCTTGTTCGTCTTCTGTTGGCCTTAGGAAATTCGACCACGCCTCATCAAGAACTCTGGTATATGTGCAAAGTTGAGGTTGCACACGCAGCGACCTCTTGGGTCGTCTTGGGTAGCAAGCTGGCTGATGTGTACGATTGACGTCGCCACGATACATGATACTTGTTTTATGTCGGAGCCCGTGCCGTGAGACGATGACAATTTGCGGGTCTTTCGGATCTGCGTAAAACTTGCGAGCCGTTGATCATGCAAAAAAGGCGTGAAGCCTGTTCCCAGTCTATCATCCGACAAATCTCATACAACCCTGGTTGGGGTACCCTGGGCCGCATGATTGGGTGATTTTCGGACCGTTCCTCCACAATATGCATTGTTCAAAGCTCTAAGAGAACACGAAGACTGAAATAGTATTATCAAAGGATTCAAGGCTGATATTGATTCAAAGGAAATATATGCGCAATAGTCGTTGATGTCTTGTCAGGCCGTCGGTAGTTCCTGTGCAGTCGCGCTGCTGCAATGATTGAGACGGAAGCCACGGTTGCTAGATCTAAGTCAGGCATTGCATTTCTGACTTCATCGGACACAATGTTGAAAGACTTTTTAATTAGATTGAAGAGCACATGTCAGTATCAAGAAGAGTGAGGCGTCTTATTTTAGTTTCGCGTTTGCTGACTATTAAGCGGCAAGTGCACATAGGAACACAGAGTTCTATCGTAGCTTAAAATAGAGCACACAAACTTTTACACAATTGGTAGATTTCCGTAGGATAAACCCGAAAGGTGCTGCCAAAAGTCATATCCTTCCGCCATACCGCTGTCCTGCAAGAAGGCTGGGTCCATCATCATCGGCATATCATCAGGAGCAGTGTTAGTCGAACCAATCTTGGATAAATACCAGCTCCTGATTCCCGAGTAATTCTCGGCGTAAGCTGCCACCATCCGCTGACGACTGCTTAGAATCGTGCTGCTAAAGCTTGTGACGCGAGGTCCAGTACTGCACCGGTCACTTAATATTTGAAGTGTTTCGGCCAGATCTAGGTTCTTTCTCGCCGTTTCGAGGTCCCAATCGTGGTCCTCCACACTCAGAAGTCCAGCTGCTTTGATGATGGCTAGTGCCAGGCGGAGGATTGACACGAATGTGAGAGTAGGGTATGTTTCTACATTCAGAGACAGGAATGCATTCAAGAGCTCCTGGGTGCTTGTGAAACAGCGCCACATGATTCGAGATCTGAGGTGGGGTTTCTAAATCCGTGATCCCCGTTCGCGTGTATGGCAGGTTCGAATAGTCGAATCCGCATGGCCATGCAATGATCGTGTAAAAGGTCTATTAGAAGTTGTCAGCGGCTTCCAAGTCAAGCTCAGGACAGAGATGGGGCATACGGTTTGAACGAAGATGCGTTGGTAAGGAGTCGACGAACGACTCGAGCTCCTTGTGAACGTTGGCAATAATCATGGCATGAAGGCCGTCGAATGGTTTCTTGTTGCTACCCTGAATGTCGTTCCTTTCCCCGAAAATATCGTCGACTTTGAGTGCAATCTTTATTGCTTTTATCAAATGCACCAGCAAGGAGTCGGTGGGAAGCTCATTGTCGTTTGACAATCTCTCGAACAGTCATCAAAGTAACGTGCAAAGTCCAGTCGGGACGATCTATCCAGGAGGCTGCCAAGTCTAGAAAAGTTGTCACGGTAAGCTTCGAACAGCGAAATAATGGTTTAGATATCTGGCAGATTCTTACACAGAATTGATGTAGAAGAGTCCCAGCACAGCGCGGCGGCCTACATTGGTATGTTGTGATCGGCTGCCATAATCGTCTCTCAGATGCGCAGCATTTTCGACAATTGATCTGGAGGTAGATGTTGAGAGGTCGGGGCGCTTCGTCAGTCCTAAGTCCTCTGCTAGTCCTCGGGCGAGGTGCATCAGGCTTGTATCGGAGGATGTCGCGAAGTAATGGATGTCGTTCCTAGAAGAATGTAAAGATCAACAATACTTAACTGAAGTACCTTGGGAAGGAGTTAACTCAGGGTTTCTCACCAAGCGAAGAATACTAGCAATGATTGTAGGATCTCCAAGCTCCTCTCAAGCAGAACCACGACTCGATGCGCGATATGTTGCCGAAACCATCTCTTGAATACTTCGCTCGAGTCACCTTCGGGAGGCTTACATGTCCAGATGACAGTCTTCAAAAGCAGCGGTTTGTCTCTATAGAGTTCTTGTGCATCGCAGGAGGGTAACGGAACGAATGGGAATTGAGGAACCATGTCGGACACATACAGCTGGAGAATCATGTTGGCTTCTTGCAAGGTGACTCGATATCCTGGGATGATTGTTAATATTCCTTGAAGCAACTCGACCGGTGTTGCGGCCGAGTTCAATGGCGAATAAAAATCATCTGATTGGGGCTGCGATGTCGCTGAATGGACATTGATCGATGACGATGGGTGGCTGTCTGAAGCCTGACTGTTTCGAGCTGACTGCTCGCGGTCGCGATTCAGAAGCGACATGATGTCGTCCAACTTCCGTTCAAGCACTTTGGTATGTCTGCAGGACCGCAGCCTCGGTTAGTTTCGAGTTCTTGTGTTGATGGGCAGAGACTTCATACGCTGCCTTTCCTCTCTTCCTGTTGACTTGCGACGGTGCTCTAGAACAGTCAAGACGGTGGCTAGAGCATCTAAAAGATGAGTGCGGTCAGTTAGAAATTTATAAACCTGGCAGCTGTACAAACCTTTGGCAAATCTCGGGGTCAAGACTCGCAGTCTCCGGCCAAATGCATTTTGCCTTGGCTCGGGAACAGCTCGTACATGCCCTGGTGCTGCGGCGAGGTGATGCAACAGACATTGTTGAGCCACCTGATCCGGAATCGTCGGCACCGATTCGTCCCCGGGATGAACAAATGTTCTGAAAGGTCCGGTGCTTCCTTCTGGGAAACAAATACCTTTGGTCTCCGCGGGATGAGAAGTTGGGGGTAGGAGGGAAGAAACCGACCGGGCCGGGAGTCTAAAAGCCCTCCTAGAAGGGGTCCGATCGCGACAAACAAAGAACCTCCAATCACAAGTGCCGTGCAGCGCAGAAAAGGTTAGAGTGACTCAGTCGAGGATCTTGCGGGGAGCATTTTGCTTCCCGCCGCCGGCGAGGTATCCACAACATAATTTCAATGTCAAGAAGTTGCGGACAAGATGATGTACTTTAAGGGCACCAAGGCTGACTTGCCAATTCTCCAAAACGTCTCGCAGTTAGTCTTTTCCTTTCTAGATTTCATTCCGCTGCTGCTACTTTTCTTTTTCAATCTCTGTAATAGACCTTCGCTCTTCTTTCCTTCCCATTCGAAGAATAATGCGTTCTGGTCAAATTGTCAAACAGCGCCAGCCTGTTTCCACCGTTGAAGAAGATACGACTATCAACCATTCAAACTACCACTCAGTCATGGACTCCGTCGAGAAGAAGACATCTCGGAACGAGGCTCCGGAGACGATTGATAGCAACCCGGAACAAGCCTCGCCCGAGTACGTTCAAGGCCTTCCACTGGTCTGCATCATCGTCGGCCTTACTTTAGCCGTCTTTTGCTTATCACTGGTAACGTCTTCTCCCAATTATTGTACCACTAAAAGATGTCACTAACGGCTGCAATACACTTCTAGGACCGCACCATTCTCGCGACCGCAGTCCCCAAGATCACCACCGAATTCAACTCTCTCAATGACGTGGCCTGGTACGGCTCGTCATACCTCCTGACGACCTGCTGCTTCCAGCTTATGTTCGGCAAGCTATATGCCGAGTTGAGAGTTACTTGGGTATTTCTTGCTGCTCTCTTCTTCTTTGAGCTTGGAACAATCGTCTGCGCCGCCGCCCCTAACTCGATCGCCTTAATCATTGGAAGAGCCATCTCTGGCATCGGCTGCGCTGGTCTGTTGTCAGGAACGTTCATCATCATAGCACAGAGCTTCCCAGTCCACAAACGGCCCATCTACACCGGCATGATTGGAGGCATGGCTGGCGTTGCTGAAATCATCGCTCCCACGCTGGGAGGTCAGTAGGGAACTGCGTTGCTGGTGTTACTGTTATAGCTAACAGCGTTTGTCCTAGGTGTTTTGACTGATAACGCTACCTGGCGCTGGTGCTTCTGGATCAATCTTCCTCTCGGCGCGATCACAGCCGTAGTCGTGTTCCTGTTCGTCAAACCCCCTGCCGACGCGGAGCCCAAGCAGCCCAAGTCCATCGGCGCGTTCCTCAATAGCATGGACCCCATTGGCACTGTGCTGTTGATGCCCTTCATGGTTTGTCTCCTATTGGCTCTGCAATGGGGTGGAACGACATACGCTTGGAGCAACTGGCGCATCATCCTTTGCCTTTGCCTATTTGGCGTCCTCTTTGTCGCGTGGCTGGGCATCCAGTACTATCGGGGCGACGACGCTACCTTACCGCTTCGTCTGATTCGCCAACGGTCTGTCGCGAGCGGTATGGTGTTCATGCTCGGCGTCAATGGAGCTGTCTTCGTCGTCGTTTACTATGTCTCGATTTGGTTCCAGGTCGTGAAAGACACGACTGCGGAGCAGTCTGGCATAAACTTCTTGACTTCGTCGACAGCTGTCTCTGTCTCGTCAATCCTTTCAGGAATTATAGTATGTGGGAACTGAACTGAAACTAAGCTGGTTCATTTGCTGATATCGACTGTTTTGTAGACGTCCAAGGTCGGGTACTGGGTCCCTCAGATGGTCATCAGCACTGTTCTCACCTCAATCTCATCCGGACTCATCTTCAGATATGAGGTTGAGACAACGACTGCGTACTGGTATGAAAATCGCCTTTCTATAGCCTCACGCTGTAGCTAGTATCACTGATGCAGTATTGAGCAGGGCGGGCACTCTCTTCATGTTCGGATTCGGCGCTGGCATGGGCATGCAGATGCCGCTCGCCGCTATCCAAACGGTACTCAAAGGAGCCGATGTGTCTCTGGGCACATCCAGCCTCATTCTCGCGCAGACTCTTGCCGGCTCCATCTTTCTCTCCGTTGCACAAAGTTTGTTTCAGAGCAGGTTGTTGGTTGAGTTGGCAGCACAGGCGCCTGAAGTTGACGCCCAATTCGTTGTCGGACACGGTGCGTCTGGGATTAAGGCCATGGTCGCGCAGAAGTACGGCGACGCAGCTGCAGTCGGGGTGCTTGGGGCGTATAACCACGCATTGCGGGCATGCTTCTTGTTGTGCATCGTCCTATCCTGCTTGACTGGTATTGGTGCACTGGGAACGGAATGGAAGAGTGTCAGAGAGGACACGCCGAAGGATACGGCTGATGATGGACAGGCCGCTTCCGGTGGCGAGACACCGCGCAGCAACATGTGAAGACAAGCCGTCTGGTGGGCTGGGGGCGTCAGCTATGTCCTATCACCAAGTTGTCACAAGTCTGTACCGAGACCTCGTCAAGCCTTTCACGTTCTTGACACGGCGGTTACTGATTACTCTTGATCACATGCACGCAAGGGAACATGTGGTTTCCTGTTCTTGCCAAATTCTCAAAACAATAGTTGTATTAAATTTGAGTCTGTTTGCTAGACGAATCTATTTGCGAAATCAAGACTCGTAGCCTGATCTAGTATATGCTTTCTTTGGTGGTTGTGGTTTTTTGACAATGTCGTCTTTAGTCTATGAGACTATCAATTTGGCTATGGGGAGTTAAGTTGCTCGAACTCGGCTGTCGGCAAACGAAGTTGCACGGGCAATTGCAACTTCGTTTGCCGACAGCCGAGTTCGAGCAACATCACTAGCTGTTGAGAATGATACATGTATTCATTTGTAGAATTTTGAATTTGACGTTCGACATGTTGTGTCGTCGACGTCAATTCGTCAACGTCAGTTGCAACCCCCCCCCCCCCCCCTTATTGGATTCAATGCGTTGGATTAGTATCAAGGTTTGTGCATCGCCTATGTGCAACCGCGCCTTTTCACGAGGCTTATGGCCTTGCCTAGATCGATGGCTGTTCTGGCCGTTTCACGGGAAAGCATATTTGCAATACTTCCGCGCGTGTCGAAGGCAATTATCCTTTCGGGGGAAACTCTTCTTGCAGCCACTATTTGGGCAGGCGTGGCGATCTTCTTGTGTCGGCTTGTTGTGCCTGAGGCGATGCTTTTTCATATCCTTGGGCAAGTCGCAGGAATAACTGCAACTGGGGTGTTGGCATGTATGCCTTTTTCGTGGATGACACGATGATTTGATAGATTTGTGTCTGTTCTCTTCGAATGGCGAAGTTGTGTGGCCCGGCAGTAGGTCGGGTTTGTGCCCAGTACCTTCGATTGGCGAAGTTTGTAAACACTGTGGTGTGTTGCTATTTTCTCCCGATAGCAATGATGTTGCTTGGGTCATAGAATTCGAATCGGTTGCTGGCGATTCATAGAAGGAGAGTTCGTCCCAGACCATTTTGTGCGGAAGAGAGAAGTTCGAAGATTGTTCGAATGTGTATTCGTCGTGCTCGAGTTGTTCGAGCAAGTCTGCGTTTAGGCAGCCATCGAGGTACCCAATGAAATCATTGTCATGGGAATCGAAAACGTCTGACGGTCTGGGTGATGTTGTACATGTAATATCCCAGGCTCTTGACTGCCCCGAGCATCTGGGATGTTGTGGGTGTTGCTGAGGTATTAGGCCACTAGACGGTGGCGGGTCGCAATCAAAGTCGACGAGGGTTTCGGGGGAAAGGATTCCACACCAAACTCTTCGAGGATCGATCGGTTCCCGTCAAAAGGCCGCCGTCTTTTTGACGGACGGCGGCCTCTGAGGGCAGGAAAGGCAAACAAGGAGGGTAGTACCTTTTGCAAGGCAAGAGTGACGGGATAAAAAAGTCCTGTAAAGCAAGAGAGTCTACTTTACAGAACCGGAAAAAAATAACGTGTCTATAATTTGACAGGCTTCGAAGAAAACAGGAGACGGTGCCTGAGGGGAAAGGTCGGCGGTTAAGTACTGCGTTGTTGGTGCGGACTCTGGATCTGCAGGCAAACAAGAGTCCTGTGGCTTGCATATGCCAAGACCGTCAACAACCAATAAGACAGTATGCGGGCTGAATGTCACACCGAAGACAGGACTCAAAATTCCAGCTGAAAGAGGTTTTGTGTCACTCACCCCAACGCTGCCCTGTCATTGGTGGTTTCGTTAGAAACACCAACGCGGGTTGAGCCGACTGAAGCTTCGCTGAGATCCTGGTCTCCAGACAAGGCTTCTAGAAGTTCTGCCGCTGAGTGGCAATTTGTGTTAATCCTCCTCCATTCTATTGAGAAACCAGTGTCAAGACCCTGAGTCGTCAAGCAAGCGATTAAACACAGAACCCATGGCTAGTGCATGCACTTCCCTATTTATCCTAGACCTGTTGCATATGAACTCAAGATCTTCGCTGGGGATGAATGAAGTTTCGAGGTGCATATGACATTTGCGAGCGAGAAGCGTGACGCTGAAACTGAGTCCTCCTAACCCAAGAGGACTCACATTTTCTTGTCGAACATCTATCCGACAAGAGAAAGAGTCCCCATGAGTCCCCTTCAACAATGCGGACGTCTTCAAGAGTCCAAAATATTTAAAACAGCAATTTGTTTCGAAGGAGGAATATAAAATGCAATGACCCTAGCTCAATTCAAGACTGAGAGTAGGTTGGCCATCAGCAAACTTACGGGTCACGAAACGACCACATCAATCTTGATACAATCTATAACTAGGCGCAAGCTTCAGTCAAACCACTCATTAAGAATGAATCCGAAATCGACAGAGAGGTAAGCCCGATATCTTATACAGTAGTGCCACGTGCAACTTATCCGAGCTAGATACTTATGATACACCACGTCTAGTCAACCTCAACATGTCGAGAGCAAAGGCTTCAGCCTCCCGCCGGCCTTTCCCTCCAAGCCTGCCTCCTTCAACACCATAAGTCGTGCATTTCCGTTTGCCGAATCTCTCACCGAAACGATGAATCGATACTTCGGGTCTTTTGACCCATCTTGGATCCCTTTGCCTCCGGATGAGAAGGAAGAAGAGACCAAGGCAAAGAGCAAAACGGGCAGCCAAGGAAGCTACATTGCGCTAGTTAATGGGGAGAAACAATGAGCCTTATTCTTTAGAATCTATTTGTGTTTAGATGTCATCTCAAAGTAACACATGTCTTTTGACTGCGAACTCAACTATTACCACAGCGCCCCATTACATTGTATTGGTATGCTACAGGATGCTCTCATGATCCTTCGCTTTCTCTATCCCACATGATGCTTCTGTTATCTTTTGTGTTGACCCAAGTGTACTGTTAAACCATGGTTAGTCAATCGCAGAAGACAACGATAGAATTTTGAAATGACATACCTCAAAACAACACGGCTTCCCGTCTCCCACCGTGACAGCGAGAAGATTTGCCTCGCTCCAAACTGGCCTGAAGCCAACCTCCTCGATCTTTTCCCACCACTCCGCAAACTGACTGATCTTGGGTCCCTTTTCCGGCACATGAATCTCAATCACCATCTGACCAACTGGAACCTTCTTACCCTCAAGCTCGCCACCTTTCGCATAGTCTCCCAGAAAAGACTCCAATGCTGGAAACTCATCCCCTTCGATATCCATCTTGATTAGATCCACGTAATCGTGCCCCAATTTCTTCATGATGCTCTTGATTGAGAGAAATTCTATCTTTTCCTTTTCATCGTAGTAGTCGTACTCAGCGACAGCCGTCTTGAAAAAGTGCGTCCGGTTGGGATACGCTTCTAGACCCTTGCCCCAACCGTCGACCGTGTCGTCGAAACCGTACATTTCAGCGGCGTTGGAGCGGTTGAGCATTTCCGCCTCGAAAGAGGAGTCATCTCCAATTCCAAAGCTATAGATGCGAATAGTTCTGTCTAAAGCTCGAGATTTAGGTTTCGCCCTTTCGTATTTACTCATTCCGCAAATCCACTTTCCCCCATCGCCGAGTTTGCCGACTCGTTGAATATCCCATGGACATGTGTACGTTGCCGGGAACAGGTCCCAGATGGTGTACCAAAAGCGGAGGCTTTCATCTCTTGGTGTAAACCTAGTTGCGCAGTCAGATTTTGCCGTTCCTGTTCGGAGAGACCCTACTTACAAGATTGAGTCGTAGTCTTTGTTGTCACTCATCCACTCATGTCTCTTTTGGACTGAACTCAACCATGACTTTTCTGACAATACCGCCCGACTTAGCTCGCCTAGATGGACATCGCTCTGAGATAGTACCCAGGATGACCATGTTTGGTTTAAAATTGGTGTCAGGAAGTAGAGAAAGGCTACTGGGAAAAAGAAGGGAAGGATTCTCGGAAAGGACCAAGTCCCCCGGTCGGCGGGCTTCAGATCCGCCATCGTGTATGGGATCCGCGTCGATATTGCAATGGCAATCGCTCTACACGACCAATCGAGATATAGAGCTTGACTAATGCATTCTTCAACAATCATGAAGGTCGAAGGAGATAAGGCCATGCTGTATTGCCATTCACTGCCACCGATTCCCCACGGGCTGGAAAGCCCTCAAGCACAACGAACAGCCATCTAATGTTGACAACATCATTGAAATAAACTTTGATCTTCATCCTTTACTGAAACAGTTTGCCTGAAACCGTCGTCGATCCGTAGCGGCCTCGTTTCTACGAAATCTCTCCAAAAATGCCCTCCACGAGTCAGTCTTCAGACGGCGACAAAACATCGGACTACGCCTCAGTTCATCCGTGTTCAAGGAGATCACTCACTTGTATTGAACTTCAGGACGCACCAAGAACGCAGTGCGGCTCGACGCTGGGACTTTGAGTTCACGGCGGAGAGTCCAGTGTACGCGAGATCGTCCAATTGGGTTGATATAGTTGTGTCAGTCACGCTTGAGACAGTTATTGCCCATGCTATACCGAATCAATGGGTACGCCGCCGACTTCGATGTCTCAGCCACATCGCATAATGTCAAGATTCTGCCTGTCCCAATAGCTTGGAAACCCTCCGGCGACAGTTGTCATTAAGCTTCACACGGTCATGGAAGATTACCGGCATTTCGTTGTATGTTTCCGCGATTAATCGACCCAGTAGTAGCAAAGACAGCTTGCCATGCACGGTGCTGTACGCGTTCCTCCCACCAATACCGTTTCAGCAATACGGCGCTTTGGCACAAAAGTGAGGCTTTCTACAAACAACTTGCGCATCGTCTCTCTGCAAAGGCCACCCGGGGTTAGGCGCCAAGAGACCCCCTCGATGTCTCGTCGTATTTAGCCATCACGCTACCCCAGACCCGACCAGCTGGGCGTTGAAGTGTTTGGTCCGTTTGGCAGTTGTCCACTCACGTTCTACTCGATTTGACATCGAACTTATAGTAGCTACTTCTAGCAAGAATATCACTCACTCTGATCGCGATCATGAAGTTCACGTCAACTCTTCTCGTTCTTGCTAGCGCCGGCGCTGTAGTAGCCGTAAGTTGTGATTCTCTTTTCACCAAGACCGCCTTGCTAATTCGTCTTCAAGTCGCTCCCAAACGCAGGCATGCCGCTCGTTGATCGTGATGAAATTGTGGGCAAGAAGGGACTAGAGGCAACCAAGACAAACCCTCGAGTGAAGAGAGCAGATGGAACTTTCAATCTAGTTCCACGACAAACACAAACAGGGAAGGCCAAGTTGGAGTTGGATGATGATGCAGGCCCCTTCAAAGAGAAACGCGCTGAAGAAGCAGTTCAAGAGAAGCGCGACGAGCTGACGCCGACGAGAACAAACCCCCGCGTGAAGAGAGCCGATGGCACATTCAATCTCGCTCCAAGGCAGTCTATCACGAGGAGAGCCGAGGCATAGACGTGCGGCTGGGCTGTTTGGTGGAGATATAGCTCATGTAGGCAGTCACAGAAACAGACGTAATACAAACACCAAATGCCGTATGCAGTGAAAAGTATGGGCGGGGCAGAACAAAATCTCTCTCGCGGGATAGTGTTACATGAACAAGTGACGAGGCACGCGGCTTCATTCGGCATGGCTTTCTTCCACTTACCATAATCGAAGCCTGCACAGGAAGGTCGTCAGCTTGATACTTTGGAAACCCACAAGAAACCCCCGCTCCGCTATTCTCACGCCCAAAGGCGCCTCCGAAGCACCACGGCAAGGCCACATAGCACCCGGCAGAGTTTACAGTAGCTTGTGAGCATAGAAGGACCTAGAATGGACGCCGCGGCGTGAAGAGGCACCCAATATTCGGTATCTCGGTCAATCCAAGGGCCTAAGACTGCGAGAACGAGGCATTTTCGAGCTTAGGTTGAATGAGATGTAGTACCGATAATGCGCGTAAGCGCGCAAGCTTTGTCGTATTGAGTGACACGGCACCGATGGCATGCCACAATCCATCATAAGTCGCTTGACTCTCGATAGTTCGTGCGACGTTGTGACGAGGATGAGTCTTCAGTAGACAGCCTTCCAGAAGCATTCTGGGGAAGTCAGTTCATCTGCATAACACAGTCGGGACGAGAATAGTCTGGGTTCCCTGTCTTGAAACGACTCAATCAAAGACCATGTCCCTGGTAAGACGCACGAGCCAAGAACGCCGAGCATTTCGCAAGTTTGTGCGTAGACTTTGCCCCGGAAAACCCGGCCTGACTCGGAGCAGCCTTAAATGTGGGTATCTAAGTCTGGCGAATGATATCAGAGATGGATAAGTCCGTTTCGGAGGAGTAAATCTGCCTCGTAAGGCTGTAGAGGGTTTGTTGAACGCCACCAATTGTTTGGTGGTGATGATGATGTCGCGACCCTTCCGCGCGGCTATATGTACTGTGGGTGACACAAGCGGTTCGAGATTTCTTGATACTGGAATGGGGAAAGAATAAATCGTTCACGGGTTCAAGAAGAGATTTTCCCAGCGAATTCGAGTCTCTCCGAGCGGCCTCCGGCGGGCTACATCGAAATGGCCCCCAAATGGGGGCTGGGAAGCTAATCTCGTGGTTGCGATATCCGGCTGTGTGCACCAGGTACTGTGTAGGACAGTCGCAAGGGGCTTCAAGGAAGCAGATCCTACAGCCTTGCGGCAACACTCGCGGTCACCTGGTCGGGAGCCCTCCGGCCACCTCTTTCTCGGAGATCCGGAGGTGAGATAATCGAGGTCGTGAGTAGAGGCATGATGCATCGCAGCATCGGTCCAGATCCTGTTGATTCAGCTCAGGTAGAAGTGTAAGTAGTCGACCTCCGACTACGCATTTCACCGCGTCTGTCGCCAGGCAGCGGGTGGCGAGTTTGATATGACTTCAATGACTGGTTCAAGAGGAGCGAGCCGGCGAAGGATCGGAGGTAGTCCTTGGAAGTGTCTGGATGCGTTGACGCGTCTGGTGTGGTGGGTGTCTTGAAGTGACGCGGGCCACGAGCCAATGAGTGATGGGCCTGCCATGTACGAGAAGCTGATTGTGGTCAAGTCCTGTAAGGCCAGAACTTCGACCGATTCGTTGCGTGACAGGCTGTCAAGGGAGATGGCTACGAATGGGTGGAAAAGTTCTGTCGAGATGTAGGTATCCAGGCAGACGTTTAAGGTACTGAGATACGTACCTTCGGTAAGTCGAAGGTGAGGTGAGCCGCATCGGGTGACCTCGAACCGGTGTTAGTCATCAACAGAATCTGGGATTTTCTCCTGACCTCAGGCAGAATCCGACTGGTGCCTGCTGGCGGCGGCCGGTTGGAAACGGAACCAGGTGGAGAGGGAGCGGTGAGGTGTGGAGCTGATGAGATACGTACCGCTGCCTCCAAGAGTTTGTGCGACGGCCCGGGGAAAAAACAGGTGGCCGGAGCTTTCACCTCCTCCCAGCTTTCATTCCTCTCCCCTCGATGTCAACTCCAACTCCAACTCCAATTGCTGCTGCCACGATGCAATGCGCTGCACTGCGACACGATTCGATACGATGGAATTCAATTGAGCCTCTCGGAGCGCTTGCAGACCTTGCAGGAAAATGCACCCCGCTCCCCTCGTCATTGTTTGGAATGATGAAATGTCAAGCTTCTTTTGCTATCCATCTGTACGAAACAAGGCCTGGCTGCATCGGTTGGTCCGACTGAGAAGCAGGCTGTGGTGGCTGTGCGCACCTTGAACAGACCTGGTGCCGTTAGTGACCAGCACAGCCGTCTCACTTGCATGCTAACACTGCCAAACCATGCCAGCATGCTTCTTTCGCAGCCAACATTCCGATTGAACTGGCGGGACGAACATGACGCTTTCCTGGGACTGGAACGGTGCGCGCCACGGGACAAGCATCGTCACCAACCTTGTCAAGCCCTCAGTGGCTCTCCCCTTGCAGCCCACGATCCTTCAACGGCGACAACGAAAGCCATCGTTGATAGTTGCCGCAAGGTGGAGTTTATCGAATTGGCCCGCAGCCACTTGTCCAGACTCCAGAGTCCGATGATCGACTGCTTCAATTGTGGCCTCATGCACACCAGTCCCATCTGCAAGTCAACTAAGTGGACCTGGTCCTACCGGCCACTCAGAGAAACGACATTGTAGCGTCGCGCAAGAGATGAACAAAGAGCTTGCATGAAAACCTTGCGAGGCCGAAGTGACTCAGGTGTCATTCGCCAACGTCAATTGGGATGATTGGCTAATGTTCCGTCGATCCAGAACAGAGGGAACAAAGATGATCGTTGCGACTCGCGCACCATGGCGGCTGTCGCTTATTCGGAAACGATGTTGATTTATCGATAATCAACATCTCCAGGTCGGGCCCGGCCAACACGGGCCAAATCTGCAGACTGCAGTCGAAATGTTTCGATTGCCGCTGTCCATGTCACCCTGGCCTTCCCCAACGGCGCGCGCAAGGTGCCTCTCTCCGCGTCGAATAGATGAAGAACCGGGGCAAGAGCACTTTGGCTCTACTGCGTAAAGTGGTGGCATGAGGGGATAGCACCGAGTTGAGAGCGAAAATAGTATCATATCGCCCAGATTATTGCTTCGCGGCTTTCCCACTCAAACGTCCGAATTCGTCATCCTCTACACGAGGCTGCGACAACGCCAGACCTCCACGGCGACCATCCGCAACCTCTACCCCGACGAGAAAAACAGAGACGCTGATCACCAGCCAGTCGGTTCCCTCTCCATCCTACGGTGAGCCAGACACCACCACATGGAATAAACATCGCGGCGCAACTCAACTTACACGAGCTGTATCCACAACACTCAACCACACCCTCATGCGCGAGGTCGCATAACTGGGAACTGAGGACTCCTAACAGAGACATCAGAAGAACACAAGAAAGCGCCACCTGTGCGCCCCCTAGCCTGTCATGCCTGTCGAATATCCTTGGCTCCCTCCAGCGCCCTCATTTTGACGGCTTACTGTGTACGGTGGCCCACCCTGGCAACGTCCCCAAAATCACCTCCCGTGCACCGCCTCTAGTACCAGTAGGCCTCCCCCAAAAGAGGCTGTGTGATACTTCCACAGGTATTTCCCCAGCGGAGGAATGCGGGCAAGAGACAGAAGGGAAACTTGTGCTCTTTCGGAAACGTTCAGCGAGGGGAACCATCCTAGGCCAAGGACTCCGACGACCCTCCCACCCCTGCGACGACCGAGCACGAAAGAGGCCTAGCGGCCAAGAGCAAGACTCATCGGCCTCTAGAGGCCCTCTAGCGATGCCTGTGAAGGCAGCAGTCTGACAGGGGGAGGGGGGCATGGTGTGCAGGGCTAGGCGCAATCCACCCTCACAAGGCCTCAAATCTCCACAATGCCACGGCCTGCAGCACTTTGGCCCATGATACTTGCGATACTTGGGTCCTCCGCCGTCTTTTGCGGCTGACGCTGGGTACTTGCGACTTGCTGCCCCTGCTCTGCCATGCCACCACCATTCGAACGCGCTTTTTCGGCTCAGACGATATAATTCAGACCCAGAATCACTTCGAGACAACTTGTTCCCACGCTGCTCAACATCTCCACTTGGACTATTTACACTTTGTCAAACGCTTCCCGCACTTAGACGACAGACGCTACCCCAATCTATCATACCTGGTCGATCCATTCTCTATACTTAGGCAGAACTTTTTGAGAATCTTCAACACCTGACTTCTTGAATCCTTCCTCGATCTGGTATATAGTTCCTCATCCTCGCTTGCATCTTTGTCCTGTAAGATCACCAACTTACACCACCAACAGTCAGACAGACCACAATCTCGATTCACTGCAAGCTCCAACATACCACTTCGACTTCACTCAAACAATACCGACACGTTGTCTTCCTATCACCACCCCGAAGCTCACTACATCGACAACACCATTGTCTACAAGTACAGGTCTCGTCGTCCAGCCAACTCCAATCGGGAATATCAACGTCCACCAGCCCTCTCGAGGACTCTTTCCTCTACCCAATCGACCACACCCGCGAGACGAGTCCCATTCGTTACGCAGGTAGTTCAACCCTCACCACCAACCCCGCGCACGCTGCGCCCTGATACGTTTACACAAGACACAATGTGTACCACCGACGTTTACACCTACGTCTACCCCGACGGCCGGAGAGCTGAGCAACAGCAACCCACCTTGTGCTCTGCTTCCCGCAACGGCCGTCTTTGCGCCAACCCCGTCATCTACAACCACCCGCCACGTTCAGTCGGCTACCCTTCACCAGTGCCCATGTATGCTCCTGTCGGTCCAGCATACCCATTTCCTCAGCAGATGCCGCCCTCTCCTCCCATGAGCTCACCACGAGGGACTTCTTCGGGTAATGAGGGTGGCCGCGCTCGTCGCGAATCTTCCTCGAGCGAGAGAAAGCACCGCCAATCCGGAGTATACGTGAACGGCCAAAGGGTGCTGGACCTCAACCGCAAGCACAGGTCACGTAACGAGCGCATCGTCATTGTCGACTCTCCGCCCACCCCACGCACACCACCAAAGCAATTCGCTTCGCCTTACACCGCGCCGCCTTCACCCAATGCAGGCGGCGAGAACCCTCAGTTCCGCTATAGCCACGTCCGTCGCGACTCTCTTCGCCCTGTCATCGTTGATGAACGCCCGCGGTCCAAGGTCGAGATTGAGGTGATCGACAACAAGCACCGCCGTCACCACTCTTCTGAATCGCGCCACAGCCACGCCAGCGCCGACGATGAGGAGCGCCGCCGCCGTCACCGAGAGCACAAAGAACGTGAAGAGCGCAAACGCCAGGAGGAGGATCGCCAAGTTAAGAAGCAACTGCGTATTGCCGAGCAAAACGCCAAGATTGCCAGCCGCACCGCCGTCCCCGTCCCTCCCGCTCCTTTGAACCGCACTTCTACGGGCTACGGTTCCAGGTACCAGGAGGATTTGTTGGCAGACGCTCTCCGCCGTATGGAAGTCGTCGACCACCTCACGGCACGAGCTGAGGATGAGGAAGAAGCTCAGCGCCGCCGACTGAAAGAGCGGATGACGCCCCACCGCCGGGCTACCGTGGGGCCGGGTACCCGGAGGCACCGCGTTCTCTACGATGATGGTCTCTGGCGATGGGAGTAAACGATTGCTGGGATGAGTGCATTTCCTGCTTCATGTGTTTTGTTTATCCATTTATCGATATGCGAGCTTTGCGCTTGATCGTTTTCTTGGAATTGTATAGATAGCCAGCGTTTCTTGATTTACATGCATGTACATATACCACGGGAGAGGGATCGCCGGGAGAGCGATGGGAAGATACCACCACAACAGGCTATGTTGGGACAACCATTAGATAGTCATTGAATCAGTAAAAAACAGTTATGATTAATACATCTGCTTCTTCATTAACGGCTGTGATCCATGTTTAATGATACAGCATCTTTGCGGTACATTTTCTCGTGATGAACAATCACCATCGCGGCCTTGTGATCGCATGCGCCTGCATGTCTCACTCCCGCCCTTGGTCTTCTCGGACCTACGAGGACTCGACACCATTGAGTAGGCGACACTGCCGTGTTTTGTTTCCCTCCATCCCACACCTTTTCGGAGAGAGATTGCGAGACATCTGCAAGCGACCCTTATCCGTGGCGTTTTCTTGTTCGTTCGTCCCAAAATTTGTTGCTAGAGACATGCATGGACGATGAGAGGAAGTGGATGGGTGTCTGTGGCGGGAGGTTGCGACGCGGTCTGAGTCAAGACACCACCACCCACTTACACGCGGAAGGGGACCGAAAAGAGTGTGCATCTGTACTGCGTAATAGTTGTTTCCCCAAATTTGAGGTTGAAATTCTGGTTGCATGAAGCTTGCCGCGCAATGCGAATATGCGCATTGCCAGTAAGGAACTCTGGAGACTGGGGCAACGCAAGGACTCTTCTTTCCCTTCTCACGGCGGGGTGGGATGTTGCGCAAATCTTCGCATCGCGGGGTAATTTCTGCCTGGACTGAGAGGACGCGATTGCGGTCACGATTCCTTTGGCAGCTTCCCTAGTAGATCTCAGCACTATGTACAACATCGCCAAGAACAATGGATCCCTTGCGGAAGAAGAATGACAGGAAGACCCGATGGTCGCGCTTGCGGGGACATAGGCAAACGCCAGGCAGTCCCGCCCAGTCGGCACGGGCTTTCGGGGGGGAAACCAGCATTTCACGGGTCATCCCTGTTAGCTGGGGGGGGGGGGGGGCTTTGGAGACGGCGGGACGGGTCGCTGGGGTGTTTAGGTGTGTGGACGAGTCACCGAATGACATTTGCACACCTTGTACACCGACGGCGCCGATGTCGGTGTGCCTCGGTCAATCGTCTGCCGGCGGGGTAATAACTGATGGCGGGGTAATTGAGGTTGGATTGGATTTTGACTATGAGCAGACCACTGCTCTTTGTCTGTTCCTCTTCTTTCCGCGCTTCTATGTGACAAGATCCATCTTGCGGAACCTTCCACAAGGTTGGAAAAAAAGAAAGTGCACAAAAGGAGACTGAGGCCAGTTTTGCCTGGCCTGCCAATTACCCCACCTACGTACTCCGTGCCACCATCTTTGCTCCTACGGGCTTGAAAGGTGGTGGGGTCACACACCCGTCTACCAACCAGGTTTTAAGGATTGGTTTTTTACTTGTGTCCTCCGTGCCGTCCGCGGAGGGAGTCATTGCGGCGTGGGAAAGGTGAAGCCTCCAAGTGGTGACACATTCTGGCGGTGAAGAAATGATTTGTGGTGGTGTGGTGTGCTCGGTGTTGATCGCCTGGTTTCTGAGGGTTTGGTACATGATGCAGGGTACTTGTTTTCTGTATCTCTTTTGGGGCATATTTTTCATTTTGGCTGTAGAGTGAGCCCGAAGAGGAAACATGTACTTCTTGTACCGGATAAAGAGCTGCCTAAGTACCGAGGTACTGCGGCTTAAGGATTATTGTGACTAAGACACCTCCTGTCTACCTTACTCATCAGGTATTATTCTTAGGGGTTTACTGGATTGTCAAAGACTTTAAAGAGCATAAGACCATGTAAAAGCCGTGCAACAGTTGTCTTAAGCAATTGAGTGGATGACTAACAATGGATTTCCCCCCTCGCCGGCGGCACGACGTTACCTACGAGGTAGTTGTAACACGCAGTCGATCACAACCAGGCATATCTTGCTCGGTACAAATAGTGATCTCCACCAGAGGGGCCACTTACTCAATCTGCTAGAATTTAAGCTAATCTATGAAACCGAGCCGCCTCTGTGCTTCGATTCAAATCCCAATACGACAAATTATCAAGAGTACCAGTCTCCCTCATCATCGTCAATCGACTCCCCCTTATCAGACTTGTCCAGCAACTCCTGAACCGTCCAAAGTTTGAAAGGAAAACCGGGGACCGTGTTGGTATTCTTGAACTCCTTCCCATGGAGTAAGTGCGCAGCACAAGCTTCATAGTTGTCGTATGCATATTGTTCGGGATCGTGCTTCAATAGCCATGATCCTGTAAACTTGGCAATGCTTCGGGGGTTCTTCGCAGCTTCGTCCCAGTTGGTGTGATGGAAGACCTCTCTGGATTTGAATCCAATCTTCTGGGCACAAGCGGTTCTCTCGAAGCTAGATACAGCCGTCTCACAGTCAGTAAAACGACCACGGGGAAATCAAGTTGAATGCAGCAGCGCGTGAGAAAGATAGCTTACCGGAGCTTGTTGTGCACCTTGGTGCCCAAAGCGGCAGACTCCTTGCCGCTCATCTTGAGACATGCAGCAAGAGAAAAGGCATCTTCAAGGGCGGTGGTAGCACCAAACCCAGAAGAAGGCAGGAATGAGTGTGCCGAGTCGCCGCATTGCGCCACCCGCCCTCCGTCCGACACCCATTTTGGTTGGGGATCACGGAAACGCAGCTTCCAGTCGGTAGCCTGGTTATTGGGCGTCGACTTGATGACCTCGTGCACGATGGGCGCCCATCCTTCGACATACTTGAACGCGCCAGTCGAGTCAGCGATACGGTTCCAGTCTTCGACGGCAGCGCCCTCGTCTCTGTGCGTCAGGCCCCAGCAGAACTCGGTCGGCGACAGTCCCGTGAAGAAGTGGGCGCCGGGACTGATGTGAAGGGACGTCCATTCCCGCTTATCCTTGAAAAACTCTGCAATAGCAGGGACTTTGAGTGCTTCTTCTGCACGGTAGCTCGCTCGGTACAAGGCGAAGCCGGAGCTGATGGGTTTCTCCTTGGTGCCGGTCACGAGGCCCCAGGACCTGGATCCGACGCCGTCTGCTGCCACGACGATGTCGGCAGTCAGTTTACTACCGTCGGCAAGGACGACGCCACCGAGATCCTTGGTCTCGAATAAATCCTCAACCTCTTGGCCTGTTTCGATCGGAATGCCGAGTTCGGTGGCGTAGGTCAAGAGAAGGAGATAGAACTCCCTTCGGCTGACAGAAATCGTGGGGAGATGGGGGTTTCCGAGCTTGGTTCCGAATAACTTCTCGCCACTGAATTTGAAGAATTGGAACTCGGCCGAGATGGCGCTCTTGTTCAATCTCTCCATGAAGCCGGGCCATTTCGAGGGCGTGTGCAGTCCGGGCGACTGGATGAAGAAGATTTCACCTGCGAATCAAAACAGGTATTGGGTCAGAATGTCGTCTCTGGTGAGGCGGACGAATAGTTACTCACCGTAGTCTCCCGGGTTTATACGCTTCTCCAGAACCTTGACGCTATGTCCCTGGCGATGAGACTCAATGGCGAAGGCCAGACCAGCGATTCCGGCACCGACAACCAGAATCGAGATGCCCGAATCAGAAAGACGTTCCATGATGTTAAAAATGCTCCTTTTGTCGGATGAACCCTTGTTAGTACTTTCGCGGTCAAGATGAGCTATTATGCAAGTAAATTCAATGGAGTTGGAAGAACTAGAGAACAGTGCGTTGATGTAGATGCAAAGAAGCAGTCTCTGTTCATGCTAAATGTAGTTCATCTTTAAGGTCATTGCATCTTCACGTTTTCTTAGAACAACGGCGGTCAAAAAGTCCGCGCCTTTAGACATGAAGCTTCGGACATTGACGAAATGTCAATTAGGCCGAATATCGACACTGAAGAAAGGCAGGAAATAGATTTAACCTAGCCACGCGATAAGATCGTGTCACATCTAACCCCACGTATTTTGGAATATGCCGCGTCTGTAGAGCTAGAAGCAAGGCTACTTACTCGCTACTGACCCAATCAGCTGTAGTGTGCGAGTAATTGGATGAGAGATAGAGTCGGTATTCGGGACCGTTGTCGTTACGCGATCCGTTCAAAACTCTCCGTGGTTTTGGTGTGGATTGCCGACTATCCTTTCCATTTCGTAGTAGACGTATACTCGCGTTTCGTCGTTACAGAGGGCCGCTGAGTCAGCTCGCGATTCACCGGCGGTTGATCGTACGACTTTAGTCGTTACACTAGACGAACATCTAGTTCTTTGGGCCCTGGGGTTCAAGGGCGGATGTCGGCAAGGGCGTTGTAAAGAACACCCCCAACTTAGTTCGGTCGTTTTGTCAAGTTAGGAAAGCTAACCCAATCAAATGGTGCGCCCTCGGGGGTTACCACCTCAGTCAGGTAGGAATGTGCGAAGATCGTCTTCTCCACGATACGCACCTTCATAGAATCATATTAGCCCCTTAGTGTTGACGTTGGACTATGTCAGTTCGTTGGCCACCTCAGCGCTCAGGGATAAATGGATGACGAGGATCGGTGCTACATGAAGACCGACGTCCGGGAGTGCATACGTCTCTCCGCAAGATCTTGAGCTAGCTTCCGATATGTGTCCTCCTCACGTCGGCTTTTGATGTTAGAAACGGTTTATACTGCCCACTTACTATGACTCGCGGACATGAATGGGGTTGCTTCCTTGATGCTTACGATTTCCCGCGCTAACAATCTTTATCGTCTGCTGCCCGGCAGCCCGACTGGCGGCCGTTTATTTCGATCGCGTCCATCTCAGCATCTCTTCCAAATCTATGGTATGAGACATACTCATGTAAGACCTTGTTATGTCTCTTGAAGATACTTTGAAACCTTTTGTGGAGTAGAATGCTTCTCTCGCTGTCATCATGCGATTCTATACCATGATGGCTCTAATGTGACGGAAAACCTCGAAACTTCGATTGATCTCACTACCCTTGAGAAACAAACGGCCTAGAGAACCTTTTGTACTGCTTGCGATGGACACCCTGCTGGGTTTTGGGTATCGCTGTTGACCACGAAAATTGTTTAAAGTCGTTACGAGCATGTCCGCCAGCCAAGGCCGTTGCGTGGGTTGAGGAAGTAGCCCAAATTGAATCTCTTTCAAAGCCTGCATGCAGACTCACGCGAAGACTTTTGATTTTCCTGTCGTAAGAAAGCAAAGTCCTGTCTGTATCTCTCGCTTACGCGAACTTGCGGGACTGGCGGTCCTGGACCATATGTTGCCTGATGGCATAATTACATTGGAAGCCATTGGCTCGGTCAGTTGATAGATCATAGATGGTCTGTGGCGATCAGAGCAGGAGGGCATTCGAACTTCCCTGCTAGCAACACGAACTTGGGTGTGACGATCGACCTTGTCAACCTGAATACCCTAAGCCTCGAGATGAGTCTGGCCTGATTGTTGAGCTCGAGGTCGTCTCTAGCCTCTTACTTTGTCCACTTCAGCTTGTTGCTCACTTGTGGTCAGGAAAATGTCCTTGTGTCAGTTGGCAATGGCAATCGATGGGGTGATGTTTATCGCTTTCCTGAACCTCAAGGTCTCAAAACCGCCGGTGGTCGTGAGAACACAGTTGGAGTGAGCGGTCTTCTTCTTGGGGGCGGTAAGTCATAAGACTCCGGACCTGTCTGTATGCGATCCTGATTGGTCTTTTAAAGGATCTTCTTTGTTCTCTGGTGAAGTTGGTTTTGCTGCAGATAATGTGGCCGAGTATGAGGTACCTTAAAACGAAACATCTCATCCCCAGTTCAGGTTACGGGAGGTGAACGCTTACCATATGCTTATTAAGGTAGGTCGTTCTGGCCAGCGGCAATGTTGTCAGAGCTATTCAAGACGAGAACTTTGACTTGTTTAAGGCTCTCAAGGGTGGAGCATACAACTTTGGCCTGGTCAGCAGATGCCTGCTCAAAACGTTTCCCTCTCGCAACTTCTATGGTGGGGTCATGGTCTTCCCGTGGACGCAGAAGAACGCGATCGTTCAGAAGTTGTGGAGATGATAGAAGGCAACACCAATGGACACCCCGAAGATACTGGATTCGCAGCTGCTGCGTGGAGCCCAGGTGGTGGTAAGAGAATGTCCTTCATTGTTGCCAATATTGAGGGTCAAAACAACTCAACAGCTTTCGCGGGACTCGAAACTTTGTCTCCTGTGGTCGACTTGCGGGCAAACCTCCCAGTAACCGGCATTGCTGCCCAAATCGCATCGACGAGCGGCGAACACCAGGTTTCAAGTACTCTAGCCTTCCACAACATTCTTGACATGGGCCGCAAGGTTCTTGCGTCATTCGATACCGTCATCGAGGAGATTGAAGACTAGGTCGAGGCTGGCGACGACTTCAGAATCATCTATCTCATGACACCGTTTCCCACCCTGTTCTCAAGCTATGGCGACAATGTTCTTGGGCTCGAAAAAGCTCACAGGAAGAACTGTATTGTTCTCAGCATTCGAGGAATCCTCTCTAACACGAAATACGTAGACCTATTAACACAGAAGTTGAAGGAAGCGACGGCAGATATCGAGGATTATGCTAGAGCTACTGGCCAACTTATCCCCCACCTATGTCTCAACTACGCAGGTCAATACCAGAGACCATTGGCGATGTATGGTGAAGACGACATCCATCTCCTAAAAAGAGTTGCAGAGAATTACGATCCCGGACAGTTTTTTCAGTACGGCGTGCCGGGAGGATTCAAGATCAAGGATGTATGAGGACTTACGATATTGGGGCTTTCACAAATTTTGGCATGCTTCAAGAGAGGTGTTTTATGGAAACATTATTATGACGAAAGGATATCTTTGGGAGCTTTCAGAAGTTTGATTGTCATCAAGTGCCTGTTATCAGATGTATTCAGGCATTGGCTTGGTGATAGGTTATACTCTACAGCTGGGCATTTGCACTTGGGCCCTTCAATTGACCTTGTCTGTCAAAAAAGAGCTTTTGACCAGTCCTCAAGCTTTCCTGTAGGCCTGAGGCGATCCTCAGTGATGTAAGAGCCGATCTGAGGGGGATCGGCAGTGGCTTGTCGTCCAGAATAGCATCAACAAACGCATTCGCTTCCACAACAAATGCCGAAATGAACCTGTCGTACCAAGAGTTCGTTGGTTCAACCTTGACATAGCCATCAGTGTCGCAAATTTCTACTCGATTCTTTCGCGGTATAGCATTGACTGTCAACTTGCCTGTCGTACCAAATATCTCAGTGACGCTGTCATAACCGTGCGAAGAGCTTCTCGAGTGGTAGAAATGAGCCATCTTTCCGTCCCAAAACTCGCACACCCCGATCGCATTGTCCGCATCCCCAGTATTTGCGAGATCTGGGAAGAAGGAAGCTGTTCCAATGGCGGAAACAGATTTGGGGACAGATTCCTCGCCCAAGAACATCAGTGACAGGTCAATCTCGTGAATGGCGCAGTCAAAGTAGATGCCGCCGGAGTTCTTGAGGTACTGATGAAAGAATGGACTTTGGTCAAGCTTCTCACAGCCATGGGATCTGAATACAAACGGCTTGCCAATGGCGCCCGATTTGACTTTTTGATGCGCATCCTGGTAGCTGTCATCAAAACGGCGGGCGAAAGCGACCATGGCTTTAGTCTCTGGCTTTGCTTCCACATGCTCGCAGAGAGTCTCAAGCTAGGTGATAAAGCGTCAGCAAGAATGGAGAAGGAGATAATAATGACAGCGCAAAGTACCTCTGAGATAGACTTGCAGATGGGTTTCTCGCATAGAACATGGATTCCCTTATCGAACGCAGCCAGTGTCTGTGAAAAATGCAGCTCGGTAATAGAGGAGATGATAACAGCTTCAAGCCCTGGCGTCTCCATCATCTCTTCGAAAGTGGGATAAGTCTTAACGCCATGGGGCTTCAGATGTTGTTCGGCCCAGTCGAGATCAGCTTGAGCAGGAGAGCATGCGCACAGAAGTTTGGCTCGCGGGACTAGGTTCAAAATATTCAAGGCATGCTTTTGCCCCATGCGTCCGATGCCAACAACACCAACATTGAGGATCTTGTGCGGAGAGGTCATGTTGTCAAATTCTTCGGTATAACAAAGTAGTCTGAAGTCAGTTTTCTGAACAAAGTGTTGAGAAATTCGCTGTGAATGTGCGGATTATCTTGCTTGTAGTCGAAGTGATCGTACTGTGTCTCCTGTTGGCGATGTTGCGAGAGGTTATACTTGTGAGTGTTGAGTGCGGAAGATTACTACTGCTTTCAGCGAATGAGGGCAACCGCGGCGATTTTACACCGTATTGGTAATATGACGCTCAACAATGGCTGACGCGACGTCACAGGTGAATCCCGAACACCGATGTCATCGAGTGTCTGCAGTGAGAGAATGTGTGTATAAAAGGTGGAAGAACATCCTCGGGCTTGCAATTCCGTTTGGAACTTTGGATACAGCGGCCCACGATCAAGTGTTCTCCCTATACGCCTTTTCTCAAATCCACTGCCACCCAAGTCAGCCATTCAAGTGTCCAGTTCCAGCTAAATCCACATTAAAAATGTCGGAATTACCAGCGATTCGCTGGGGCATTGTTGGTAAAGCATTCCCCGCATGCTGAATTCGGAGAAAAGCACACGACTGACTGACTGATACAGCTACCGGGATGATCTCCTCCTGGTTCGTCGAAGACCTCTTGGTCTCACGATCAGATGCAAAAGTAAAGCATATTGTCCAAGCCATTGGGAGCTCATCCGTCCAGAAAGGGCAAGACTTCTCGAAGCAATATTGCCCGAATAGTCAACCGGCTATTTATGGATCGTACGGGGAAGTTTATGCCGACCCTAATGTGGATATCGTATACATTGGCACCCCGCACGCATTCCACAAGCAAAACTGCCTAGATGCCATCGCAGCAGGCAAGCCCATCCTTTGCGAGAAGGCCTTCACGATAAACACTCGTGAGACAAAGGAGGTCTTTGCCCTTGCCAAGGCAAAGGGGATCTACGTTGCTGAAGCCATGTGGCTCCGCCACCGACCTTTGGTCCAAGATCTGCAACGCATGCTTCATAAGGAGAAGGTCATCGGCGAGGTTTTTCGCGTCTACTCCGAGTTTGGTCTCGGGCTGGACATCCCGAATCTCCCAGACAGCTCACGTTATAAGCAGCCTCACCTTGGTGCAGGGTCGCTGTTGGACTTGGGAATCTACACCTTGACGTGGGCTATCCTGGGTCTGGACGCAGGAACTCCCGGTTCTTCTGAGAAGCCCAAGATTCTGGCTTCGCAGTCGCACGATGGTTCTGTCGAGGTTACTACTAGTGTTATCCTCCACTATCCCTCTACGGGAAGACAGGGTGTTGTCACTTCAACAACAATGGCAACCGGAAACCCGGATGTGTTGGCACGCATCCAAGGGACCAAAGGCACGATAGAGGTACATGGCACCGTTCCATCCGACCCAGATTCTTTCACTTTGTACTCCACATTTGAGAGGGACCAGACCAAGGGCATCATCGGAAGGGACGCAATTAAGACATTTGAGTACAAGCCAGTTGGGCGAGGGTACTACTGGGAAGCAGACAATGCTGCGCTGGATGTGCTGGCCGGAAAGTTGGAAAGCGACGTGATGCCTTGGGCAGAGACTATTCGCGTCATGGAGATGATGGACGAAATCCGACGACAGGGTGGGACTGTGTATCCTCAAGACAAGGAGTGAGGGCCGTTTTCCCTATGGTAGTCTTGACAGTAGAACAGCGAGCGAGAAACAAAGATCTGTATTTGTGGGCAACTAGAGTATCTCAAGTATTATTGGGCAGCAAATAATAACAGAATATCATTGGCATTCTATAGGCGTAGGCAATGTTTTCGATCTCTTGATTTCGTACGTGTTTAGCTATTACCAGATTCGTTCCCCTTGAATGACGACTTGAATGCTTCCACGTCTGGAATAAGTGTCTGATGTTGTGTTATTCTTTTGTTCATTTTCTTTTCCATTTTCATCTTGTGGGGCTCAATGATCTGTTGCTCTCATTCCGGGCAGATCGCCTCAATAAGCTACTGCAATTACAATAGTAGCATATTCGCTTTCTCCTCTTCACGAAGAACATAGGCAATCCAGTTGCCTATCACCTTGTACCACGTGGTGCTTGAGGTTTGTTTTATGGAAGAAACTGACGCTCTTAATGAGATCGTCGAAGGATATTGTGTTCTCAGGCTCACTTGGGGTTGTCACCCAACGTCCACCTTGGTGATCTAATGACCTCAGTTTAAGCTGACGAAGAAATGCTTCAATCAAGCCAGTCATATATTGCTCATTGCGTCTTGTCGCCAGAGCCTTTCTTGTACTGAAGTGAAACTAAGTAATGAGGCCGGGAAAGAATTTGGAAGATGATCCGAGACTACTAAGCTTTCGCCAAGACACCCTTTAAATGTAACTTGGGATTCAAAATGGTGCTCACCGGAATAACAGCCAATTTTGAGTTTGATCACATCTAACTGCAAATTGTTGCCCATGTGAAGTTGATCCACCTGTATCAATTAGTAACTTGCGCGCGGGTGTGGTGTTCGTTATCGGCGCGGGCCGGGATTGCCAATCTGTTCCTTGGATGGCGCAATACAACAAGATGACCTGATGAACTCCAACCATTGGGCGATGCATGCCTTGACTCCAAACCATAAAATGCCGCGCAATCCAAACCGCTATCTCAGAGCCTCCGATGGAAAATTGCCAAGTCATCTAATCACAAAATCGTTCATCAAAACAACTGTTCGGCCCCTTTTCTAACACACGCTTTCAGTAATTCGCTCCTACGATGGCTATCAAGACTCACAATGGGCTAAGTTCTATCAAAGTCGCCATCATTGGCGGCGGGCCCGGGGGGTTGGGTGCAGCGATTGAGTTTGGCAAGTTGAACTATGTTGACTGGTCACTTTACGAAAAGAAGTCACAAATCAGTGAAACTGGCGGCGGTATCAGCCTACAGAGACATACATGGAGGCTCCTAGAGCTGAATGGGGCAGCCAAGAACATTGATCCCTCGGATTTCTTCAGATCTCCTGATGGAACTAGCGGACAGTCAAGGTAATTGGCATGTTTTGCTTTGAACACGTGAGTTCATTGGATTTACTGATGGCGAGCCGTAATTAGAAATGGAAGAACCGGAAAGCTTCTGGAGCAGCACCATCATCCCAAAGATACACCGCCGCAGCAAGTGAGCTGTCGCATGGTTCGAGCTAAGCTTCAGGCTGCTCTGCTCAAAGAAGTTGATCAAAGTCGTATCAAGACCTCAAAGAAGCTAGTTGATATCACGAAGCTATCTACTGGTAGGGTTGCGATCCGTTTCGAAGATGGCTTCAGCGACGAAGTTGATTTACTTGTCGGAGCAGATGGCATTCGTTCTGTAAGGCTCAACCCCATTATGATCCTCGAGACAACGGGAACTAATGACATGAAGTTTGTGAGATCGTATGCTTTCCCCGAGCACAAGATCAAATACAACGGCCAATCTGCCTATCGCACCATCATTCACAAGCCTACAGCCGAAAAGATTGAGGGAATCCCGAAGTCACCCGTATTCTGGCAGAACATTGGTGGCAAGTACGTGTTTACGTGCCCTCTTGGCGGAGATGATTTCGAGGTCACTGCACGCATCCGCCGGCCGATTGAAGGGCAGGAACATGTCAGCTGGGGTCGGCCTTTTGACTTTTCCACTATCGCCTCAGAGTACGACGAATTTTGCGAACCTGTCCGCGAAGTAATCCAACTTGCCGCTCAAGGTGAGACACAGGAATTCGCACTTTTCTCGGGTCCGCGACTAGAAAGCGTCATCTATGAGAAAGCCATTGCCTTGATTGGAGACGCATCTCACCCTCTATCAGGAGCGTTTGGTGCTGGGGCTGGATTTGCTTTGGAGGATGTCTATGCCTTGACGCAAAGCATTGACTGGCACTGGAATAATGGTGGGGGCTTGCCTGAGGCCCTGGAGCTTTATGACCATATCAGATCACCTCATTATCGCGACTTGTACAAAGTCTTGGATGATTTTGGTGCGATGAACACTAAGCTGCTTTCGGAGAATCTTCCTGTCAATGAGGAGATTGAGGAACGGGTCCGAAGGGCAGCTGAGAGTAAGAGTACGTGGATGTACCTTTACGAGATAGATAAAGCGGTCGAAAAGCTGCTTGGAGCTGCCACCCAGCATGGCCAAGTCGCAGCTGTGCTTTGAGCTAGATCCTCAATTCACAGCTGGACACCTGATCACGTTGATTGATTCATAGAGACAAAGCCCACTAGTCAGTCAGCCGCAGTTGTTGAAGGTGTGCGGAATGAGGCAAACGAGGTTTTGGATGACCCAGGGACTCGCCGTAGGATTTACGAACCCGTAGCCTATTTTCACTTGCATACCTTGGACATAATCCTGATGTAAGCCCATTCGGCACTTGACAGACCGGAATATCTATGACCGAATTCCAGTTGCCGAGCCTGGGTGTCGGGGTGGGGCCGGCAAGAGCGGCAGCATCGGACCCCACTCCTCAGGGCTTACGGAGAGATCACCGGCGGTGGTCCTTGACAGCTGTCCTCGGAGGTGCTTGCTGTCATCGACCAGTGGAAAAGTAATATGGTTTGACGTTGTTAGTCGAAACTCTTGGTATAAACATCAAATAAATCAGATCAAGCTGATTTTGCCATTTGCACGTTGTCAACGGAGGGAATGATTCGAAAGTAAAATGATTTCAGTACAGAGCCTCGGATTCACCCTTCCCGCAAAGTAAGGCATCCAAGCTAGCCAAGCGCTAATCTTATTGTTGTTACATCACAGCCAAAGGCCTGCCAGATCCTTGTATCACCGGGGTTCTGTAAGCTACATGTGGACTAGAGAGGTCCGGGGGCAATATTCACCAGTACCTACCTAGTATGCGGGGTAAAGGTCTGTTCGGTTTCCTTGTCTGCCACGTTCCCCCCAGCCTCCGAGCACATCTTAGAAAATATAAGATGAGATCAGGAGCCCATTGATGGCTGCGGGACAGATAACCAGTCTGTCGGGATTCGCCTCGTTAAAGATGCTCGCGGTAGTTTCACTAGCCATTGCTGTGTTGTTGGTGTTCGCTACGCCATCGGCGGCAACTTTCCAGAGTGACTGTCTGGCTCTTACTCCTCAGAATACAGTGATCAATTCAACTGCTCAAAAGATCAGTCATGTGGATTCCGGCACCAATCTCACCTTTCCAGAACAAGATGCATCATGCGGGCGCGGAAGCCAGGTGGTTCGCGCCAACCTATGCCGCGTCGCCATGAATATCACAACTTCTAGTAGATCTCAGATTCTCGCTGAAGTGTGGCTACCCGAGAAATGGAATGGGCGCATGGTAACGGTCGCCGGTGGAGGGCTCGATGGGTGTAAGTGGTTGAGTCTGAGATTTCGGGTGGTTGTGATAAAGCCTGGCGCGTACTGACAACGAGAAATGCGATAGGCGTGCACACCGAGGACCTTGCGTATGCCACTGCTCATGGCTTTGCTGCTGTTGGTACGAATAACGGGCACGCTGGAACGACCGGTGTACAATTTCTCAACAATGATGACGTTGTCATCGACTTTTCGTACAGAGCGTGAGTAATGCTAGCTTCGACTTCCTAATCTCGGGACCGACTGACGTGGCTGCCAGAATTCATACTGGTGTTCTTGCTGGAAAGAGTCTTCTCAATTCCCTCTATAAGGCCAAGATGACGGGCTCGTACTTCTTGGGTTGTTCTCTTGGAGGACGACAAGGCGTGCAAGCCGCGGACATGTTTCCCGAAGACTTTGATGGTATTGTCGCAGGTGCACCGGCAGTGGACTTTAACAACCTCTACTCCTGGCGCGCCGGCTTCTACCCTCTGACTGGGTCTGTCGACTCCAAGAATTTCATTACTCCCACCGTCTGGAAAACAACGATCCACGACGAGGTTCTTAAGCAGTGCGATACTATTGATGGTGTCCAAGACGGCATCATAGAAGACCCCACTCTCTGCCATTTCGAGCCTGGAACTCTCCTTTGCAAGTCAGACAGCGGCGACTCTAAATGCCTCACCAGCGCACAAGTCGAGATTGTGAGAAAGATCTTCAGTCCAACTAACTACACGGACGGCAAGCTATTCTGGCCAGCTATGAATCCTGGCAGCGAGATCATTACGGCGGACGGGCTGTACAGTGGAAACCCATTTGCTCTATCCCAGAATTGGTTCCGCTACGCGATTTACAATGATCCGAACTGGGACCCGGCAACCTACACGCTCGAAAAGGACGGCATCTTTGCTGAGAAGCGAAATCCCGGCAACATCAAGACGTACCCGCGGGATTTGTCGGCATTCAAAAAGAGGGGAGGAAAGTTGCTGATGTACCATGGCCAGCAGGATCAGCAGATCACAAGCTTCCACACTCCCATCTTCTATGACCGCTTGGCAAAAGGTATGCACTTGAACCACACTGGAATGGATCACTTCGCACGCTTTTTCCGTATTTCTGGCCTTTACCATTGCACCACAGGACCTGGTGCATGGCTGATTGGCCAAGGTAGTAGCGGCGGAAACTCGGCCGTCATCGGCGATAGTCTCCCATTCAATAGGACATACAATGTCCTAGCCGCCATAGTAGACTGGGCTGAGGGTGGGATCGCCCCAGACACCATAACAGGAACCAAGTTTGTCAATGACAGTGTGGATTCGGGTGTGGGATTTCAACGGCGACATTGCAGATACCCGTTGCGAAACACATACCGGGGCGAAGGTATGGATCCAAAGCTCCCGGATAGTTGGCAATGTGTGTAGTTAAAAAGCTAGCCACATGCAGGTTCAAGAGTTAGAATGGCTTAAGTGAGAAAATGAAATTGTCTCAGCTCTTCTGGACTCGGTAATGGACCCTTATCAAGACTTCAGTGGTCAAGTCAGCTCAACACCACATGTAATTTGTTGCATGCCAACCAGTAATCTGAGTGATGAGTTCATGTAATCAGTTGAACAGGTGAAGACATTAATAAGATCAGGTATCCGTAGGTTACATCTTGGTTCAGCCAAAGTTGCGCATGTCACGTCAGCCGATCCGGTCAACATCCCGCTTAACCGGGCCGGGAATCGATCCCTTGTCTGGATCAAAGAAGCATCCAATCCAGTCAGCCGAATCCGGTCAAAACAATGGGCTTATGGAGACTTCATTAGTCAATAATTCGCCAACTAAGGCGAATTTGGGCGTAATTTGTACGCAACGCACGGACTCCCGCAACAAATTTTCATTATCTCACTTCACTTATCGACATTCGAGTCATCCTGAGTCGAAACATTTACATGACTGTTTAATGCACCCTCTGTTTTCCCCAGTCCGATATTGAGTTGTAGCTTTGCAATCTTCGGCAAAGACATCAGAATGGCAGACAACTTGGAGAGCCAGCATGACCGGCGCGGCGATGAAAAGCACGCAACAACAGAGAACCTTGGTACAGATGCACAAGCAGCTCCGGCTACGGGCCGGAGCGGCAAAGGTCTCGTGCGGAGAGTCTTGATGGCCGGGCGGGTCGAAGAAGGCGGAATCGAGCCTATCCCACGAGAAGTCCGGACGAACACCAAGTACTTCAATGCTTTCACGATCTGGTGCTCTATCAACACGAACATTTTGGCGTAAGTTTCCTAGCTCTCCAACTTCCATATGGTCTTCGTGCACACAGGCTGACGTTTGCCACTCAGTATCACTTTCGGCATGCTGGGCCCGGTCTCCTTCGGCCTTGGCCTCCGAGATTCGGCGCTCGTCATTCTCTTCTTCAACTTGCTGTCAACGCTGGCCCCGGCATTCTTGTCAACGCTGGGTCCGAAGACTGGCATGCGACAGATGATTCAAGCTCGGTTTAGTTTTGGGTAAGTTGATGTTCCCCCGATTGAAAGGGCAGACCCACCTAAGTGTCTTGGGTTGCCCACGGCCAACTCAGGTATCTCAACTGACGCCTTGCTAGATACTATTTCGTATACATCCCCGTCGTTCTCAATCTCGCTACTCTCACCGGCTTCTGCGTGATTATTTGTGTCGTTGGTGGGCAGTGCCTTTCAGCAGTGTCCGAAGGCGACCTTTCGACTTCCGTTGGCATCGTCTTGATCGGCATCGCGGCTCTGTTGATCTCCTTCTGTGGCTTCAATGTGCTGCACTTCTACGAGGGTTACGCTTGGATGCCAGCTCTTGTGGCCATAATCATTGCGGTTGGATGTGGCGGACAGCAGCTGCAAAAGCAAGCCCCCTTTGAGCCGGCAACGGCTGCGGGGGTCCTCAGCTTCGGTGGTGTCATTGCTTCTTACATGATCCCATGGGCCTGCATCGCATCTGATCTGACAACGTACTTTGACCCTACTGGTCGGGCGGTCTCGTGAGTAAATGTGCTTCCAAAGATGATCTCAAGACTGACTTTTCAACAGACACCGCATCTTTGCCTACAGCTACTTGGGGTTGGTTGTGCCGACGATCTTGCTCATGACCCTCGGTGCGGCTATCGGTGGTGCTATGAGCAACATCCCCGAGTGGCAAATCGGCTTTGACAGCACTATGGTAGGCGGCGTTCTCGGAGCCATGCTTTCCCCAGCAGGTGGATTCGGCAAATTCATTCTTGTCGTCCTTGCATTCACGCTGTTGGCCAACATCTCTGGCACAATGTACGCAATCACGCTGAACTTCCAGACCCTCATCCCGTCGTTCCGCCTGCCGCGCTACGTCTTCTCCGTCATCGTGACCGCCATTATCATTCCGATTGCGGTCAAGGCAGCACACGACTTCTTCTTGAGTCTCGAGAACTTCATTGCACTCATCGGCTATTGGTCTGCGTCCTTTGTCGGAATTGTGGTCACTGAGCACTTGGTGTTTAGACGCGGCGACTCGAAGCTCTATGAGGTTGCAGTGTGGGATGTGCCCTCTAGACTGCCTCTCGGTATTGCTGCGATCGGCGCAGCTGTGTTGAGCTTTGGTCTCGTCGTGCCGTGTATTTCCCAGGTCTGGTTTACGGGCCCCATCGCGGTCTCGACAGGAGACATTGGCTTCGAGGTTGCTTTCTTCCTGAGCGCTGTCTTATATCTGCCTCTACGTTATGCCGAGAAGCACTACTCGGGACGGTAATAGGCCGTGATGGTTATGACACATAGTATAGAAATGGCTTTTACTAGCTCAAGAAGCTTAGAGAGATCTATGATCAATGCCAATCATGTTCACGCTACGGCATTCATTTTGGGTGCTTCGTGTTTACCGCACCACTTTGCGTCCTCTTCCTCGAGGCCACATTATTTTCTCATACACGGCACAAATCCGTTCGTTCAACACATAAGTCAATACCTCGATTTGTAATCGCATTGCTTGTCAATCAAGGGTCATAAATCTTCCCCATCGAAAACTATGCTCCCACAACCTCGCGGTATCTCACATATTGCCAACTGCTCGGGCGGCTGAATGGCAGCAAACACGTTATTTGATCTCGGGTATAATATCCACAGGAATCCCTTTCTATGGTTCCATAACATTGAGGTTACATGCTGAACCCTTCAGACTAGGGTCAGGTTCAGTCTGCTACAACCAACAACAGACAGGGAATAGTCAAGGACCCCTCACTCGAACGACCCCACTAGGGACTGAAGCTTACGGATCGTCTCACTGCAGGGTTTCCTTGCAGCTTTTCCCTGAGGATGCTGTTCAATGAGGATTATCCACCTGGCGGCACAGGCGCCGACTTGGGAAATCCCTTTGATCATCTTGTTGACGGTCCTAGGTGCCGGCAGCTCGCCGTAAGCTGGCGTACATAATGAAGAGGATGCACTGCTTTCGTAACTCTTCAGACCGCAAAGTTCACGGTTCTCTTCTGATATTTGCTTGGCTACCTTGCTTAAAGTAATCTTCATTCACTTCGTTGTTTTCTCACCATGGCTGGTATCGCCCCTGGAAAGACCTTCATCCCTGGGTTGGACTTCAGCAGCCAGTCTTATAGCAAACTCAGTGAGAAGGTTGAGGCCGACGTCAGCCGTGCTCATGAGATCATCAAGGAAAAGCTTCCCTTGCTCGCCCAGCTGAACGCACTCATCTCCTTGACGTTCGGAGATCATGCCCCAGTCTTCGTGGATGCTCGTTCATCTGAAGCGAAGTTCCTCGACTCTTGCTCCGATGAGCCAGACACAAAAGTCACAATCAAGCCCGAGAACATCTCTCAGTTCTACGAGGGCAAGCTCGAGCCTCGATATGGCCTTTTCAAGGACGCATTCTTCCACGAGGCCTCAATGCCAAAGGGCAACGTCCCCATCGCCATCAAGTTCGCCGACCTCCTCACTCCCAACCCTCCTGTACCGCCCAAGAAGGTCGTGCCAGGCGCCTTTGCCCGTCTCCCTGAGCCGACAGAGGATATTGATCAAGTCAAGCGGGATATCAAGGAGTTCGGCTACGGTCTTGTCAAGGATGCTCTCACTCCCGAGCAAGTGTCGATCTTGAAGAAAGGAACACAAGAACAGGCTGCAGGTGAACGCAAAGCCGGTGTCTCCGCCACGGACGGTGGTCCTGATGCGCCCAACCAGCGCATCTGGACTCTTATCAACAAGGGAGAGGAGTTCCTCGATCTTCTCAACCACCCTCTGATCGATGAGATTGTCCCCTGGTTCCTTGGCGAGCACGCCCTCATTCATAGCTACAGCGCCAACATTGCCCGCCCTGGTAATGTCCCCATGCAACTTCACACGGACCAAGTCGCCATCCAGCCGCCAGTTCGCGAGCTCGCTTTTGGCCTTAATATCATGTGGTATCTCGAGGACATCACCGAGAAAAACGGTGGCACCCGTGTGTTCCCTGCGTCTCATCTGGGTCAGATTGCCCCTGACGATCTGTTCACTGTCGATGGCACCGTCGCCGCCGAGGGGCCTTCTGGCACTGCCTTAGTGTTCGACAGTCGGTTGTGGCATGCTACGGGCCCCAATCGTGAGGAGTCTGGCGAGCGCCCCGTCATTCTGATATTCTTCATGCGGTCTTTCATTCGACAGCAGGAGAACAATTTCCTGTCGTTGCGCAAGGATGTCGAGGCTAAGTTGTCTGACCGCCACAAGCGCCTTCTTGGTTTCTGCACTACGGGTGCATTGGGGGGCATTGAGGGAGAAGTCCGGGAGGGTATCTTCGTAACGAGGAAGGATGATTGTGTTGGAACATTGCGTGCCGCTCATGAATGATTACTGAAGCGCCTTGACAAGTTGGACAATCGTATCTTAGTTTCTTCGTAGAACCTGATCAAGATCATTCAAGTTCCCGTCGCAACTGATGATCTTATTCCAGCTTCCATGTCGCTTAGAGCTCACTGCGTTCACCTCCACATCTGTGTGTTTGAACTCGTCCACCCGTCGTCTGGCCATTCGACCAGCATCTATGGAATCGGCGTTTTTCCCGACCTCATCTTCTACCCTGGTCAGCCCACTGTCGAACCCGTTGCTGGAGTCTTGGAGAGCAAACACGACCCCGGCCGTCGCCCCACGTTTTCTTCGGGGAGAAGCCGCCGATGTGTAACCCTTGCGCATTGTGGAACTTTTCTCCTCATCCCGCAAGCCCGGGACGGCACGATCTCCACTTTCTCTGTTCACTCTTGTATGTCTTGCTCTAGCCAACGAGGTTTCAATAGAAAGTCATCCATCCGACACGTGATTCCGCTTTGAATAGCCGAGGTTCAAGAACTTTTTATCGGTGATGTAATCTGGCGCCCTTGCCCTGGTAGAGAACATTGACGCAAGCAGGGTTCTTGTTTGCTGAACTGTTGCTGTTGGTACCGGGAATCCAATTCCCGTTGGCACGATACTGCATCGGTACAGTTTCTTCAAAGGGAGATGCTGGGGAGATCGCAGATGCTGGGGAGATCGCAGATCCATAATCTCAGTATTGAGAATCTCGCTAGTATTGAAATACGAGTAGTGCAGGCAAGTGTGGGGTGACGACGTCCAGCAAATCGACTCTGAGTGCTCTCGCCCTCAACTCGCTGAAAATTATGAGCCCCATGGTATTATTAACATATTCTGCATCAGCTCCATGAGCAGTCATTTCATGCCCGGAGAGCTCAACCAAGCCGTACCTACGGATTGGATATACTTGGGCTTCATTCAACGGCACAAGCTCAGTTACAAGTTGATGCTTCCTACAACAAGGTCCGCGTCACCGAATATCGAAGCAGGGTGCTTGTTTTAACCGATGATAGTGGTCCACTTTCTGCTTGCGTTACTGAGCCGGGTTGAACCAGTCCATTCAAATAGTCAGAAGCTGGGTCATGCAACGGGTATCCATGGTGCGTTGTTCCAACAGTCAAGGAATGAAAATTACCTGCGTAAGTGTTCACTCACTGTACTGGTCGTGCCTTCCGATCTCCGTGGCTGATCGGACATTCAAAAGATTACATTGCAAATATCGTTCTGTGGTCGATTCTCGAGTGCGGCATTGGTATCATTGCCGGCTCGCTTCCGTCTTTGAGGAGACTGCTCAAGTTCTGGCTAGACAAGTCTAGCAAAGGTTCTTACAACAACACAGGGTCGAATGATCTAAATGCCATATCTGGAAGGCAGGTTGGAGGTAACGGGGTCAGAATGAATAACCTCAGCGGGCGAGGTATGACAGTTTCGAACTGCCAAAGTGGCCCACACGACAACTGGGTTCAGCTGGATGATGATTCCGATAGCCGGAAGGATATCATCATGAAAACTCAAGAAGTCACGATACAATACGAACGAGATGGTCAATCTCCTGGAAATTCATTTGAGAGAGTCAACATAGATGCATATCTTGGGCCACATCAGAGGCCCGGGGGAGTAGAAATACCTTATCCTGGTGGCCGGTCTGAATGCCGGCCGAAGTGGGGCCGTCATACCGTCGCCGGACATGGAAGTGATGATATACCCATCCAATTCAGCCGAACCATTACTTCTGAAGTCTCCATAGAACCATAAAGTCATGATGGACTACCATGAGCATCAAAAGTTGAGTGATATGCGGTCTGAAGGGATGCTTTATCATTGGTAATCATGATTACCCCTTGAGATCGTTGCCAGCGGAGTGGAACGGGAGAGTTGAAGTGCCCGCCGGCGCCTTGGCTCTTGGCAGGATGCCGACGGGCAGTGTCTGCATGCGTGACTGCACGATATGTTTAGACTTCTAGTCATTGCCTGCTGTGCCTGCCCACTAAAGGCGATCGTATCTTCGTTCACACCTTGAAAATGCGAGAAAGAGTTCTAGACGAAAGAAACTTTTCTAGCGATATTGATTAAACTCTAGCGCTGGCAATTTGCGTCCCTTCAGTACATCAACTTACCTAATGCATCTATGTGACAGGTTTCCGAACGACCTGGACAAGCCACGGCTGAGTAAGCTCGTATGTGTTTGTCTCTCTCCGGCAATGCCACCCCCGCGAGCTAAGTCTCACCGGATGCGGATAAGCCTTCTACCATTCGCTGTGCGACGTCAATGGCTTCATTTCTCTCATCTTCGTGATCCCACTCATTCTGATTGCACCCTTCAAGACGAAGTTTCCAAGTATCACGTATACAGTCGAGCGTCAAAATTTGATCATGGCCATGGAGATCCTCCCTCAGGAAGTCGTCGACCAGATCGCATCAAATTTACACCGACCCGACCTCAAGAACCTACTACTACTGTCACCTAAGCTCCGCACCGCGGCGGAGAAATACTCTGATGGCTTCACAGATTGCACTCTGCGAGTGCGTGATCTCTGTGAATTTGAAGACAAGTTCCGCGGTCCGCGCTTCTGCTGGCTGCGGAAGCTGGAGTATAAGCTGGTGTTGCTACCCCAACGACTGCCGAACAGGATTCGCTCAACGACAGACAACACCGCGGAAGCGAAGCGCAACGCGGAGTATCTTTCTAGTCAGATCCATCAGCTCTTTGATTGCCTGAAGAACCTCGAAGAGCATGATGGCCCGCAAAGCACGATAGATCTTGCAATCACCAGCCCTGAGACGCGTGAGACGGAGATTAGAATACCAGAAGCATGGCTCATACGGCTTCTTGACTCAGACCGGCTACCAACGCTCACATCTATCGGTTCTCTTCACCTGGGATCGTCTCCGACTCAGCGGCAGTCGAACTACTTTAGCAGATTCGATCTCAGAGCAACGCTAGATCTTTCGCTAAAACTCCCAGGCATCGAGAGCATAAGTGCCGACCTCTTTGATGAGCACAACTGCGATGCTGAAATCGATCGGATCCGCGTCCATGGGCGAGAAGATTTTGCGAGGGTCGCCAAGAGCATGTCGCTGCAGACAAGGAAAGCCGAGTTGAGATTCCAGAGCCGGAAAGCGCATCAACTTCTCGACCACGATGCTGCGATGCCGAAGCTTATCCTCTCAGGGCCGTCCGACTCCTTTAGCTCAAGTCTTAGACTTCTCTGCCAAAACCTCACCCAACTTCGACTAAGTGCTATTATTGATCATTCTTTCTTCTGGCCCGAGGATGACAATGGTTCAGTCTGGCCCAATCTGGAGTCTCTGGAGGTCAAGTTCCACCCAGTCACTCCATTCGGATCCTGGTATTTCATGGGGCCCCGTGGAGAAGGCAAGGACGTGCTGGGATACCCTGTTGAAGGCGTGAAGTACGCCAGTCAAGGCCCTTCCGCTGACAGCGATACCATCATATTCGGCCATGCTCCTTGCAGACCGTCAGGATGGCGTCTCAAGCCCAATCCAGACACTTTGTATCCGCTGCTCACCGCGTTCGCCAAGTCAGCAGCCAAGATGCCTCGCTTGAGAGAGGCTATGATATGGTCACCAATCTGGTGGTACCTAGGAGATCACGTCTCGTCCAGGTTCTCATACAACAAAGCCTTCGACATGATGAATAGCCAGAAGTCACTCGGTTGGGGGATTGGGTACACGGCACCGGATGCCGACGAGAACTCGGGCTCTGTGGAGTCCGATGATGATGACGTTCGGCTCTTTGAGTGGAGAACCGGCAGCTGGGAGGCAGATGAGACGTTAAAACAGCTGTTCCACAACATTGGTCGCGAGAGATACGGTGATGACTTTGAAGACGATTGGGATCCAGACGCAAATCAGGAAGATTTGTTTTTTGAGGATTTCTGCCAAGGCGAAAGAAATGTGTGATGTGATGCGCGGAGAATACAGAGAACGTATCTGGAAGCGACATGTTTGGTGCAGTCAGTTAGTTAGTTGAGCCCAATCGGACTCTTTCTGTCAAGCATTGTCTACATACCGCCTTTGGTCATTCCAATTTTGTAGATAATCATAATGCTGTGTGAGAAATCAACAGTCCCGATGACTATTCGCAACCTTATCTCCAGTTTCACGTTCCACTGATTGGAGAGTGATAACAACTTGATTTCCAAGAAGTACTAAGACCTTGGCTGGCCCCATCCGAACCACTGAAAACCCCCAACATCATCCTCTCGGCATCTCGGCGCTCCTGGGCAGATGCATTTCATCCCTTAAGCGACTAACAAGCCTTTCGCGTCCCATAATACTTCTGAGCCCCAGGGCCGAGCGGGTGATAACAGCGGGACGCATTGGATACTTTCAGAGCGAACATGCCCGCCGGCGATACCTAACAACAAGAAAGGCACATACCGTGTAGACATCGGCCCCCTATTGCGTTGATCCCGCTCCTCCACGCCAAGATGCGGCGGCGCACTATGCAGCGCGACAACGGAGATAACTTGCAGTACGGTACTCTGCAAGCCTACTCTATCCCATTCCAATGACCTTATCTCTCGATCGACGATTTTGCTCCGATGCATCGGAACAGACGTCCTTGGCTGAAAGCTTTTATCAGCTCCTCCAGGGTTTGTCATGATTAAGGTAGGCAGCTAAGATGAGTGACTGGCGCCGGTTAGTAGTAGAACTGATTAGTATCTGACGTACATCAGAGGCATGGGATGCTGGGAAAACTGGCAAGAGCCCGGCGGCCATTGGGAGATTGCAAACAGATCAGACGGGCGCTTTTGCTCTGCTATATCTCTGTCGGCTGTCCCATCGATCCAGGTGTCGCTTAGGATTGCTAGAAATTGTCCCGCGTTGTAATAAACTAAACTATTCAGCAGCTGACAGGAATCTTAATCCTGACAGAAGCCCGTCATGGACTCGACACCAGTTCTGCATCAAGGATGGGGGTTGGTATCCCTCCAATCTGTTCGTCGGACCTTGGACGTTAACAACATCTAGCTACGGCCTGATGATTGGACTAGGTGTTCTTTTTGCGTACGTAACGTCTTTCTAGTCTTTCCATCAGATCTATGTGCTGATTTGATTTACAGTGTGTTCATGATCATCATCACTTGGGCGCTCAAGAGATACAACTATGAGCTCCAGACATCCGAGATGTTCACAACAGCTGGGCGGTCACTGAAATCAGGATTGGTGAGGTTCAATGAGCTCCATGTTGACAATTTCCAACGCTAATCTTTTCTAGGTCGCTTCATCGGTGCTTTCGACTTGGACATGGGCCGCGACTCTGCTGCAAAGCACAGCCGTAGCTTACAAATAGTGAGATCTGTGAAGAGTTTATGTCTACCAGTGAGGCTGACTATATCAAGCGGCGTTTCAGGGCCCGTATGGTATGCCTCCGGGGCCACTGTCCAGATCATCCTGTTTGCCACGCTCGCTATCGAGCTGAAGAGACGTGCTCCCAACGCACACACATGTAAGAGTTTGGTAGAGTAAGGCTCCGTGAGTCTGGAACTAACCCGACTCTCTATCCCAGTTCTAGAAGTTGTGAAAGCACGATATGGTCCAGTTACACACGGCGTATACATTGTCTTTTGTTGCTTCTGCAATATCTTGGGTAGGACTCGGCCCTCATAGCCCTGATCGTTGTAATGCTAAGCCTTCGTCCCAGTGACGGCGATGCTTCTTACTGGTGGTTCTGCGGTCATCCAAAACTTAACTGGTGCTCCGGTAGCTGCGTCCGTATTCTTGTTCCCAATTGGTGAGCAAAGCCAGAAAATCGAAAGACTTCATTCACCCGTCTAACAGTTGAACAGGTGTGGTCGTCTATACCCTTTTCGGCGGTATCAAAGCTACCTTCATCACGGACTACATCAATGGCCTAGTCATCCTCATCATCATCTTCATCTTTGCCTTTACAGTCTACTCGACCAATCAGCTTCTGGGCTCCCCCGGGCGAGTATGGGAAATTCTCACTGAGCTTGCAGCTGAGCGGCCTTTGGCAGGGAACTCTGGTGGGAGCTACTTGACAATGCGCTCTCAGGGAGGAAGTAAGTTCTTAAACACATGTCTCGACAAGACTTATCTCACAATCAGGCAGTCGAGTTCTTCATCATCAACCTCTGCGGCAACTTCGGTACGGTGTTTCTGGACAACGGTTACTACAACAAGGCAATTGCAGCAAGCCCGATTGATGCTCTTCCGGGCTATGTCATGGGGTAAGACCCCTGCGAAAATTTACATGTGTCTTGTATTCTGACATCACCCCAGTGGAATCAGTTGGTTTGCCGTGCCTTGGCTCACGGCGACGACTATGGGTCTCGCTGGTCTTGCTCTAGAAAAATACGACATCTGGCCGACCTACCCAAACCGTCTAGCCGCTGCGGACGTTGATGCCGGATTGGTTCTACCCACTGCTGCCGTTGCTCTGCTTGGAAAAGGAGGAGCGGTTGCGACCCTCATCCTGGCTGTGAGTTGTGCTTCCAAGCGCGATATGTTTCTAGGATGCTGATTCTGAGCAGTTTATGGCTATAATGAGCACTTACTCGTCTGAGCTCATCTCTGTGTCGTCCATCTGCACCTATGATATTTACAAGACCTACTTCAACCCCACTGCTACCGGGAAGCAACTTATGCGAATCAACTACATTGGCATGGGCGTCTTTGCTCTTGTCATGGCTGGATTTGCGACTGGTATCAACTATGTTGGCATCTCCATGGGATATCTGTACCTGATGATGGGCGTCATCATTTCTTCCGCCGTCTTGCCAGCTGCTCTCACTCTTCTCTGGGATGGACAGTCTTGGGCGGCGGCCACCTTCAGCCCGATCATCGGATTCGCCCTTTCAATGACGACATGGCTAGTCACGACGAAGATCAAGTACGGCGAGTTGAGTGTTACGAACACGGGCGCCAACGAGCCGATGTTAGCCGGAAACTTGACATCTCTCCTTTCGCCAATTGTCTTCATCCCACTTTTGACATTCATACCACCTTTCAAGCCTCAGCAGTACGACTGGCAGAGTATGCTCAACATCCGACAAGCTGACGATCATGAACTCGTTGACGCTGCACATGTGGATGTAGAGAACCCGCCCGAAGACAGGGCTAGGGCGCTGCAGAGTGATCCTGATGAGCAGATCAAGCTTGAAAAAGCAGCCAAGACTGCCCGCTGGCTGACTGTTGGTGTGACACTCGTTCTGCTCATTCTGTGGCCAATGCCACTGTATGGCACTGGTTATGTCTTTGGAAAATCTGTGAGTGATTATTTTGATTTCGTTTCCAACTATGCTACCTTACTAATGTCGTGCCATAGTTCTTTACCGGCTGGGTTGTGGTAGGAATCACTTGGCTGTTCGCCTCTGTTATCATGGTTGTCTTCTTGCCGATCTTTGAATCTCGGAGCACAATTGTTCGAACCACCCGGATGATGTTCAAGGACCTTTTTGGCCTCCGAAGAAAGGGCAAGCCCGTCAGTGAGGGCATGTCGCCTGGATCAAGGACTCCACCTGAGGTCACGGAGAAGGCTACGTCCAAGGTGTGAAATTCAGCATGGAGCTTTCTTAAGTCGATTTTCGTAAATGAGGATCATGTAGTCTTTCAAGAATGTCTCATCGCATGCGCTGATAGGAAATGCCGTGCGTACTGCCAGTAGTCTTGTTGCAAAAGTTTTTGTTTGAATACGCAGTGTATCTCATGCTGAGAAAATGATCTTAGTCTATCCATTTCCGCATGCTCTGACGTTCCAGTTCTAACACAACGACAAATCGTCTCAGCGGATTTAACTGTTTAATGAGCCTAGATGCGGATTTCCATGACAGCGATTCAACCAGCGGATGATCAGTGGAATCCGTTCGTTGTGCACGTCGCAAAGTCTTTGAAAAATTCCGAAATATCCTCAGCAGTCGTAAAGGTGAAAATTCCGGCTACGTCTGTGTTCACAAAGTCAATCAAGTATTGGTCAAATCGAAGGCCTCTTTGACAAAACTCACACTGGTCTGGTCGGACGAGCACCATCGCGCCAACCTCTGGATTCACGCCATATTTCGCATATGCTTCCCCGTGGCCCGCGTGATAACTGGCATCATCAACGAAAACATTTTGAAGGCCTCCATGATCTCGTCAGCCATAGGACTTGTAGAATGGAAGTGTTTGAGGTAGAGACGAGACTTGTTAAAACAACATCCGGAATACTCACATTTAACTCCCCACCTTCCTGCGTTGGGAGTGAACAACTGTGGGATCTGCCGATCTTCCAATCTTCGTCGGTCAGATTTGAGCACCAAAACCAGACTTAAAAAGCTATGGATATCGTTTTGAAGGGTAGGAAGCTGTTTCATCAATACTTCAAGCGATTCTGCGACCTGTACACATGTTTAGTGATGCTGTGAACAAAGCTGCAAGAGACGTTCATTTTGCTCACCTGGATCAGGCGTTTCTCTGCCTGAGCCTCTACTACATCGCCAGGGAAGATAATCAAAGACCACCTCGAGTCTGTACACAGAGCATGCGAAAGTTGCATTGCTTTGGCATCAGAGTAGCGAACGACTTGCGCGCTTTCGAATCTCATTCCTACGCTGACACCAGACGCCAAGTTGTCTTTGTGACCAGGCCTCACGAGCTTCGATGGCTGGTACTGTGTGGCTAGACCAGCAGTGTATCTCCCCGATTTGATAAAATACTCTTGAAAGTCTTCAGTGGTGTACCCGTTCTCTTTCCGGTACGCCGAAGAAAACATCTTTGCGAATTGCCTGTCAAAATCGATGAGGCCCTTGGCTGTCTGGTGACGTTCAGAGACGTACGTCTCCAATATCGAAGGATGAGCGTGCTTTCGGAGAACTGCGGCGAGTTTCCATCCAATGTTGTACCCATCTTGGAGACTGACGTTCATGCCTTGTCCCGCCTTGGGCGAATGTGTGTGGCAGGCGTCGCCGGTAAGGAAGACCCGATAATCTTTTGTAAAATGGTCCGCAAGCCGTTGTCCGATGGAGTATGCAGAGAACCACGATGTCTCCGCTATTTCGACTTGGTAAGGCTTGAAAATGCCATCGATACGCTCCTTCACTCTCTCAGGTGTGACTTCACCCGGTGTTGAGACTGGCATTTCCATGTAGAACCTGACCATCTCGTCACCCTCTCTGGGGATGATGACCAGATTGCCTGAGTCAGACTGGATGACGCTCTTCTTCCGGATATCGGGAAAATCGGTCTTGGGGTAAATGTCCATGACAGCCCAGACCACATCACTGCTGTCGCCCACCATCTTGAAGCCAAGAGACTTCCTCACCGCACTATGGGCTCCGTCGCAACCCTAGATTCGATAATTAGCATCTCTTTCAGCTCAGTAGAAACCTAAGCGGGACTGACTAAAGCATACTTGGCACGATATGTGCGCTCAACACCATTTTCAATCGCCTTTACAGTCACGCAACGGGCATCGGGGTTTGCCGCGGCCTCGCTATCGACAACAACTTCACGTATGTCACTTCCATACTGAATGTGTGATTGACCAGATGACTTCACGATGTCCTCAATCAAAATCTCGTTGATGCGTGCCTGATTCAGGATCACATGGGGTAGATGGCTGAGTCCGGGCTCGGTGTCTGGTTCGAGATGTGACCTGCGAATTCCGCCGTTGCCGTCGGGTGACCAGAATGCAAGTTCGAGAACGTGATAAGCTTCCTTCAGCACATCCTCTGAGAGACCCAGGTGCTCAAGAATCTCAACTGTGCGGACTTGGACACCATCTGCTTGGCCTTGCTTCAGTGGCCTTTCTCGCCGCTCGAGGATTTTGAAGTTGATGCCGCATCGAGCTAGCCAGACTGCTGCGCAAAGACCGGCCGAGCCGCTACCGCAAATGAGAACGTCGTACTCCTCAGACATCTTTCAAAAGAAAGAACGACAGTAAGATTTGGTGTTGCTTGTATTTGATCGCATATGACACCTTCTACTTGATCGACTTATACTAGCCGAAGTTCCGAAATCAGCTACCGAGCGGGGTTAACAATTATTTCCCCGGAAGTCAACTCGTGCGGGGGATTGTCATGGGGACCGTCCCTGCATACAAAGACATTTCCTGTGCATCCGACGAGTCTTCCGAATTCCGTCCGGGATATGAGGTCGGCACCGGAGACGACACCCACCAAACTATTGAGCCTGTGGATCCGGGTCCGCGTGGGTCCTCGAGATACCGACGGGGCCACGGCAGGTTTTTCACAAAATGCCGGAGGTTCGGCCACAAGATGTTGATCTGAAAGGATCGAACGTACGGTCTTGCTGCAATAGTACCAAGAAAAGCATGCCATGCCAGTGCTCATGTATGACGAAACCTGCTTCGACTAAGCGCTTATGCACCCCAATTACCCCTCAGTTCCGCGCCTCAACACAACATGACGCCTTGGGCCCTTGGCTGCAAACGCAAAAACAAGAAGATGGGCAAAAATGTAGCTAGATAAGGGCAGCTAAATGGAACTTAACCAGTCAAATTCTGCCTCGGCGGATTATATTTCCATTTCCACAATTTTACGTCATCAAATACATGCAAGAATTTCTCTTACCTTTTCACTCCCCTGCGCGTCATCATTGCAAGTTTGCCCTCCTCCAAAGTAACTGAATCAATCATTCAACAAATCGTCACGATGTCTTCCTCCGTCATTCCCACTTCCACCTCCGTCGTCGAGAGCGCCGTCATCAAGGCGCCTCTCAGCCATGTTTGGCACTTCATCAAGCGTAAGTGCAGTGAAAATCTTGTTCAACGAGTGGGTCAAGGATGAGCGTGAGCAAACGCTGATATCGAAATTTCAACAAACAGTCCAGAACTTCCAGAACTTCTGGTCTGCTCTGAAGGGCAGCGAGTTCGTCAAGGCTCAGGAGGAGACCGATATTGTCAGATGGACTTTCCAGGACGGCACCGTCCTTGAAGTTAAGCAGGAGGAGCACAGCGTGAGTTTCTTGATCGCGGGGTTACTTCCTCGTGTTTGCATACGAAAGACCGCACGGAGACTGATACACTATTCAGACCATCAACCACTACATTACCTACAGCGTCATTACCTCCCAGCCTGAGCTGTCTTACACCTCTGTCGTCAGCACCATCCGCTGCTACCCCGTCACCTCTGGCGAGAACGAGAACAGCACCTTCGTTGAGTGGACCGGCAACTTCTCCAGCGACGCCGATGCTGGTGTCATCCAGGACGCCAAGTTCAAGCGCCGTGAGGCTCTTGCCGATCTGGCCAAGGCTGCTGCCAAGTTGTAAATGTTCATAAGAAATGAGACTGGAATGTCGAATTGTTGAACTCTTGCTCTGGCCTCGTCAAGGAAGATAGTCAAAAAAGTAAAAGATACCACTTGTTGTTCACATTTCCTTCCGCTCCTCATACTTGATGCGCGAATCTTATAGTGAACTTCACATTGCATTCGTGAATATCCATACAGAAAGTATTCGAACTGAGACCTAGTGAGAGGAACTCACTGAAACTTCATTCTTTGAGTGAGTACTTATATTCTATCAAAGCGGGCATGAGTTGTCATGTTCCATTCTTGAGTCTTGATGACAATGAATATCAACTTATATGATACTCGCACTGCCTTCTCAGGGCAGCTGCACTCCCGTCATCAGCTCGCAACTCATACTGATAGTCCTCTTCCACATCGCCCCTGCATTTCCTTTCTAACAAGTTGCCCTTTCCGAGGTCTCCTTCCTCATGCCATGCCAACTCTTCTTCTGAGGTTCGCCAATTTCATCATCAACAGAGCTCTCAACAATTGCATGCCTACACTGAACTGCTGCCAATAGCGATTCCGAGTCAATGGATTCCGAAGTAGGCCAAATAGCAGTGACAGAGCGTATCCCACAACAGCGGCAACTGCCAACTTCTTTGGCCATGACCGTCTCCTGCGCCCGGCGTGAGTCGGTCCCTTTGATATGTCAGTACTTGGCCGTTTCAAGTAACCTCGTTGTCATTCACATGCTTACACGTATTTCCAAGTCCCCAAAGTCGGGAAACAAGCAGCGGTACCAGAAGTACGCTTGAGAATAAGGATAGGTTGAGCCGTTCCACTTTTTGCCGTACGTTGTGTCCTTCAGATACCAGCTAGTGCATCCTGTGGACCATACAGTCTTCTGCATGTCGGCCTGCATCTGGTTCACATATCGCTGCTCTGCCTCTCTAGTCACTTCGACGGTCGTTCCCTTGCCGTCAAGCACCGGTTTGATGATGCGAAGTGCAAAGTTGATGGAGTTTTCCGCAGCGATAATCGTGGATGTGTGGCCTGTGAGTGAGTTTGGGCCTAGAGTGGACTAAGTTAGCAAACGTTTTACTCTCCATGCTACATATCAGGGAGCATACCAAGTAATACGAAGAAGTTGGGGAACCCGCTTGCTATCGTGCAATTGTAGGCTTCTGGGCCACCAAAAGACTCCCAATGCTGGTCAATCTGCTCTTCGTTTCGACCAATAACATCTAGCCCCCCAACCGCGTTGTTCGTTACGAAACCATTGGCCAGGACGATGACATCCGCCTCTGTGACGCCTTCCCGAGTCCGAATACCCTCTGGTACAATTTCTTGGATCGGGTCATCGAGTAAGGTAAGATTCTCCGAGTGTAAGCTCTTCAGGTAGCCCGAGTCGAAAATGCGTCTCTTACAGCCCAGTTCGAAGTCCGGTATGAGTTTGTCATGATACTTCTCGGGTGCTGTTGTCTTCATGTACTTCTCAGCATTGGCCCTAGCGCGCTTGCGATACTTGTTCCCATCGTCCGTCATGTAAAATCCTCTCAGTGTGTTCTCTGCCGCAGCGAAGACCAAAAACCTTTGCAGTGTCTGTGTTCCCGGCACATGCCTCAAGATGTTCTTCATGAACTCTGTATTCTCGTTGTCGACGGGGGGAAGAACCCAATGCTTTGTGCGGACAGCTTGCGTGAGGTGCTTCGTCTTGCCTACAATCGCCGGCACGATTTGCGATGCGGTACACCCGTTCCCGATGACCACGACCTTCTTGTCCTGGATATCCACGGTTTGATCCCACCGGGACGAGTGGAATATGCGACCCTTAAAGCTTGTTGAACCAGGAACGTCGATCTCCCGTGGTTGCATCAGTTGTCCCGTGGCAGCGAAGAGGAACTGACACTCATGCGCAAAGACTTGGTTGGTTTCGTAGTGACGGATGCTCAACCTCCAGCGCTTGCGCTCTTCCGACCAGACGCATTGCTCGACGTTGACACCGAATCTCATCTTCTCTATGAGCGAGTATTTTTTGGCTACATCGTGAAGATACTGCCATAGCTCCTGTTGCGGAGGCAGTACTCGACTCCAGTCTGGATTGGACTCGAACGAGAAGCTGTACAAAGCGCTAGGCACGTCGCATGCACATCCTGTGAGTTGATGTCAATAACAGCCATGTTTGGTGGAGCCCATGCTCAGAGAGGATATGTCACCTGGATATTGGTTGATGAACCATGTTCCTCCAAGATCACTATGCCGCTCAAAGAATTTGATGTCGCCAATGCCATACCATCTCTTCAGCGTAGCTCCCAGCCCGATCGCCGAGAACCCAGTCCCAACGCATGCGAACTGACTGTAGGTAGGCGTATCCGGAGCTTTCGACATTTTCCGCGTATCAAATCGGCCCATGTATTGACACTACTTTCAAGAATGGTAGTCAAGAGTAACCGACTCTCACTTCAGATACGCCTGTTGACTTTGTTACAAGAAAGGATGAGGTCAAAAACTCAGTTTCAGGAAGCGACCAAACACTCGCGGAAATCAGGATAGTGCGGGGGAGCATGTCGTCGTCGACCTTGGTCAACGGGGGTTAGCTCGCCGATGCCTCGGCTCGTCCCACGTTGGGCGTGCCCGTCTCGTCCGAGAGTGGCAAGCATATGCATGCTACCACGACGTCGTTGTGAAACTTTGTAAGAGCTTCTGAGAAACACCATGACCTAAGAGACCTCGTTTTAATGGGGGGATCGCTCCAAAGTGGGGAGCTATGGCTCGGGGATGAGGGGAAAATGGAGCTGGTCGCGGAAGGGTGACGATCCCGCTCGGGACTATTGGGCAACGATAGTTCTTGGCAGATCGGGAGCACACGAGCTATGTGAAAATGCAACGGTTCGCGGCCGGAGCGCCGGGGTAACGGAGATGTTGACGCCCCGGTCCATCTCGATTCTGTTGAACTCATCCGGTTGGGGGCCTTTTGGAGACCCATCACCACATTTAGCGAGCTGCAGGTCTCAGCTCTGTGGACGTGCAGACATATTTTCAGTAGGTGTGACAGGTAAACATATTGATCCAACCAGAAGTTTGAGGGAAACAGCAGGTGGCTGTGACTTGGTGATTGTCTATCGTGGATACATTTGGCTGCGTTGAAGCTGTGCATACCTAATCGTATCTGTCTCACCACATCTAAAAGACCGTACAGAGATTTCAATACGTTCACTTCTTCGCAGGCTCCACCATCTCAAATTGCCCAGTTGTATCATCAATCTTTTGCCTCGGAGTGTACGCGATATCCTTTGCGCTCGCAGTTGTTTCTCTCGCGAGACGCCATAACCACTCGGGACCAGCTCGCTGCAAATTGGTCACGTCAGCGTGTAGTTCAAAGAATCGGGGAACGCAAGAGACTTACCAGGGCTGTCACAGATGACATGATACCGGGCAGATAGATCGTCCTTCCGAAGCCACTGTACAGGGAATTCACGATGGCCTCTCCTACTGAGTCCACATGAAGCAGCGGCATCATGAAATGGGGCTGACCGGGGTCAAAGGGAACCAGCGGTGTTCGGATGAAGCCAAAGATTCCAAGCGTTTGACGAACTTTGGGCGCTTTGTGAATGTACTTCAGCTCAAGTTGAAGTGACTATGATAGTGTCAGCAGTCGTCAAAGCGCTCAACAAGCCAAAAGAATATCATTTACCTCATGCATCGCGGTGAGTCCTGCCTTGGTGGCTGAGTAGTCAGCAATTCTCACTGGGGGAACCACTGAACTCATCGACCCGACGTTGACAATATGGCCATGATTGGTTCGAACCATATAAGGCAAGAATTCCTTCGTAAGCAGGAAGGGGGCGAGCAAGTTTGTCTTGATAGTCAGCTCAACGTCTGCGTACGAGCCTTCCATGACGCTGTAGCCCCGTGCAATTCCCGCATTGTTGATGAGAACGGTGGGATCGCCGACTTGAGTTCGGATCAACGTGCAAAGAGTCTTGAGCGCCTTTGTGTCGGTCAGATCACACTTGAAGAAGTGAATGTTAGAGCCTTTCGGAGGCTCCCATAGTAATGGAGCCAGGTCGACAACAACGATAGTCGCCCGCGGGTTTCTGGCTAAGATATGTTTGATAATACTGTGGCCGATACCGCTGCTGCCACCGGTAACAACGATGATTTCTTTGTCAAAATCCCATGTGTGGTCTGTCGTCCAGTTATTTGCCGACCATTTGTTCAGATACTCGGTAGTTGATAAGACAAAGCTTGCTAGAGCCGCGAGAAAGGCAACGCGCTGAGCGGTGTCAAATCTGATGTCCGAGAGTCCGACCGCTCCGTTCTTTTTTGCTGATACCACTGCCAGTCCGGTCGCAAGCGGTATTGAGAGGTATGGATTGAGGACTGATTTCCGGAGCCATCTGGCAATCACATCAACCGTGAATCCTTCTCGTGAGGTCAACATGGTGCAGTTGTTGCTAGCGTCATCAATCCCACTAGAAGATGCAGATAGATAGAAAATAGTTACCAATAGTTGGAGCTAGAATGCTGCCTGGGGTTGGTGTTTTAATGTTATGGGCGAAACTGTCACGTTTCAACGTGAGCCGAGATCGACCCAACAGCTTTAGAACACTCCCTCCAAAGTGAGAAGCCGAGGTCCGGAACCACTTCCACGAGATCAGACCAGGCGGCTTGATACCCCAATCTGCACGAGCATGAGGTTTGGAGATCCAAGCTTCTTTTCCCTGCACGTCAAAGTGAGGGGCATCCCCCACGCAATAATGCAAGGGTCTAACCTGAAGGAGCAACATGATGCTACGTGGGAGACCGGCTTTTGTGACGAGTTTAAACGAGTGCGAACTACCTTGCTAGTCAATCTGCATCAAGTTGCTGTTACCTCTGCCACCCTGTATAATCTTGAATTATGCCTCGGTCGGAAGCATCGGTAGTTGAAGCGTCTCTTCGGTTGCTCGTGCCTCCTGCGAATTACGGCGGACAGACATGTCAGTGACATTCTGAGCCACGTTTGCGTTTCTTGTCCACGTCAAACCTCCTGTCTGAACCTATCTGAACCTGTCTGAACGCCCTCCCAGACTTCCAAAGCCACCCTGCGCTGAGCGGTGGTGGTTGCTTACTCACTTACCAGTTACTCATAGCACAGCCTTTTCTCCTTTCATTTATGTCGGCCATACGGCTGGATTGTAGACAGCTTTGACACCAGACGAACCGAACCCTTAGACACATCAGTAGGCTTCTTTTCGGGTGCGATCATCGCGTGCGAGTGCGACCGAGAAACGAAGAAAAAAATGTCGGTATCGAGACCGCAGCTTTCGCTTTGGGAGAAGAGAGACTTAGTCTTTCGTTTGCTATTCCGTGGTATGTCTCGCTTTCGACATGGCTCTTGCTTTCCAGCGAGGCATTGAACGGTGACTGACTCCCCGTATTGGTAGCTCCGATACAACTGGCGTGGAACTTCTTCTATGGCATCCCGTTTGCTATCGCGAGAGGCGTCTCGGTCCGCTTCTTCGCCTTCTGCGCCTATTACCGTTTTGCCTTGGGGTCGATGAGAGCACGCGAGATACAATTCCTAATTCCTCCTTCGATCAAGACGTACGAGAAATGGATCGCCAAAAAGCAGAAACGTCATCCAGAACTCGCAGACAAGCTGCAGAAGAAGATTGAGGCCCTCCCTGCTAATGACGGCTCAATCTTGTGGATCGGCAATCGTCAGAAGGCCACAAAGTTCGTCCTGTTCTTCCACGGCGGTGGATACGTGGTGCCGCTTCTCCCCGGACACCTCGACTGGTGTTGGAACGCGTACGTCACTGGCGGCCCTGGAGCTCACGCAGAGGTTGCTGTTGCGGTCTTGCAGTACACTCTCGTCCCCGAGGCTAGATATCCCACACAGCTCCGTCAAGCGATCGCGGCGCTCAACCAGCTCATCCTATCCGGCATCAAACCCAACGATCTCCTCATAGGCGGCGACTCGGCCGGAGGAAACCTGGCATGCTCCGTCGTTCGCCACATCTGTCACCCATGCCACCTCGAGATCCCGGCCCTACGCCTGGAGAACCGCCTCGCAGGTGTATTCCTCGTGTCCCCCTGGCTCAGTAGTAAGACGACGACGCCGGCTTTCACAGAGAACAACTACGTCGACATGCTCACCACAACGTGCATGTCCCGCGCCACGGCCGAGCTTCTGCACCCGCGGTTCCCCGTGCGGAACAAATCCGACGAGAGCGACCTCGCCATGGCGATGCCGATGGACGGTGATATGGCATGGGTCGATGAGATTTCCGCGGCGACCAAAAGCCTGTACATCACTGGAGGTCAGCAGGAAGCTTTCAGAGATGATATTCGCGCGTTCTCGGAGCATGTCAGCTGTGGGAATAACGATCTAGATCTACTAGTCGAATTGCCGGAACGCGAGGCTCATGATTTCATCTTGCTTGAAGGTCAGACGGGTCGTGTGGGCGATGCGACGGTGAGGATGAGGAATTGGGCAGGTTCACAATTGGGCACCGGGCGCGCTTCAGTGTGACATAGCATGGCAGTTAAGAGCGACACATGTATGAGAGGTGGTGGTGGTGGTGAATTATTCGCGCCAATAAACTCGTGATTCATTCATTCATGAGCGGACAGAAAGTGAACCGATATAAGAGAATGACCGTGGGCCAGCAAATGATGAGGAGTTGCCGTCGCGTGCATTTCGCTATGAGCAATGGAGGTTGAGAGTGAGTTGGAGCAGCCCATGATTGTGAGAGTGGTGAGGGGTCCTTTTCACTCGCTATCACTCTTCCAAGGTGTAACAATGTGAACTTTCACTGTTTATCGCAGTGCAGTAAGGCAACATGTGCTTCTGAGTCATCATATCAAAACCCTGGCTCATTTAGTGCCTTGAACCCTGGTTCTCATCCCAGTCAGAATGAGCGGTCTGGTCGAATTAGAAAAGATATCTTCTGCATCTGTCCGCACGACCTGCTTGAAGAAGACGACCAGTTGCCAACGGTCTCGCCAAGCGAGGCCTATTTTGGCCGCTTTGAGGGCGGGGTGGAAAGAAACAGACGCGTCGCGTCCACAAACTCCACGCAACAGACGGCAAAGTATCTCAACAAGGCTTCTTCACGATAACAAATCTTCTGCGGGGCAATTCCAGTTCTTTCTTTTTCTTCTCAGATTGTGATACCACTGTGAGTCTTGGAAGCCAAACCACCAACTTCTCATACTCACTTTGCTCACTTACCCCTCACTCAGCCGTGGTCAACGTCGACGAGATGCCTCCAGATCAACCCCCCCTCAACTGCGCCTACAACCGCGACGATGTCGTCGCCGGCCTCAAGCAATATTACTCGGCCCTCACGCGCCTGGCCTACATTCCATCATCATACGTCGACTTCCCCCCGCCAGGAGGCTGGACAGATGCCGACCTCGATATCGGCGCCCTGCGGGCTCTGCGACGCTCCGAGGTCGTTATCGACCTGCTGCGCCATCTCCCCTACGCCAGACCGATGCACGACGGACCTCGTCCGGGCCCCTGGAACGTCGCACCACAAACCAAGGCTGTGCGCTACCTCCGTCACGAGGGACACTTCAGCCAGTGGTCCGATCGCGGCGACGCGGGGCTTCATGAGCTCGCTGCCCTTCCCACGCGCGATACGGGAGCCGCACCAATGGATTTGCCGCCGGACGTTATTTGTCTCACGTACGGAGAGTATCGTTCCTCTAGTTCGCGCACGAAGCCTTATTGGTGGATTGTAGACTGCAGCCGAGGTATTCTCACGCCATACGAGGAGAATCTCTACACCGTTGGAAAGGTCCCGCGTAACAAGCCGTGGCGGTGTGTACGGTCGTACTCTGTTACGGACTACTTCTCTCAGCTCGTGTCAAGCCTAGGCGTCCAGTTGTTCCCCGTGCCGCCGACTGAGGACGTCGATGCCGAGATCCTCGACCCGAGCGCTCTCGCCAAGTCGTCGGAGCCGGTGGACATCTACCGCGCCCACGGCTGGGGCACTGGCGATCTTGCAGACTTCAAGCACGACGAATGCATCGTCGCACTCCAGGGCTGGCGGCGCCGGGTGCACGAGGCAGAGCAGAGAAAGATCGCTCAGGACGTAGATGACGCAGACGATGAGGACTTCGAGATGGACGACAGTGATGACGACGAGGATGCGGCACACGAAGGAGAAGCTGGCGATGGACTAGCTGATGCTGTGGCGGATATGGAGATGGATGACTTGAGTGCCGAAGCTGCTGCTCTTAGAGCTGACATGAGCCCGGAGGAACGCGCCAAGTTTGATTGCAGACAGACGCAGTCGCACTTTGAGTGGATTGACGAGGAATGATTGAGATGCAGCATGCCTTACGAAGCCAAGTTTGTCGTTGATTTGCAACCAGTAGATGAGAGATAGAACTATGCCACAAAATAATGACCACGCTCACACCCTTGTGAGTACAGCTTTGAGATCCATGTACACCGTCACACAATCCGAGCATCCCATTACATCTTCGACTCATGCACCACCTTCTTCACTTCACAGTCCCAATCTGGATCGCTCCCCTGACTGTGCTTCTTCAATAAGGCCATGGAGTTGTCTCGCAAAATCTCGGGTGCAAGAACCGACCCTCTTGGATGAGATGCAACAAACCCCTCGTAGGAAAGAACCTGAAGCTCAATTAGCAGATCAGGGCAGTATGGGAAATCCGATCCGAAAAGAATGTGAGACGGATCGGCAAAGTCGAGTAAGCCACCTAGCTGGGTCGGGCTGGAGCTCAACGCCGTGTCATAATAAAACCGAGCAAAGTCGGCCTGCGCAGTCTCATAATCCACAGCTACGACATCAGCGAGGGCTGGGATGTTGAGGGTTCCAAGCACACGGGTGGCTAGGAATGGGAGAGTTCCTCCAGCGTGCGAGAGAATCACGTCGACGTCGGGACAGGAGTGGAGGGTCCCGGTTAGGACAAGGTCCACCGCGGCCCGGGTAGTCGCGAGAGGGTAGTCGACGATCGGCTGCGGGAGAGCTGAAGCTATGAGCTTTGGCGTCACGTCGAGGCCCGTCGGATGGAGAAAGATGAGAGCCTTTTGAGCTTGCAGCTTCTCCCAGATGGGCTTGAAGGCTGGGTCCCCGAGGAGCTTGCCCCCGTACGAGGTAAAGACGGTTACACCGTGACAGAGTCTCTGCTTCTGGTAAAGAAACTCGATTTCTGATATTACGCCGTCGACGTCTTCCCAGTCAGGGAGCACTCCAAAGAATCCAAGCCGTTTCCCCGCTAGTGACTTGCTGATTTGGTTTGCGAGGTCGTTGTTCAAGGTATGTGCAAGCTTTCGCCCGTCCTCACCACTTCCCGCGATCGATGCACCGGGGGCTGAGACTGATAGTATTCCTGTTCACGGTATTAGTCGAGTGGAGGAATGATGCACAATTCTCCCTAATTCATAAATCTCACCTATCGATGTGCTGATACTATCCATCAGCTTGACAGTGGCATCTAGAGACCACTCAGGCGATGGAAACCCGGAAGGGTCCCCTCCTGCGGCGTTCACCGCTGCAAGGTAGGCTGGAGGAAGCGCGTGAATGTGTGTATCGATACGTCCCGACATATTGACTTGATTTTAATTTGTATTCAGTATCATGGAATCTGTTGGGTCGAGTGCTCATGTTGTTACATACATCCATCTCAAGAAGTGTAAGTGTTGAGGCAGTCAATCCTAAGTCCCCGGTCAACACACGGAAGCACGGTGCCGATAGCCGACCCCTCTCGAGGCCGAGCTGCCGAACTAAACATCTTTGATCGTCATTGGCCACTCACGGTGGTCGGCGTCAGATATTCGCTAGCTCCGACATTTGTATCAGAAACGGCATTCGGTGCGTATAATGACCGCGAGCAATGTCCAATTACACCAGTAGCAGCTATAACGGTGTATAGTTTCGACGTATTCCTTAAGCACATCATTGAATTTCTCAAGGTCCGAATACCTATCTGAGAAAAGACCTCATCTGTAAACGCATTGTAATTACTATGGTAGATGATAAGTGAGACCTGCTTGGCAATGAACAAGTTACAACTTCGTAGCAAACAAGGCAAGCCTGCGCGGTAGAGGGATTCTGCGTGAGCCACGTATAATAGAAACTCGAGCACCAATTGGAGTTGCATGCCAGATCTTCAATATCACAAGCTTGTCGCTATTTCGATTTGGAAGGCTTCTACCTTCTCCAAACATGTACCTATCATGCAAAGTCCGATCACTTGATGGCAAGGTTTGAGTTGGGGGTGTATGCTAGACAATCGCCCAGGAATCGAGTTTTTCAGCATGCCAGGCTCTGGAGTTACCAGGGAAAGAAGAAAAGGAGAATCTAGAGTAAGCTCGTATTGAAGCTCCCTTGGACTTTGTTCGCCAGGCTGTCGGCATCTTCCCCGCCTAAAGTCGTCTTCGAAGTACCTAGTAGTGATGACCGTCACGCTTTTGGCTTAGTGAGCGAGGTAGAAGCAAGAAATCAAAAGTGCAAAACATTCATGTAGGGACATCACTTTCGATGGCCAGGTTACACTAAAGAACCCAAGCTGTTGAAATGCTTGAAAAGAAAGAACAGTAATTAGCGATTCTAGACCGAGAAGATCGTCACTCAAGACATCACCGGGTCTCCCTTATGTAGTGCGACATTGTCTACCGTACCAGTTCACCTCGCTCGGCACGAAGCAAAGTCCTCGATACCTCCGGTCCTCAGCAGGCTTTGCGATTGATGCTTTTGCCAAGAAACCTTCCTATCTCTATTGAGGGCGGCTGATGGCCATCGCTTTTGAGGTTCATCTCAGCTTTTCAATCCACAATCCAACCAGTGGTTCGTTCGCCATCTCTGCCTGCGCTCCATCAAACGTCACTGGCGACTGATCTTCGTGCGGGGATGCATTGTCCGGAATTTTACAGTGTTTCGCAACTCAGACATCGTTGGAGATTCTTGCCATATCCAGTGACAAATGTTATCTGTAGCACCACATGTTGGAGCTGACAACTGACGAGATTCCTGACTACCTCATGAAGACAGTAAACGCCATAGCATTGGTTGTCTTAAAATAGCGGCTGAAAACGTCTTTTCCTCAGCCCAATTGTATCCCTGGCTGCATTCCTCTTATGTACATTCTACCGATAATCATGCATCGGCCACTCCTATGCCCCTACTAGTGCTTATTTGCTTGGCCCAACGTCGGTGGTGATTCCCTATGATGATCACAACATTCACTCGAATGAAGCTTGAAAAGTCCACTCTTTCCACTTCTTGCGTTAAAATATTCTTAAAGTCACTAGCTCTCTCCAAAGTTCTTCAAATTCGTCAAATCGGGATGGAGAACCCCAATCAATTCAAACTCGAAGCCCTGTCTACCCCACGATCCATTCGACTCGTAGTGCTCCACAGGAGCGCGAAGAACAACTCCGTTCAAGAACCTCTTAGCTGTCGTCTTGTCGAAGCAAACGTGGACTGCCCGCCCTCATACGTTGCGCTATCTTATACCTGGGGCGGAGAAGAGTCCTGTGAGCCGCTCACGATACAAAGTTCTGGATCTGCCAGGAAACAGCTGTTAATAACTCCGAATTGCGCTGCGGCACTGAGGTTGCTGCGTCGATCTCTTCGCCGCAAAACGAAGAACCGCCGTAGCTTGAGTGTCTGGATAGACGCCATCTGCATCGACCAGGCATCTGACGATGAACGCAATGCTCAAGTGGCCATGATGGCCGAGATCTACCAGCGCGCAAATACCGTAGTTGTCTGGCTTGGGGAGGATCATGCGCCGGCTTCCTGGGGCAGTTTGGCGTGTTCGAAGCCTCTGGCCTTGTTTCCACGTCTCGGGTATGATCGCGGTCGTAACGAAGGAGTAAAGAGCTTGGCTGCCAGAATTGCTCTGAAAGGTACGATGTCGTGCATGTCCTCATCCTCAGATTTGTTTTTTCAACCTCTAACCAAGTGACAGTTTGTAATAGTGATACGCTACATCACTTGAGACTATCACCCTACTGGACACGAGTATGGACGCTACAAGAATTCGCCCACAAGAACTCTGCCGTCTTGTGCCGTGACTCCCGACTCTTTCTCTTCTCGAGCCTTGCGCGTCTCCTGGCAGTGGCACCAAAAGACGAGAGCGTACCGAGCCAGCAGGGGATGGACCTACACGTGGACCTCTACGAATGGCAAGCAATGGCAACGACGCGGCCGTTCCGCGCAGCAACGAATCAACTACGTCGCGTGCTCACAATGCAAGCCTCCGAGCCGCGAGATAAGATCTTTGCGCTGCGGGCACTGTCCCCGGGTGTACTCGGCAAGATGACGGTGGACTATCGGAAACCCGTCGGAGAGGTCTTTCGGGACGCAACAAGACTCATGGTCGAAGAAGAGAACAGCTTGCGGGTTCTGTACTTTTCGAATCGGAAGAAGACGACGGCTGGTGTTGCATGGGAGAGCATGCCGTCGTGGACTGTTGACTTTGCGACTACGGACTCTGAGGTGAGGGGGTCATAAAAGTACTACTACACTAGTCTTTGCGCGGCTTCTGGCGGCGCCAAGTCGTATTTCGTGTTCTCTGGAGATGGTAGGAGGCTTACTCTGCGAGGGGTACGTCTAGGGACAGTAGGAAGTTTCGTGAGCGACATATTCCCTACCACGAGCCAGTGCTCCGAAGGAAGATGTGATGTCGATGACGAGAAGATGGCGGACAATGACGGAGAGAGCGAATTGAATCAACCATTTCTACACGACTGCGAAAGCCCCTATCTAGATGTACTCGGCCGCTTCATGACGAGCGTTACGAGCTCTATCTGGGCGGGGCCGAAGCTCGACGCTATGGGCCGCAGTCTCTACGAATTGCTATGGTGGATCATTCAAGGGCCTAAGAAGTATGAGTGGTCGGCAACCATGTCATCAACGTCATCATCATCAACGTCGTCGTCTTCTAACAGGTCGGTACGAGGCATGTCGGTTGTCTCATCACTTGTCAATTGGGACCTGCTGCGCGGGTGCCAATGCCGAGTCGAACTCCGGCTGGGAAAATTGTTCTACACACATGATAGGAGGGCTGGGTTTGGAGTTGTTGGTGTTCGTGAGGGTGATGTCGTGTGTCTTCTCGCTGGGATTGATCATCCTTTCATCTTGAGGCCTTGTAAAGATGAGATTGGAGGGTATACGATAGTTGGACCAACAGTGTTTGCTGGTGCGATGGGTGGTGAGTTGTGGCCGACTGATGAGGATGAGCTCGAGTACCTTGAGATTGTGTAAGATATTGTGATAAACTGTGTAAGATTACGGAGCATTTTCTCGCGATATTCCCAGGAACGTCTGTCACACGTTAGGTAGCATTACTTGACTACACGGACGTGTAGAGTAGAAGTGAGGGTGAAGCACCAAAGCATCCTTACTACTTTCGTGAGGAGACACGCCGAAACTCAATCCCTCAGTCCCTGAACCGCCAGTATCTGTGATCCCACTTTCAGAAGAAAATGAGAAATCCCCCAAGAGAACCGGGCTCTAGCTTTGGGAATTGAGTCTGACAATCCAGCATCGGACCTTTACTTCGGGCAGTCCGACCGAGTCAATCATCTGAAAGACTACCTGCTTTGCTTTCGATCCTCCAAGCGCGGGCGTACGAGCCATCTTGTAGTCCTTCCTCAAGCCCAGCTTCAAGAATAAATAAGAAGCAACAGCCCTGTCGAGGCTGAGAATAAATGACGTTGTACTGGAGTTCTCCGTGTGCGTATGTGCGTATGTGCGTACGTGCGGTATGCCCCTCTTTGTACAACACATCAACTTGCCAACAACGACTTTCTCTCTGCCTGCCCCGCCACTAAGCCTCGTCTCGGAGCCTCACTTTAGGGGTGTTGCCAGTTGAAGAGGTGGGTTAATTGACTTTAGGCTGTGCCTTCATGCAAGATGATCCCTGACTCTCATCAACCTAGGATGAATGGTCTTTTGAAAAAGAAAAAAGTGCGCCAACGCCCCCGCCGCCGATGATGATAGTACGGTTCGGACGACTCTGAAACCCCAAGTGAAGCACCTCAAAGGCCGCCATACGGCCCCCTCACAACCGGAACCAACGCGCAAGTTGTCAACCCCCTCTTCTGGCGGAAATCTCATCGGCCTCATCCCGGTACGGCACCCAAACATCCGATCCAGAGCCCTTTGCCGCTTCCCACATGATCATGCGGGAAGCTCCTGAAAGTGTAATGCGAATTGGGCTATTGGAGGACAGAGAAGAGAGTTAGGGTATAGTAGACAAGTAGACTCTCTCTTTGCCCACTGATATATGGGCTAGTCTGTGCCCGCATGAAAGACGTTACATCGAATGACATCTTTCCCTTTCTCTCTCCCCCCCCGGACCTCTGCTTCTGCGCTCTCATATCCTCCATCCCATCTTTTGCTCATCGCAGCCTTGGCGCTTTTACGCGCATAACGCATTTCTCTCACGAGCTTCCATCATCAGGCGGGGCGATCTTCGAAAAGAAAAAAGAAAAGAAAAAACATGGCGAGACTCACAAGCTGGCTTCTCCTCTCAGCATGGGGAGGAGCAGCCTCTGTATCGGGCCAAGGCCTCCACGAGCTGGCGGTGAAGTCGGGAAAGCTCTTCTTCGGCACGGCGACGGACACGAACCTCTTCAACGATGCGGCGTACATGGCGGTCCTGAATAAGACGGGCGAGTTCGGCCTCGTGGTGCCGGAGAACAGCCAGAAATGGGACGCGACGGAGAAGACGCAGAATGAGTTCCAGTTCAAGAACCCGGATGCGGTGAGGGCCGTCGCGCAGGCGAATAAGCAGATGATGAGATGTCATGCGTTGACATGGCACTCTCAACTTCCACAATTTGGTGCGTTCCGGCTCGTCTTTGCACTAGAAGCCTCGAATCTCGAACTAGTACTGACCAAAGACCAGTCTCAACGGGCACATGGACCCCAGAAACCCTCACCCCCGTAATTGAAGCACACATTTCCAACGTAGTAACGCACTACAAAGGCGCCTGCTACTCCTGGGACGTCGTCAACGAAGCCCTCGCCGACAACGGCACCCTCCGCGACAGCGTCTTCTCCCGCACCCTCGGCGCAGATTTCATCCCCATCTCCTTCAGGGCCGCCGCGGCAGCCGACCCGGCGGCGAAGCTGTACTACAACGACTTCAGTCTCGAGTTCAACTCCAACAAGACGGACGGCGCCGTCAAGATCGTGCAGGACCTCAAAGCCGCAAACGTGAAAATCGACGGCATCGGGTTCCAGTCGCATTTCCAGGTCGGCAAGACACCGTCGCAGGATACGCTCAATAAAGTCATGACGCGCTTCACGGATCTGGGGCTGGAAGTCGCGCTCACGGAGCTGGATGTGCGGCATGATAAGTTGCCTGCCGATGATGCTGCGATACAGCAGCAGGCCAAGGACTACGGCACCGTCGTCAAGACGTGCGTGGATAACGCAAAGTGCGTCGGCGTCGTGGTGTGGGAGTTTACGGATAAGTACAGTTGGATCCCGTCCACGTTTTCGGGGGCCGGGGACGCATGCTTGTTCGATAAGGATATGAAGCCCAAGCCGGCCTACGCGGCTGTTGCGGCGGCGTTGGGAGGAGGAGCAGCACCAGCACCACCAGCAGCAGCACCGGTGGCAGCACCGGCGCCGGCGGCTGGAGCTCAGAGCGCGGAAGTGGTGCTGTCGTCGGGAAGCAGTGCATCTGGTGCCGGGGCCGGGATTGGGGCCACCGATGCCGACTCCGGGACCGAATCCGAGGCCGATGCCGACAGCGGAGCCGGGGCGTCGTCAAAATCAAAGGCGAAGAGCAATGTGGAGGCAGCGACCAAGTCACCTTCCTCATCGGGCACAGGTCGCTTCGAAGCGGTGCTGCTGATTTCACCTCTGGTAGCCACCGGTATCGGCTGGCTCTTTTGGTTGGTGATATGATTTGTTAGACGCTTATTTCTTGTTACTTAGCTTTTCTCTTGATGGCACAATTCTTGATACCAATTGACAATATCTCCCGGATCTCGCTCATCCCAGAACTTTGATATTGCCGATAGCAAATCATCGAGGATTGACGTGCTTCGGCTGCGACGTTGCGTGTGTCAATGGGAGCCCGGTGCGCGGGTGGTGTAAGTGAGGAGATGGATGATGTCATGCTCCCCTGCCGGCAACCACCTCCACTGATAAAAAAGAGACCGGGGGGGCTGGTTAAGCGGATAGGAATCGGGATGATGCGATTTCAAAGCGAAGAGGGGAAAGAGAATTTCTGCCAAAAGACCGCGATTCCCATCAATTGAGCTGTCCCAGCCACTGTCCATCGACCTGTGAATAGCATCAAATATTGTGGACTAGAAACCACAGTGAGAACCAGGTTCCTGAATAGCTTCATCATGGTGTACCTCAAGACACTAGTCGCCGCTGCCGCCGGCGCGGGCCTGGCCCAAGCTTCCCTCTCTGGTCTCGACAAGATCCCGCCTCTGGGCTTGGGAACATGGCTGTCCGACAAGAGCAAAGTCGCCGATGCCGTTGCCTTCGCCGTGGGTGAGGTAGGCTACAACCACATCGACGCCGCTCTCATCTACAGTGAGTTCCGTCTCACATCTACTCACATGCTCTCACTCGCATGCTCGCGCGAGTCAAACAACTCACACGAGTCATCCCCAACCTCACAATCTCGATCTCACAACTAACAACCCACCCCCAGGAAACGAAGACCAAACCGGCAAAGGCCTCGCCTCCTCCGGCGTTCCCCGCAAAGACGTCTGGATCACCTCCAAGCTCTGGAACACCGACCACCGCGCCGACCGCGCCGCAGCCGCCATCAAAAAGTCCATCTCGGACCTGGGCGTAGACTACCTCGACCTCTACCTCATCCACTGGCCCGTCGCCTTCATCCCCGACGACCCCAACAACGCGCTCGACCGCGAGAGGACCCTCGTCGACACCTGGAAGACGCTCGAAGGCTTCGTCAAGGCAAACCTAACCCGCCACATTGGCCTCTCCAACTTTGCCAAAGCCGACGTCGAAACGATCCTCAAGGCGGCGGAAATCAAGCCCTACGCCCACGAATTCGAAACCCACCCGTACCTCCAACAGCAAGAGTTTGTCGACTGGCACAAGGAAAAGGGCATCGAGGTCATCGCCTACTCCCCGCTCGCCAACACGAACCCGACGTACAGTGACGACCTGCCCGCCATCTACCAGGATAAGTTCTGGGTCGACGTCGCCGCCAAGAAGGGCGTTTCCGTCTTCCAGGCCGTGCTGGCGTGGGGTATTCAGCGGGGCACGAGCGTGATTCCCAAGAGCACAAAGGACTCGCACATCATTTCGAACCGCAAGGCGCTCGAGATTGAGTTTACCAAGGAGGAGTTGAAGGAGATTGGCAAGCAGGATAAGAAGCACCGCTTGAGTAACCCGGGTGCCAAGTGGGGCGTCAAGCTGTTTGCTGATTTGGATGACCCTGGTAGGAATGAGCCCACGAGCGAGGAGCTCTAAGCAACATAAGCTTGTGAAACTAGAATGTTGAATGGTTTGAGAGCTATCTAAAGTTATCCAGTCTAGTCTCCAACATGTGCTCATTGCACGTCTGTCTTGTGTATCTCGCAGATACTGTACCTAGATAAATCCAAATTGCTGGTCTTCGACATGTACCGCTTCAGTTAACCGTGGTTGTTCGATCAGTGGTCGGCCCGATTGCAATGCGCATAATACTTCCTCCTAGCCCAGTAAAACCCAAGCCCGACGATCCATAGCACAATCAAGATGAGCGCTTGCACGGGAGCAAACATGGCGCCTCTCACAACCACAAATCCACTGACCAGCGCAAACACAACCGGGATCAACACGAACGGCTTGTACGGTCTGCGCAACTTCGGCTCTCGAACGCGCAAGATGACAGCACCGAAGACCGTCAAAAAGAAGAATGTGTACTCGCCCAGACCGTTGAACGTCAAAAGGGCGCGGAAGTTGCCAAACAGAATGTACAGCGCCGAAAGAATCGTCGACAGCAAGAGCGCGTTGAGCGGCGCGTCGGATCTTGCGTGCGCGGGGCCAGACGAAGCATCGGCGGACGAGTCGGCTGGCGAGCTCTCCTCTGACTTGAGCCCCACGCGGCCTACGAAACCGAGGAACTTGGGTAGCCAGTTGAAGTTTGACGCTGCGACGGTCATTCGGCCTGCGACAAACGAGTTGCCGAGGAGGGAGCCAGCGACAACGAGGCAGATGAGGACTGCGGCGACGATGCCGAAGACTGGGCCGAGTAGGCGGCTGATGGCAGTCTGACTATTGTGAGTACTGGGGTGGAGCGTGCTGAGGTGCTGGTTTGGTTTGACTTACGACTGCCACGCTGTCGGTCGCGGCAACGACATTCCATGGGAGAAGGATGTAGTAAGCTGCGTTGGCCGCGATGAAGCACAGAATGATGGTCGGGACGGCAGTGTTGATGGCGAGAGGGAGCTGGCGTGCCGGCTGCTGAAGCTCAGCTGAGACGTAGACGGCCTTGAAAGTGTTAGTTGTGTCCGTTGATAGATACTATGATGAGCGGCATACCTTATCCCAGCCAGAATACGCCCACAAAGCACCGTAAAGCGCAGCAGAGTAGTATCCAAGCATATCCCAAGTCCCAACCTTGTTCCAGTCTAGCTCGCCGCCACCCGGCAGAGACGTCTTGCGGTTCCCGAACCAGGGTTTATTGAACCAGTCCCGTCCGCCAACATCACGGTCGTGATCTGAGACTTGGAGAATGACGACGACGATGCCGGCAAGCACCACAGCAAAGATACTGGTGAACTTGGTAACGACAAACAAGTTGTTCAAGCGAGTGCTCGCCTTGGTGCTGATAGAGTTGGCGCCGTTCATAACGACGAGGATCAGGATCGAGAACAACTTGTGCGAGAGAGCGCCGGCCTGATCGGTTACCCCGCCGGCGGAGTAGATACTCTCGATGAACACGATGCTGAGGATGGCGAGGGTGGCTGGCATGACGGCCACAATCCAGGTCCAGGCGGCAAGGAAGCCGAAGACATCGCCATAAATGTGCTGCAGGAAGGGTTGGACACCGCCTTTATATAGCGTCAGCGCCATCGTACCGCACAGAGACTCGGTAGGGAGTTGAACTCGCCTTCACCAGGGATCGCGGTCCCCAGCTCGGCCATGGTACTCGCACCAGTCCACGCCAGGGCACCACCAACGAGCCATACTACCAGCGCAGCGCCGGGCGAGGGAACATTCGTATCGATGGAACCCGGAGAGGTAAACACGCCGCTACCAATGACGATGCTGATGACAATGGCGAACGCCTCAACGGCGCCGAGGTTCTTTGAAAAGGTACCAGCCCCGCGCTCCTCGGCGATGAGCACAGGAGGTTCGGGCCCATCGGTGCCGCCGTACTCATGATGGGGGTCTGCCAAGAGGGGCCGTTCCGCGGCGTCTTCGGATTGCGTGTTGGACGGCATCTTCCCGTTTTCGTATGATTGCCTACGAGGGACCGTTGCCAATTGGATGTCCGGAGAGATGTCGAGGGAGTGAGGGACAGGGAGTGAGGGAGCTCGGGAGCTTGAAGCTTGGAGCTAGCTTGGAGTCACTACACGGATCAGGCATAGCGTCTTTCGTGTGTCTCGAGTGAGCTCATCGCTGGGCGATACGTATCTTTTCGAAGATGGTCCAAGCGCTGGTGTGGAACCTGGGATCCGCTTTCACCATCCGCCCGATGTTCTCACCGTTTTGGGGTGAAGTGGCCCCACTTTGAGCACCGGTACCTAATGCAGGTGAGTACTACGCAGTAAGCGCCACGTCTCTGCACCGAGAGATTGCCTGCTGCCGTCAGGTGTCAGTTGGAATTAGTCGGAATATCGTGCGTCGGAGTAGACTCCGGTATCATCATATCTACATCTCACGGCTTCACTGAGCTCAATGAGAGGGCAGATGATATCAAGGTTTAAAGAGCCATTGAAAATCCATAGCCCAGGGTGGCGTGTATCAGAGCAAAAGGTTCTTTCGCTTACATGACCCCCTTAACGGAAGAAGGTCAGCCGTGACAAGACCCGACACAAAGTACTGGCCGATTGAGCCTCTCAAACATTCAAGACTCGCTATAGAATTGAAGATTTACATAATTGAAGGTTCATATTAGGACGCTAGCAACGAAAAGCATTGAGTAAATACTCAAGCGCTCTAGAAGAGAAATAGGCTTGGTTCACATTGTCGTACGCAATATGCTGATCCCCGAGACTCTGCAATGTATCATCGAGACTCTCGATTATGGAGCCGACGGCACTGTACACATAAGGTTCGAGTCTAGCAAGCGAGATTGCTGACTGAAGAGTTATAGAGGCGCCCTCCTTGGGCAGTTCCGAGACAGGCAGCTGGCGACCGAGCGAACCGAGGGCAGTGGCCATGCGTACTTGCCTGTCAGACCATCCGCGGGCCAGCTGGGTAGCAGGATGTGAATCACTATCAAGTGAGGGTGATGCGCCCTCGCACGAGATGGTTGAGGCAAGTTGCTTGAATCGGAAAAAGACGATGAAGTCACCACTAGATGTAGCCAGCGGCGCCCAGAGCAGCCCAGATATGGTACGAGAACTTGTAGAGATCCCCAAATCAGGCAGTTCAGCTGGCACGTCTGTTGATACAATGACGGATTCGCTTCTGTATGGTTGAATACACCGCACTATCGCCGTTGCCTCTTGGTACGACTCTTTGCTAGGCTCCTCAAGTCTGCCAATCTCTCCTCTGATAGACGTCAAGGCAAAATCGGCGCCGAAGAGGTGCAAGAGGTCTTGTGGCGCTTCAGTACTCTCCGCGGGATGTAGTATTGACTCGTGCTGAGCCCGCGATGATTCAACATGACCCAGCATAGATGCGTATGCCAGTCTCTCAATCGCAACGCCGGAGGTACTGCCAATGAATTCGCACATTTGACGTCTAGACATTGGTATTCGTGTTCCTTCGGGACTATATGCATGGCAGACTACCAAACCCCATCGCTTGCTGAAGGCGTTGATTGGGATGGTCAAGAAGGAGCGAGCTTTAGTGTCCTCGGCTACGAGCTCTTCAAAGAATGTTGGCGAAGCCCTTTGAAGGTAGGATCGGTCCAGGTGGATAGGTCTATGCTGGCGAGACTCCTGGTGTTTGTAGATAAGTCTCGCAGGTTGCGCTTCGCGATCGAGCAGAAGCCTGAGCTGGCTCGGGAAAGGCGCTTGATGATTGACGTTGCCGGCGCGGCGCGGCCGCGTGAAGTGTATGCATCGTTGTGAGCCCCGCCATTCCCTGTCGGAGGTATCAAGTATCGTTACGGCCATTAACTCGTCGATGCGGTACAGTACGACTCTGTCGAACCCTGTGACCTCTTTCACCGTAGTCACGATGGTGTCGGGAATGGCCGCTAGACCCGCTATGGCGGCGAAGGATGCCTGGATCTCTGACATGATTCCAATTGCCTGCATCGCGCTCAACTCCACGCCTTCTTTCCCGACTCTCCTTGACATTCGAGGGAGTCTCGTCACAATGTCACTCGTGTAAATTCGTTGGCCCATTGCGATGGGAGGGGCATCCTCGTGTGGCTCAAATTCGCAAATAATTGTTTCGGGGCTTGAGAAGTTCTTGTTGAGGTGCATGGAGCACCAAAATCGAAGAGCTTCGCCTTCTTTGGGGAGAAGCGAGAGACTGAATACGGCACGGCCACCTGTAGCTCCTACATCGGATTTCTCCTCTTTGAGCAAGCCAACCCGAGCCATCAAGGTTCCCGCATCTTCTCGCTCCAGGATGCTGCCGAAGTCTTCGAGTCCGAACAGGTCCTCCGGGGAATAACCCGTAAATGTGGCCGAATTGTCGCTTGCGCAGGAGACCATCAGACGGTTGACATTGGTCGCGGTCACTATGAGCGCAACTAAGAAGCCGAAGTTTTGTATGGTGATCGACGCGGGCTCGGGGGGGGGGTTCGACATTTTGGTGTAATTGAACATTGTCTTCGATTGGGCGTGCAGGCTGGGCCATAGCCGCCCCGAACGACTAGACTGAGCCGTATCTCTAACTTATCTGCCACATGTGATGTCGATGGACCGCGTGTAAATTCTGGATTGAAGACGGCGGCAGAGAGTCAGAGCGAGACTTGCAAAGAGCAGAAGGCCTGCGCGTGGTATGTTCGTTTGGTTGTGCTTGCATCGGTGTAGTCAGGCCTACAATAATACCTAATAGTACATGTAAGCACTGACGGATGTTGATGCTTCGTGAAGATTATGATTTGACATCAGCGAAGGACCGTTCTGGAAAAAGACCGTGGCAAAATCTTCTTTCCTTCTGCCCACGGGAATAAGTCGAGTCATGAGCGCTGGCTCGTTTCTAGCAGAAGCGCTTGGCGCCCTCCAAAGCGCTATTCGTGAGGATTGAAGAGAGTGGCGGATCTCAACACACACAGAAGCCGATGCCTAAATATTTGCCTGTGACATGTCAATCGAACTTGATTAGAGTCGAATCGAAAGAAGTTCGCCGCTCGCACGTGGGCGTGTCCAATTCGGGAAATGTACGTAGCCTGACAATCTTATTTTGCGTCTTGCGCCTTCCAAATTCCCGTCCCGCCTTCTCCCCGTTGTCATTCGCGACTGCCCGTCTAGAATGACCGGATGATTAGCGGCCTCTGACGTCACGGCTCAGTTTTCTGGTTTCTGGACCCCGAAAGCCCGTTCATCTCTAAATTACCTATTGGCCGTATCTGGAATGAAAAAAAAAACAAAAAAATCCGGTGGAATGGTTTCGTCGAAATCCCATTTAATATGGTGGAACGGCACAAGCTGAACTGCACTGGGTTCAGAGCATTCCGGGACCAGGCGGACCACCACCATCAGGCCGTTCAAGAAGAACCATCTTCATTCATTCAAGCTTCGTTAGATATCGTGTCATTGGAAAGAAAAGAAAAAGGCTGCTTTAGCGAAGAATCCCCATCGCTGGCGCTCAGCGTATACTCCTAGAACGCCTTCCTCAAATGTCAAGAATTCAATGCTCCCTTACGCCGCCCACTGTCATGTTTGCCTCTCCACAATCTCATCGCTAAACGTGTCTCCCCATCGTCTCTTGGGTTTTGGGACGTGCAAATGGAGCATTTTTGCGTAGATGGTGCGCATATAGTAGTCCACAAACATTACAGAGTGTCCATCGACCATCGGGTCCGTCCCTCCATTGGGGCGTGCTCGTTGCCTGGCAGGAGTGGCAACAAAGGGATTTGTCCACACGCCTCTATTGTCAAGATGAATTGGCTCGTTGCATCTTGTTAAAGGATGAAAAGAGATGATTGAGAGCAGAGAGAACCTACCACTTTGGAAGTGCGACCAAACGCCACCACGTTGGAAGAGCGCCTTTTCCTGGTTGTCTTCAGGCTCACAGTCCGTTGCCGCTCTGCATCTGTGGTGCTTCTGCAGGACAACAGCGCCAGATCATCCAGGTTACCGGCGATAACCTCTGATAAACTCTGCGCAGCCAGTATTCTCGAGTTGCTGCTCATCATCCCTCTAAAGCAATCGCTGCACTCGCAGTCGCCTTTCGAACAGGTGCCATCGACCAGGCATTGAAGATTTTGGAGCAACTGTCTCGCATCATTGTGAATCTAGGACACTCTGTGTTAATCGCCACTTGGAACGATCAAGAACGATAAGGGATGGAACCGACTTCGTCAACGAATTCGACTTACCCTCTGTATCATTTCCGTCGCCTTGATCTGATCAAAGGACATCGGCGGCGGCGGCGGCATGGGGGCATCGTGGGCATCGGCGTCGTCCGGCGCTGTATCAACGAACGCGAATGCATTCGCCGCCGCCTCCGCCTCCGCCGCCTCCGCCTCCGCCGATATATGCAACCCGAGCTCGGGCCGTTTATGGATCAGCTGCGCGTCAGCTTTGACGGAAACCATGGAAAAGTCGATGGATTTGGATGGGAATATCGATGTGTTGGAAATCGAGGAAATCCAAGAAATCGATCGGGAAACTGCATGGGGACGGGATGGAAAATTGAACAAGGCCCAGAAGAATCCTGATTGATCGGGTGATGCAAAAGTTAAATGGAAAAGAGTGACAGGATCGGGTATTTGGCTGAGGGATCGGATGCGCTGAGGTACTACAGTCTCATCGAAATGTGATTCCCTGGGGGCGAGTTTGAGACAGCGCAGTTTCTGCCACCGTAATAACGCAGGCCACAGTTATGACGTACCATTTTAGGATCCTGCCTGAACGAGAAACTGACAGATTACCGTGCATGCTATCCGTATCCGTAATTCCCCTCCGTACGAGCAGGCACTGCATCTCTTCCCCTCTCTCCAACAAACTAATGGACCGAGGGTAAGAAGGGGTCCAAGGGTCCAAGAACTGGGCTGTCTCAAGCAATTAGGGTCTTCAGGCACTAAAGGTACGGAGTACGTACTTCATGTATCTCACTGTGTGGTGTACCGCGGCTAGCACGCATCCACATTGGATCGTCCGACAGTGTACAATCTGACAATGCTGCACAGAGGACCCGGCGACGCCACCCCCAAAACTTTCCAGCAACATTACAAGATACAAGGCTAGGGGATTTCCATACAGTCCTGGAATTTGTACTGGAACCATCAGACTACTTCGCAGTGCTTCCAACCCCTATCATTCTTGACTATGAGCCATCTGGCAAAGTGTTGCAAACTCACGACATAGACATTTGAGCCGGTACAATCCTCGATTGCTACGAACGGTCTCCAGCAAAGGCACTACGGATACCGCCTGTTGCTGCAAGTACACGGCAGGTAGACTCTCACAAAGAGTTCTGGCAGTTGACACTCTTATCCCTGCAAATGGACTCATCCGTCGGCTCTCCAGAGTTGGGTGCAGAGACTTGCAAGGGGTTGACTCCCTGGAGAGTCGAGACTGAAACCCTGCTCGCGCCCAGGCCTAGGTCCAGGCCCAGACCGTCTTCCGTTTTCCCTTCTTCCAAGGTTGAGACGGGCTCTGAAAAGCCAATAGCAAGTCTCTCCAAGGTCAGATCACGGCGTCCGATTGGCGGAATTCTCTCCGACTAGGTGTTTAATCTCTTCCATCCGTCCTTTTTCCCTCAGTTTTTGGAGACCAGAGCTGGTCCCTGGACCCTCCTCTGTGCTCTTGCGTCACTGGGGGTCTAGGCCCTCTTGTCGGTAGCGAAAACGGACTCTTAGTGCGAGCAAAGAGTTCCTGGCTGGGGTTGGTGAGGTTAGGGTGCTCCTCACTTCGTGACACAATGGGCAACGTGGCAGCCAAAGGAAGAAGTTTGCGAAACTTGGTGCCCCGTGACACCTTGTAATAGCATATAAATTTTGTCACACTGGACTAGACACGTTCTGGGCTAGGAATTTGGTGGGCGATACGCTGAGCATGGAGGAAGCATGGTGGAGAGGAGGGGATGAAAGCTTTGCTCTGTCCACTCTCCATTGCCCACCTTCTACTCCATCGACTTTGTCACGTCTTGCCACTTAACTTGGACTGCGATGATTCGCATTGTTGTGTTGCAGGAGAAAGCGCCTATGCTTGGTAAGGCAGTAGCAGTGGGATAAGTGGAAAGGAACGAGGGAGAAGGGTGGTTTGTTTGGATTTGGTTCGCCCTTACCACTCCCCCCTTTTCACAACCCCTCCTGTGTAAGACAGTGGCCTCGGCTTCGTATTTGTTGGATCATACGGCGTAAAAGTATCACGAAGACCAAGACGAAGCCCAAACCCTCAAAAAAGAGCCACAAGCAATGTTTTCCTCTACTTGCTAACATGTAACATCATGCAGTAAGCATTGATGGGTATCAGGTATTACTATCGTTACGATTTAGTATAAGCAGATTTCTTCCCTACAAGTAATTCAGAATCTTCAATTCAATTCGTCCTGGAAAGTGGCCTTTTTGGTGGGCCAGAGTGTTCACGACTGACAACAGTTACAGCAGCTTGGACCCTATACCAGTTGACAGGTTTCCGTACTGAAGAGGATCAATCCCAGTAAAGTGATCCTTTGCAGGCTTGGGTGCTTTGGTTTAAGAAAGCCAAAGACCACACCTTTCTATCCTTTCCGTTTTGTCGGAAACGGAAGTCAGTGCATCGTAGGTACTCAAACTCTCAACAGAAAGCCAAGACAAAAGAGGTACAATATAGGAGTCGATCTCCCCAGATTGGTTTATGAAGATATCCCTGGCAGTGTTTCCAATTACTCGAAAAGATATTACGATATAGGACTTTCTATTGATAGAGTCCTTGGAAACAAAATCTCTTAGAGAGATTTATCTTCAACTTCTATTTTCTTGCAACGAACATTGACAAGAAATATACCAGGTCTACTGAGGAAGGCAGACGTGTCCGTTTGCAGATTACAATTCGTTCTCAACCTTTGGTGATGTACCCGCTGGGACCTCATAAGATGACGATGGAGTCAATGCAGTTCTAGGAGCATCTGAGGGAATACTGGAGTGCTTCAGAGGCCTCGAACACTATTAAAAGTCGCAGACAGCATGTTGAGCAGAGTTTCCATCAGGGGCAGGCACGCTGAACTGAGGTCACTGAGATGCCCCCAGGTGCTCTGCCTCCATTTGGAAGGCACGTAAGGAACGTCTTGAATTTGCTGACGTTACAGATACGGATAGCAACATCAACAAGACCAACAGCATATCATTGAGGGAGGCCAGAATCTGTATCACTCTACTCTGTATGCTTCACCGAACTACACACGCTGGAACAGACCTCTGCTAGCGTCATAATTCCTACCATATGAGCAGCCTGTTTGGGAACAACCATGAGAGCAACGTTTTCATGCCGACGGACCCCGTCCGTTGAGCAATCTTATGACTTGGAAGGGTACGGAAGGACAGACAACCAAACTCCAATCCCAAACTCCCCAGCCAAGCCCAGACAGCCATCAATCAGAACTTCCAATTGTCCAGCCCCATAACTCTAGTAAGCATCGATGAACGCCAATCCGAATCGAACAAAATTGGTATCATGAGGTATATCGTGAGCGCAACAGAGAGTATTCGTACCCTAATCGTAACAATCATGGCAAACAAGTGATGAAAACCAGTGAAATAGCCCCCATTGCAAGCTCAAGAAGAGAACGACATTGAGGAAGACGCCGATACACGGTTGCTGTGCCTGAGCCCCTGCTTCCGCTGCCTCATGGCATGAACCAGGCCGCAGACATTGCAGAGAGTACGCGGCCCCGCGGGTCCGCTACGCCACTGCGGTGTACAGGTGGTGTGGCAGTTGTGGCAGACGGAGGGATCGGACATGCTAGGTAACTGTTTCCTCAGTGTGAGCGAATGTTCATTATTTACCCCCCCCCCCCCCCTCCCTTTTGCAGGGCTCCGATACAAAAATATAAGATGAGTGATGGAATGTGAACAAGAAACGGATATTTATCTGCCGGAGAGAGAGAGAGAGAGATGAGGAACATTAGATGAAGTACGTGGTAACTTACATGATTCAAGTGAGGATTCATGGCAGCGACAGCATGCTCAACCGCTCCATGTTGCTTGCGGCGAATCTTGCGCAAGTGGTTGGGGCGTCTCACTCGCATGGCCGTCTCCTCTGACTTCTGTGAGATGGCTACCAACTCTGCCATATCTCCGGTAATGTGTTGGGAAATCTTCTGCGCGTGTAGCAGCTTTGGGTTGCCAAGTAGGACTCCGGTCACCAGGCGGCCGCCATCAAGCGCGGGTGCTCTGCTGTATCGGAGCAAGCCTTGGATATTGCGAAGCAGGTTGTTTGCATCGCCATGGACCTGTATAAGATCAGAGAGGCTTTGTCAGCACATGATGAACGTGATTGTTGAAAATCTCATCTTTGGCAATCGCATCGAACTGGCAGAACGCACTCTCTGAATGATTTCGCTGGCCTTAAGATGGTTCAGGGACATAGGCGCCAGTGTTTCGTTAGCGTTGCTACACTCGTTCTCGCTGGGACGGTGTCGCCAAGTCAGGGCCGGGACGGGCGTGACAAGATCTGCCGGGGTCCGGGCCATTGACCCTGGAGATGGAATTGGAACGGACAGGGCCGGTTTGGGGAACGGACTGGAATCCGATGCAGTCGAGCGGACCAATCGTCGTGAATATAAGGGCGGGGCGGATGCCAGTTTTTGGGAATAGAAAGAAAGTCAGTTGATGACGTCGATGGGTGGAGGAGGCAGAATGGTGTAGAGATCGAGAATTTTGAGGAGCATCGAAAACGAGGGAATGGGGCCTTCTTCGTTTATAAAGGAAAATCGAGCGTTAAAAAGAGGGGAAAGCACGGGACCCCCCGACACTCCGTTTTACACTTTTCTTTGCGCTTACGGTTCCACGCCCTCTCCAACGTTGCAGTCAAATCCCCAGTTTCGTAAAGTAAAACGGTGAGAAGCCACCAAACTCAGTAACACGGCACGCACGGTCTGGACGGAAGGTTTTGTGGAACTGAGCTGAGGTGAAGCAGCAGGATTGATTAGACGGTTTTCGAGCCCATACACGTGGCAGTTGCAAGGGCGTACTGTTGATCCAAAATGGACATTTCTGTATCCGTAACTTGCATGTTGCCATGTTGGAGACATGGGAAACGTAGAGTTTTCGATCCGTTGGCCGAGAACTCGATGTGTGCCTATCGCCACCAACTGAGTATCAAAGAAGATGGGAATTTGGATCGCTTTTCACTTCTCGATCTGCGGTCAAATCCGATGGCGAATAAGCTTTTGCAACATGTACCGTCAACCTCGTTTCCAAAGACCAGGACGATGCGGTGGTGTCCGTTTGGGTGCAGCGCCTCCGGGGCCCCAGGTGGCGCGCGAATGGAGGGATTCCGTGATTGAACTGTAGGGAGCAGTGACCAATTCGAAGCCTCTGCCTTCAACTCTGATGCTGTATAAGTGCCTAGCCAATTCTTCGGACGACTATCCAAAGTGTTGAATGCGTCTCTTTTGCCGTCGGCCTGCTTGTGGCCTCTAGTGACGCCTAAGGAAGGCGGCGCTGTTGGAAGCAACGTGGGCCTTCTTCCTATGCTGCGTGTGAATCATCTGGGCGATAGAAGCCGCCCACCTCCACGGCCTTCGGGGAGTTTGAGAGACTGATACCCTACATGGCTGAAGACCTGAAGTCCAGTTCGCAGCATTGCCCGTGTTGTAGCCGACGGCATGGAGCGCAGCACGTAACAAGTTCCAGGTGATTGACGAAAGACAAGATGTATTTGGATCACGTGAGGAGGCTCTTAAGTCAGGGGGCAGGTACGATAGGCATAACATTGGGAAAGACCAGAGATGTCCAGCCCGTCCTCGCGGCTTTGTGGAAGGTTCCTGCCGAATACAAGCATGGCAGTAGCAGTTCCGTCGACCTCCTTCCTTCCCTTTCTTCCGTGGCATTCGTCGCTAACACGTCTCTTCCCTTCTCTGTAGGTCTTCCATCTACCCCTATCTCGAGTCATCGACCTCGACGAACCCGTTCTCCACGAAAATCTCCTCTGATGAGTCTTTACTGGAGAACGACACCGAATCAATATCATACCGTACTTTCCGTTGGGTCCAATATTCGACAACCATGTCTCTCCTTGTCCTATCCCATCTTGGTAGTCGCGAGGCCGAACGAATGGCACGAACGGCGGTGGCATCAACACAAAGTCCTATCAACACTGGCAAATGGCGCTGCATAAACTGCAAAGAACCCACACTCGTACACCACTGCAATGAGTGTCAATCCAACTGGTTTTGTAGCACCAGGTGTCAAAAGGCAAAAGCCCACAACGTCGATGCTGCCAACTACATGGCCCTTTGCCCTGCGCAGAATAAACGACTGGATACCTACCACTACCTCGCCGAATCCCTCAGAGCCGGTGACTGCGAGCCTCCAACGGATCCGCAAACAAGAGAAGACTTCGGCTTCGATCTATGCCAATATGGCAATAAACAAGAGGAACACCTCCTGTGGGCGACATACAAGTGCCTTGGCTGTTTCTTCGGCCTTAATAGCGTCGTTATCTAGGGATGGATGATTGCCAGGGGCAAGTCACTACTCGCAGAGATGATCAAGAAGCATTTTGCCAAAGTTCATCTTTTGACGAAGGATGTATACATCTGGTGGTTTCGCCATAATATCTGGGTCATCATACCCGAGGATAGCAGAATGGGATATACCATGACAGTCCATACCGATCTCTTCTGGGAGTGCGCCACAATGTCACGCGTCTCTTGTCAGATCCTGAATGGCTGGGACAGAGATCGAGAAAGTTGGTGGACCGGGCCCACCGTCGACTACATGGCAGCTCGCGTACGGGAAGCTATCCGCCCAGTGGAAGAAGAGGATCAAGGGATAGATGATGCCTCGAGCGACACTTTGGTTGCCGACCATACAAGCAGCGGCTCCTCAAATAATGACGACTCTCCAAGTAATGATCCCTGGAGTGATGACTCTGCGTCAGGATAACACAAAGAATGCCAGTCTCAAGAACGAAATACCGGCATAAGAGATCTATTAGAAGCACCCAGGCCTATGGGGACAAGAGATACCGGCATGTTCACTTTGAGCGACAAACCTCAAGCAATTAGGACTAGCAACAGATGTTAGAAAGCAAGAGTTTTCCCACAGAACTGCAGCTCCCCATGCGCAGGTTTCGTGCATGCTTTTCAAAGTCAACATTAGGCAGCTCTCTAAAGAGAAGGCACCAACAAAGGTTTGTCCAAAGAGGCTCGATCATCCACGCATCTCGTTTCTGATTGCATCTGCAGGCTTTCCTCGACCGACTCTCTGGCTTGATGCCTATGGGGCCATAGTGCTGGGTGTTGGCAACAAACGGGTCGCTGCACAGACTGCCAGACCTCCAATCTATCCGTTTGCTAGAAAAAGGGTTGAGGCGACAGGAAGGGTCATGGGACTCATGCTGTCCGTTTAACCTCAAAGAACTTCTTGATCTCTCAACAAGCTTCACGTGGGTGAACTCCAGAGAATCATTACCTCCAATACTCCCTCTCTCAAATCGGCTACCTCTTTTGCCTCTTTCCACCCTCTCTTCCCTTACTTTCAATTCTCATCGCATCTGCCGTCATCATAAAAGCTTCGCACCGGAAAAGGTTCGCTCTTCTCTTTGCTCAACATTGAGTTGCTGTCTCATTACTAACTATCTAATTGACAGCAAACAACCCCAAACACCAACAACACCATGGCCGAAGTCAACCCCCACCAGTCCACCGCCGAGATCCTGTTCAAGGACATCTCCGAGAGAAGACTCCCGACCGACCCACAAACCCTCAAGGACTTCTTCTTCGACCGCTGTATCACCATCAAGGGCCAGGAGAAGCTGCTCTCCGTCTATGCCCTCCTCATGGAAGGAATGGAACCGGCCATCCCCCCTGCCCAGCTCCAGGCCTGGGCCGCTGAGGGTGACCTCGAGCTTGGCAACCACATCGGTACCACCTTCTCCAGACTCAAGCAGAACAAATTCTCAGCCGGACTTGTTGCCTGGTTCGACTACAACCAGTACATCTGGAACCTCAAGGACGTCGACGCGGAGCTCGCCGCCCACGCCGAAGAGATCATGGGCGCGCTCGCCGGTCCTGCTGATGACGATGGATACATGGCCCGCATCCCGGTATTCATGGAGGGCCAGGCCCGTCTCCGCCACAAGAAGGAGGCGCTCGAGGCCAAGGGCGAGTATGTCCGCACTGTCCGCGGCACGTGCTTCAGCTCGGTGCCCAATGTGGACCCGAATGGACCTCCCGCGGCTGGCCATGCCATCTTCTGCCCCGATGGCTTCAATGGCGTGCCTCTTAGCGAGATCGCCCGCGCGATGCAGAGTATGCCTGGTGTGGTCAGTCTTTTCATTCCCTACTGACTCTTGCGGGTTTGTTGCTGACGTACTCGCGCTGCACAGAAGGTTCATGCCTTCCCCCGCAAGTAAGCCGACATGGCAGAAAGATCCAGTTGATGTATCGCCAATTGAGATGGACACATGGGCATACAACCATTCGCGGGCAATTGAGAGGTGGGATATCTGACTTGGCCTTGGCAAAGAAGCTTGCAGGCAGTTTAGCTAGTCTTTGAGAGTAGCATCTTGACAGCAACTCAGCGATACCATTCACTCACCACAGTCCTTATTCCTCCATTGACCCTTTGCTAGACAATGACTGTGTGACTCGGACCATCAAAGCCAGCGGCGTTTGTACTAACGAAGAACGAAGTAGCTATTCTAATTGACAATAAATTGGTTGAGATCTTGCAAGGAACAAGGCTTGAAGACACCTTGTCACACCGGAAAAGCTTCGGCCTCATGCTTCTAGATAAGTACTCCATCTCCTCCTCAGTCAAGGGAAGCATCGCCATACAGTATAAGCACACACAACTCCGCAACATTAAACCCGGCACTAAATCAGACCTATCAACATATCTATTCAAACCAAGTACTACTGAAAAACAGTTTCGCAAGAAGACATACATCATGGAGAGCAAGTAGAACCAGACTTTCTCGAGCGAGCAGCAAGTCAAGCCCACGCCTAGCTTTCTCCAAAGAGCGATGACACTGACTGAACTTCCGCAGGCTCCTCAAGACTTGCGCACCATGCAGACCTGGTTCTTTACCCGCTGCCAGACCTACGACCAGGCCTTCAACCTGCTCCGCATCTACCAAACCCTACTCATTGACCTCGACTTCACTCCGCGTGAGATCGAGGGCTGTCTGGCGCAGGGCAATCTCGGCCGCAACATCGTGATGCACTTTGAGAACAACTTGGGAAAGATCTCCGAGGCCTGAATGAGGTGGTTGATGGCGCACGTCTGGATCTTCGGTCTCGAGCCTGGCGCCGCGCTCCGGGAGGACGTACCCGTCTTCAAGTTCTCGGACGAGGATAGGGAGTACCCGGGGCAGTTTGACGCTCCTCCCGAGTGGGCTGGCTTGCTCACCCTCGAGATTGAGACTGCGATGGAGTGAGAGCTCGAGATTGCTAGGTCGTTGGCGCGTGTGCGGGCCGCGACGGAGTCCAAGGGCTTTCTGAAGAAGTGGTTATCGGGTCCGGAGGAGGAGCAGCAGTCTTTGACGTGTGAGCGGCGCGTTGAGCCTGATAAATGGAGGGAGTTGTACTTGAGCTGGGAATGGCGGCAGAAGATTGCGAAGATGTGGTATCGATCGTCGCGGACGGAGTGGATGAAGAGATGAAGATGGCAGAGCCAGTTCAGATGTTTTTATTCGATTCTATTGACATGCTTAACGGATTGATACCTCGTTTAAATGACCAATGTGCCTTGACTTACAGCTACGTTGCGATTGTTGCCCATTATCGCGGGGCTGAAACGGTCGTTTGCGTAGAGCAAGCGGGGATGAGCGGATTCATCCTGGCCACGGTACGAGAATTGCGCACTTGTAACGATGGTATAGCGAATCTTTGTTTGGTGTTGAGGTCGGTCGCCCTCGAGAGTGTTCGATGGAGGGGCAAGGAGGGGCGTCGAGCATAGGGCGTTGGACGTGGTGGGTGCCGATGCTGTGGGCGATTCAGGCCGACGCCGAACCTTGTACGTGTTGCCAAGTGATTGCATTCATATGATGGCGCTGACCAAAATAATTTGCTCAATCGACAATTCTTGCTCGAAGAGTGCTGGTACCTCGATGACCTAGCGACGAGGTTGTTGGGGAGAGGTGAGGGACGTGGTTGGTGGGGGCTTATGTAAGTGAAGCTGACACCGTCAACCTCAGGAAGGAGCTCATCTCAACTGCCTTCCCCAAGACTGACATCTGGGAAAAAGACAGGGGAGGAAGGAACAAAAAGTTTTCAGGCGTCTTCCGTCGAACATTTAAGTATTTTGTTTTAGGAGAACCGAGATCACGTCAAATGCCGCAAAAGGGAGGGAATGAATCTCATGCCAGGTTCATCTCTATTAACAGCATCTCAGTGTCTATGGGTGCTGTATTATCAAGGCGATCGGTTCTCTTTCTCCAAGCACAATTGTATGGCCAGACCTGCCGCATCCAAACCCAGCCATTACACTCCCGTTTCTTAGCTCAATACGCCATATCGAAGCAAGCAGTCGAAGGTATCGTCGGGGACAAGGAGGTGACGTTGTAGGGTTCGTCCGATGAGGTAGCAATAGGCACTGACGAGTCTCGAGGTCGGCTACTTTGTGGATCCTGGGAACGGTATTGTACTCACATCTGTGTATACCTCATCATGCTAATGTCGAGCATTTGACATCATCGTATCGGAGGAATCATCTTGCCACTCTCATCGAGCATTTAGGAGTACCAATCAAAGTCGTCACCAGGTCGCTTGCGAGCATCATAATACTCCTTCAACTCCTTCGCAGCACGCGCAGCCTTGGCCTCGCTGACAAGGTCCTCGGGGTCCCAGATGTACTGGTTCTCAAGAAACCACTTGTAATCACCCTGATAATCCTCAGGACCAAGCAGCGCCTCAAACTTGGCCTTGACCTCCGCCGCGACATTCTTCAAGCCATCCTGGTGGTGAAGCCACTCGTGGAGCTCCTCGGGCTTGACCTCAGAGTCCTCAAGGACGGTGCGGTAGACGTTGTAGAGCTTGCTCTGGTCGAGGGTAATGTAGCAGCGCGAGAAGCCGTAGTCGGCCTTGACCTGCGCGTTGGTGGGGATCTCGTCATCCTGGATGGAGGCGAGGAGGTCGTGAGCCGTGGTGCGCTTGGCGTTCTTGTTGCGCTTGGCGGGGGGCTTGTTCTTCCTGGCGGTCTTGTTCTTGCTTCCCTTGGGGCGGCCTGGACCCATGATGGGCTTCTTACGGGCCGGCTTGGGCTTGCGAGAGGTGGGGGTCTTCTTGGGAGCGGCCTTGCGGGCGGCCGGCTTCTCCTTCTCGGGCGAAGGCTCCTCGGGAGAGGGCTTCGAGGGCTTCGAGTCTGGGAGTTTCTTTCGGGTGGGTCGCTTGGGGGCAGAGTCCTCGGGGGTGGTCTCAGGGGTTGTCTCGAGGACTGTGGCGGCGTTGGTCTCCTTGGGGCTCATCTTGGTCAGTCTTTGTTGATATAGGAATGGTGAGGACAAGTGGTGATGATGCTGCAAATTGGCAAGGGAAGCTGCCAGAAGGAGGATGCAAGGGAAGTTGATTGACAGAAGGGAATGATTTGGGCAGGCTAAAAAAATATCTCTTTGTAAGTGCGGAAGAGAATGAGATACTCACCTCAAATGATCCGATCGGCTTGGATATCCGGAAGCTTCACCTTCAGCCTCAGTCGACCGGGCGACTTTTATACACGAGCAGGTAAGTGAAGATCAGCCCGGGGTGGGCCCTGAACCCGCGACTTCATGAATACTGCTTATTCTTGTTAACTACCCTTCAATGCGAATACGGTCCTGGAATACTATGGAGATGATCGTAGGTGAAGATAGATAGTGATTCACATGAAAGAGTGCCCATAGGACTCAGCACCCTATATAAGATCTAACACATGCAACTAAGTGTTGCCCACGACGTTTAGACTCTGTTCATCGAACCGTTGAACGCACTTAGAGTACCCCTCCTACCCTGAACATTCAGCACTATAGCAGAACAAGCGTTCAACGCGTTATGACGAAGTCAATCTAACATACCTACACCGTCCTATCTCCCTCTTTCCAAGCACTGCACAAGTTCACATTCTCCTCATCAAATGCGATTCCCAATCTCCTACACTGGACAAGCCATACCACAAACAACCTCACAAGTACATTACCCAAGAAAGCCAACACCATCTCACTCTTTCCACCCAGCCTCACACCCAACCCCAGAAGCATCAAACGCCAAAAACGCAATCTTCTTAACCCACCTCTCCGCCCCAAACAACCACCGCCAATTCTCCTCCCTCACACTCCTCTCATGCTTCTCGGGAAAAAACCGCCTCGCCTGCTCCAGCTCAACCTCCATCGCCCACTCAATCTGCGCGACACTATACCTCTCCCAAACCTGCGGTCACCTCCCCTTCAAAAACGCCCCATCATCCTCGGTGAACTCAAAGACCGGCACATCGTAATTCTGAATACTGCCGCACCAGACATGTTTATGCTGCTTCACCCACTTCCTTCGCTCCCGCGAAATCTTGTCCTCGACGTAGGCTTTCTCGAACATGAGGGGCGCGATGCGGTAGCCGAGGCACTTGTTGGCTTTCCACTTGTAGAGTTCGTCGGGGGCGACGTCTAGGTCGAGGATGAGAATGTTGTAGACGCCCAACAGGGCTTTGGCGCTCTTTGAGGGTGCGGCAGCGAGTAAAGTACCACTCCTTGAGGACGTAGATGTCCGTGGGGAGCTCGGTCGCTGGGAGGCGGTCGTGGTCGGGGTGAGGGTGCTGCTAGTAGTAACCACTTAGTTAGTTTGCCGTCTTTTTTTGTTCTTTTATATTTTTGCCAAGTTCTGGGGTGTATCTGAGTCTGGAGGGGGGGCTTCTGTCTACGGGGTTGTCGGAGTTTTGACCATGTGGCTTGACCATGTGGCTTGGCGAAGGTAGTCGTTGGTACCGTGAACAGCTCTGGCTTATTCATCCCATCTCGAGACCAACCTACAGTATCGGAAACATTGCCATTGTGGTCGTAGACAAACAACATCGAACACTAAGGACCAAGCAAGAAAGATCAAAGACAGCTGTCAAAGCGGTCAAAGCTGTCAGCGAAAACTAATATTGGACTAAGACAAGGTGTATCTTGTGACCTCAAAGGCCTGGGGGCCATCTATCATCATAATTGTCTATTGCTTTGCTGCTGATCCGCAACAAGTCGTGTAGCCAGCGATCCGCCCAGCAAAGTCTATTAACTCCAGCCGGGTCGTTGCAGTGATGCATTCCAGCCATTGGGGTATCTCATGTAATACAGTTGCTCAATATTTCCACAAATGTCTTTTCCTACCGCCGTTGCAGCTCCATCCCAACTCCTGCCAAGCGAGTTTGACCCGCGAGGCCCCTCATTTTCCTCCGTCGTCCACTGCTCATCATGCTATACCCTTGTTCTCCAGTATCTTGCTTAGCTCCTTCAGCCGCACAGGTTTCGTCAGAAATAGATCGATACCACTCGCGAAAGCTTCTTGCTGTGCATTAGCTGATGCCAATCCCGTAAGTGCGATAATTAGACTGCGTGTCAGGCTGCTTTTCGTCTCAAGAGCACGTATTCGTCGTGTTGCCTCAAATCCGTCCATCACAGGCATCGAGATGTCCATCAGAATGCAGTGATACTCGCCCGGTGCTCCACGGAACTCGTCCAACGCTTCTTGCCCGTCTTTTGCGTTCCGATAGTCGTGTCCGAGCCTCTTCATGTACGTCGCCAACATCTTGAGGTTGAGCGGGTTATCGTCCACCAAAAGAAACTTAGGACGATCTCCTCTGGTCTTCTTTGGTCTGTGCGACAATGGGGGGGTGTCTTGGCCCTCAAGCGTTGGGGTCTTGGGATGTTCCTCTGGCGTGTCCGGTAGGACGATATCCTGAGGCCTTGGCTCCGTATCTCTCTCCTCCACAGGTTGATCGTCCACGCTCTGCTTTGTTTCGACTTCGATGTTTGGCAACTCCTCCAATTTCTCGGCAATATGATCTTCGGCCGGAAGGTCTGGAAGGGCTTCGGTGCTTCCCACGTCTGTAAGTCTGTCTTGTGCACGCGCAAACGGCGTGTCACCACCCGCGATTGATGCTTCTGGGCTGGCCAAAGACAGCATTGTAGGAGTCGGTATTGCCCGCTCTTGCAGCTTCGTCCATCTTTGGAAGCTCAGCAAAAGCACCTTGGCAAGCTTTCTTGGACCGATCCTTTGAGATAGATTGTTAGTTGAAGCATATCACTGATTCGGAAAGTATAAACTTACGGCTGTGAGATGAACTCAAATACGATGCGATTGCCGGTGAATCGTGCCGAAGTAGCTAGTTGACGCGCAATAAGCGCGTTGCGGCATATCACCACGACCGGTGTGTTAATGATGCCCAAGCGGCGCTCCATCAAAAGCTGCTCTAATTGCTTTTCTGTGGACAGAACCAAGTCGGGAAGGAGTTGTTGCAAGGGCGGGATGGACTGATCAATGATTTGCATCTGAAGCCATTCCTTGCAGAGGTTTGTGACCAATGCTCCTTCGTTGGGGGTGGTGCCTATCAACTCGTCGGGCATTTTGACTCCGTAGTCTTCAGGGAACCCGACCAGTTTGACTCTTAGACCTGCAAGTTCGCTGACAGATGCCCGGAAGGCATTGAAGTTGCCATCTTCCGCGTTGGCTACCGTTGGTGTTCCTGGATTGGCGCACAGCAGGGCAAGTTTAACCCTCACTTTGGTTCCTCGTCCGACCTTACTCCATACCTGAATAGACCCGCCGAGTTTGCTGACTATCTGCTTGACCAAGCTTAGACCAAGACCGGTTCCGGCAGAAAAGGAGTTCTCCTGAGCGAAAGGTGCAAATAGATGATGCTGTAAGTATTCCTCACTAATGCCACGTCCGGAATCTACTACATCGATTTGGATGATGGCCTTTGTGGATGACGCATTGGTCAACGGGGCCAGCTGGGTCACATTGACATTGATAAATCCCTTGTCTGTGTACTTGAGCGAGTTCCCTAGGAGGTTCATGATGACTCGCCTCAAAGCTCCAGGCTGTGTGTGGAAACCCCAAGACATCGCAGGTGAAATGCCGAAGGTGACGGATACTTCGCCGAGGACGAGTTGCAAGTCCCCGAATTTGTTGGTTCGCGTCGCCATTTCCTCCATTGCTTGCATTTTGTCAAGTCTGCGCAACGCCGTGGTATCGGCGTGCTCTGTCGGTCTGTTTCCCGCAAGTTGGGCCACAGAGACGCGTTGGTAACTGAAGCCAGCACAGACGCTCTCAACAACCTCTTCGGACAAAACGTCGACTTCGACATTTGAGGTAATGCTCATCATGCCAGCCTCGATGGTAACTTTCTGACCCCGAGCTCTCATGCCTCGCTCGCCGAATGCGGCCGAGTTTCTTCGGTGTTTCGAAGGCCCGGTGAAATTGTTGATCTTGCTCCAGTCCAGGAGGTGGTCAATGGTATCCAATAACGTGCGGCCACAATTTTCTATCGAGACCAGCGTCTCTCCCTGGAAAGCGTCCATAGCGGTATCGTGCAGCAGCTCCGCGCCAAGAATTATACCATGGAGAGGCGACCGTAGCTCGTGGGAAAGTGAGCTCAACAAGTCCGTCTTCGCCTTGTCAACAAGCATCGAGCTGACATGGTCGACCTCTGACATGACAACTGAGGCAAAGGCGCGTAGATAGCTAAGCTCGCCTTCGATGGTAAGGACTCGAGTCGGAGTCTTGGTGCAGACGAATCCGCCTGCGAACCAGCGTTGCTTTTGTACGTCCCACAAAGGTATGATGGCCATGCTTCGTGTTCCCGAAAATAGACCACTGAGTGTTTTCCCTTCATTTCGTCTCGAGTAGGCTTGCTTCCGTTTGTTTCGTTGCCGTTCGTCCTCGGCTGGGGCCTTTATGATGCCTGCTATCTCCTGGAGTGGCATTTCTTGCTGTGTAGCGTGATCGTCGCTAGAATGGTCGCTGGACTGAATAGAGCCGTTCTCGTCAAAGCTGAAAATTTTGCCTTTCGGATGTCTTCGCAACAGTTTCGCGAGGAACTTTTCGGAGACGGAGGTGTGACTCAGAGATGGTATGTCTCCGTCGACGCTTGAGGTTGATGAGCTCGAGAAGCCGAGGACTGCACAAACGTTGTCATTCTGGTCGTTGTCGCTGCCCAATCTTCCAGCACCTAGACCCGGGCTTGTTTGATCGTCACTAGAGGATGAGGATGAGCCGCAGCCCCTGGAAGACCTCATGTTGGTCGCTCTGGAGCCAGAAAGCCCTCCAAACGAGCCGATACTGGCGTCCACAAAAAGCACGCTCTCGACCTCTATGGCTTCCCGAACAATGTTGGCAGCCTTTGAGAAAATATGCCGAATATGGGACATGTGCGAGTCATCGTCCCCGTGAGAGGCAGGTCCTGACCCAGAACGAATACTTTCCAAGGAGGTCCCAGACACAGATGGCGGTGCCTTCGGGTCTTGATCTGGTTGAGGAAAAGGTCGAGATTCCGTCGTTGGCGGAACCGGCTGATCCTCCGGTCCTTGAGCTTTCGATTGTGGCGCATTCGCCGTCGCGACAGCAGACGACTGAGTTTGCTGCGCCTGAAAGGCCTGGAATGCCACCATCTCTTTGTTGCGTTCGATCCTTTGCTGGTTTTGATTCAGAGCTCCCTCCAATGACGGGTGGTCATCGAACGAGTCAACGTTATTCCTCTCCCTCCATCCCGACATGGTGCTCTTGCCCTCGATGAAGCTGCCGACGCCACGAACCATTCTGTCGGCGCGTCGGTGATCGTCCCTGTTCCGTTTGGCGTCCAAATAGTTCAAGATCACCTTCGAAATGTCCTGCATAAGTTGAATTTCCACATCATCAAAGCCTTCGCGCAGGGTATCTCCGTAGATACTGAAGACACCAATGTGTATACCGCGTTGGGAACGGATTGGAACTCCAGCATAGAAGCGGCATTGCGGCGTGTTGAGACAAAAAGCTCGCTGGGAGGTCCTGGGATCTGCAGAAAGGTCTGGAATGACCGTCACTGGCAGCTGATGGGGACCCGAAGGGTGTCGTTCGTCGAGGTGATCAGAGACTGGGAGGATGAGCTCGCAGATACCGGATGATCGTGGGATAGCAGTACCGCACAGTAGCAGCTGATCGATATCCCCGCGCTGGGATTCGGGAGGTTTGGTGTTGGGAGTCAGGGCCATTGAATGCGTAGCTTCAGCAATGACGTACTGATACTTGCTGTCGAAGAGGGATATCATGGCCCGGGTCGCATTCAGACGTAGAGCGCCGAGTTCGGCGAAAGAAGTAAGTGTTGCATCAGGACATGATCGAAGTTCTGAGGATGGCTTGAGATTGTTGGGGTCGTTATAGACTGTATGTGCGATCAAGGAGCTGTCATATCTGCGGAGGCGGTCAGGAATTTCAGTGCTAATAAGCGTAGCTTGCATTGACTGGAAGCCGTCGAGGTCCTTAAAGAAACAGATTGGGGGGCGCGGACCTGAATGTCTCTCTCTCGCGGCGACCCTCAGAGACGGCCTTGGCTGGCGGAGTGTTGACCATGGCCGGGCAGCGTGAAATCATAGCCCAGGAGAACGGCCGCTCCTTTGTCGGTTCTGCTTGGTTGCGCAATAGGGTTCAGGGCAAGCCTTGACATCCGCGGGCGAGATATTATTGACCTACGATATTTGTGTCAACTTGAGCTAAGACTTGCGCGACCAAGGATTATGAGAAATAAACCATGCCGGGAAATTCTGCGATTGAAATGCACGTCTCGGTGGCTATCCAAGAAGGCAAAAAAATAAAAAAAGGGGGGGGGGGGGGGGATGAGGTTGAAAATACACACAGTGCCCCTCCATCTTCCCACGATGGACTGGCTCCAAAGCCTTCGTGAGTTGCTTGAGACAGGCGGCTAGAAGAGAGGGGCAATAGTACAGAGGTGTAGGGCACATGTATAGAAGGTGACGCTGATTGAGGGGGCAGAGAAGATTGTCAAGGCCAGACAGAGCAAGGGAACAGTGGGAA